AGGAACAGTGAATCAGGGAGGGTGTTTGCCCCTGGAAGAGGATATTGTCTTGAGTTTTGAATCTGGGCTCTTTGCAAGAAGACATTAGTTTGAATACATTTCTTAAAAGATTTTCCTGAGCACCTGGGTTCTGGTCAAGACCTGTACTATTGAACTTGAATGTGGTGCCTTTAAAACTCTTTGTCTCAAGTATTTGAGTCCCACACGTCTCTGGCAAAGGCCAAGCTATCCACACGACAAAGCTTTTCCTTCCTTATAGAAGGCTCTGCTGACGCGGCAGCTTCTTGGAATTCGTGCCCATTAGGATGGAAACTTGCCATCAAGGTATTTGGATAAGTCTTAGAGCTAAAAGCCAGGGTTTATGACATTTGTTTTGCAGTTTCCTGGTGACTGTGTACTAATCCTGAAGAAAAATCCTACTTTGGGAGCTGGACACGGTGGCACATATGGTGATTACAGTTACTTGGGAAGCTGAAGCAGGAGGGTCACAACTTTAAGGCTAGCCTGGGCAACATAGCAAGAGCCTGTCTCAAAAAAGACAAATGGAAAATATTTCAGAATGCAAAACCCAATCCTAGATGTTGGCCTCTGCAACCCTTGGAAAGGGCATCTTTCTGCTGACATAGCAGATGCTAGTCTTTGTGTGAGAGAGCATGGTATGAGTCTTCCTTTTTTTTTTTTTTTTTTGTCTTTCTGAGACAGGGTCTCGCTATGCAGTTCAGGCTGGCCTTGAGCTCACTTGGTAGCCCAGGCTGGTCTTGAACTCACAACGATCCTCCTGCCTCAGCCTCCCGAGTGCTGGGATGATAGGTGTGCACCTCCATACCAGGCCATGGCATGAGTCTTAATTTCAAGTAAAATGTGATGCATGAGAGCATCATAAAAGGTTTTTGGCACTTGCATTTTGTGACATAAGCACTAAAGTTATTTTTCTGCATAATATTTCATGCTGACCAGATAGGGTCTTTTCCTTTTCTTTTAATTGGTTATTTTTCCTGTGGTACATTGAGCACCCTAACTCCTTCACCCCCCAAATCTCAGGCCATGAGTACCACCTGTGTCTAACCACGTGCCGTGGCCACAGCTGCCGTCGCAGAGCTGGGACCCTCTCCCAGGGCCCTGGCACCTGGGCATCTCTCGGACGCCCTCTTTCTCCTTCCTTTCTACCTGGGGCTGCCACATCTCTATGTATTTCTAAAAGACAATATTTTATAATAGTTGGTTTTACCTCTATAAAAAAGATAGGGCTGGGCATGGTGGCCCATGCCTGTAATCCCAACTTTCAGGAGGCTGAGACAGGAGGATGACTGTGAGTTCAAGGCCAGCCTGGACCTTTTTTGTGAAAAAAAGATATCATGCTACATTTAATCTTTTGTGATTTAGTTTTTCACCCCACCAAATAGTGTCACACACCAAATAGCAGTATGCTGCTGATGTTGATCTAGGTTCCTGCATTTTTTCTTCTGCTGAGCTTTCGAAGAACAAAAATATTTTATTTGGCTGAGGTGAGTTTATCAGCTTCTGCTTCTGTGGGTTGCACTTTTGTGCTTTGTACTCAAAGAATTCTTTTCCAAATCCCAAATTCCAAAGAGTTTCCCTAGGAGTTTTATATGTAGTTTTATGTTTTCCATTTAAGTTCCTGACCCAGTTTGAATTAATTTTGGCATAAGGTGTGCGGTTTAGGTCAAGGCTCATTTTTATTGATGCTACTGTGGGTGTTGTTTTTTCCAGCTTCTGTGTGTTTGTCTAAGGCCAGTCTAGCACATTTGCAGGTCTGTTTTCACATCTTATGTTTTTTCAGTTGACAAATAGGTCTACCCTATCAAATTACCACACTAGTTTAATTGCTGCAGCTGTATAATAGGCTTACTATCAGGTAGGTGATTCTTGGCATCTGTTTTTCTTTATGATTGTTTTAGCTCTTCCAGGATCTATAATTTTCCATCCAAATTTTAGGATAAATTTGTTTATGTCTAAGAAAGAACCCCTTCTGGGATTTAGGTAAGGGTAGTGTTAAACCTACAGATCAATTTGGGAATAATTAACATCTTTATTATGGTGAGTCTTCCAATTCATGAACACGGCAAATTTCTCCATTTAACGTTGTTGGTTTATTTTATCAATTTCGTAATTTTCAGCACAGTGGTCTATACACTTCGGTAAGTATATACCTATGTATTTCTTCATCTTTGGGGCAATTTCAAATGCTATTAAGTTTATTAATTTTGCCAGTTGAATGAACACAAACTGTGTGCCATTGTGACCTTGGTTTTGATTACTTTGGTGGCTAAGCAGTTAGACATCTGTGTACCCACCCCCTGACCCTGGGTACCATCCTGCTCACTGATGTGTCTGTCCTGGTTCTCTATGAACCTTGGCTTCTAATCCCCTCTTAGTCTTACACATCACACATGCCTTCTCCCAGTTATAGCTTATCTTTTTTATTTTATTTGTAGTATTTTTAATTTTATTTTTTGTTTTTGTTTTTCTTCCGGTACCAGGAATCAAACTCACGACCTTGAGCTTGCCAAGCAGCCACTTTTGCCCCTGAGCTAAATCCCCAGCCTCTCTTTGTAGTATTTTTTGATCAACAACATTTAACATTTTAGTGTCATGAAAGTTTTCAATCTTTCTATCTGTAGCCAATTAATTTTATGCCTTGGGGGCTCGATAGAATTTATATTTCTAAGTCCCATGTGGCTTGAACAAGCTAAACGAACAGAACATTTTTCTTGGAAGTCATTTTTTATTTTATTTATTTATTTATTTATTTATTTTGTTTTTTGGTTTTTCTCCGGTACCGGGAACCGAACTCACGACCTTGCACTTGCCAGGCAGGCGCTTTGCCACTGAGCTAAATCCCCAGCCCCTGGAAGTCATTTTTTAAAATGGAAAATATCAGCTTCCTTACTGTTCTTCTAAATAGTCAGAATGTGTTCCCTTTCTAAGAACTTTTCTACACTTCCAGTTAATTAAAAAAGTAAAGTAATATTTCCAGCAGTTTTGCAAGAGAAAGAAAGCTACTCTTCCCTTGAGAGCCTTCCTCAATGAGAGAGAAGGGGTTCTTGCAGCTTCCTCAGACTTCAGTTTTCTCTCCTTATGTCCAAAAAGCAAAGTAATATCTATCCCGTGACCGTGGCATTATTCCGTCTTAGGGTTTTCTTGGTTTGTTACAGTAGGGCTGATCCCAAATACCAAGCCAGTCGCTTTCTTCTATTAAAGAAGGGAATTCAGTGCCAAAAAATGTAAACTATAAACTTTGGACGGGTTGTACTGTTGAGCTTCCACAGTGAAGAGTGCAGTGTTTCATTGGCAAACACATCTGACTCCATCTGGTAAAGGTGTCTGGGTGTCCACATGGACTGATGTCTGCAAAAAAGTCAAGATCCTTCAGGCAAATGTGGCACGGAAGGTAAAGACGTGTATATTAAACTGCCTACGTTGAGTTTGAGGCCAGCCTGGGCTACAAGGTGAGCCCAAGACCAGCCTGAGCTGCATAGTAAGACCCTGTCTCAAAAAGACACACACACAAAAAAAAGAAAGAAAAAGGAGATGTTTAAAAATTGTTAGGCATGTTTTTGGAAACTGTTTTCAAGATAAAATAGAGAATATAAAAAAATAAAATAAAATGCCTATGCTGACTGTAGGAGGTCAACTATTTTTTTTTAGGTTAAAACCTTTTTTTCAGGTTAAAATATTTTCCTTTTGTTTATGAGCACTTTTAAATTTGAGCTTCAATGCATAAGTTATATTCAAAATAGTATTTTATTGCCATTTTAATGTTAAGAAATAAGTTAAGTAGAGATTTTCTTGGCCTGCAAGAAAGTTGAAACAAAAGAGAAATACACACATGCACACATGCATGCATTCTTCATATATACATGTACACACAGATATACACACACATATTATATGCATACATATACACATCCATATAACCATGTACATACACACACGCAAGCACATACTTTATGAACTCCAGTCCTAATAGAAAATTCAGGAAAAAGCTAAGCATTTCATTAAAAGCATACACTAGATTATGAAGCAATGCTGCTGAAGGCAGGATTTATAGAACACTTTAAGAATGTTCCAGTAGATTACACACGCCTGTAATACCAGCATTTGGGAGGCTGAGGCAGGAAGAGTGCTGCAAGTTCAGCCAGCATGGGCTACATAGTGAGCTCAAGCCCAGCCTGAACTGCATAGTGAGTCCCTGTCTCAAAAATCCAAAGAAAGAGAATGTTCCAGGAGGGCGGGGCTTTAGGAGACACCACAGTTGCAGGTGCCTTGGACTCTGACGCCTCCAGAATTGAGAGACGAATGTTGTTTATGAGAGTGAAGAAAGAGGGAGAGAGACAGGGAGAGAGCAGAGAGGAGACTCCAGCTCCTTGGCCCTGTGTGGACAGAAATGGTAGTTTTCACCGAATCTAGCTCAGACCTACCCTCTCTACCTCAGAAGTCTCCTTCCTCCGTGGGGAAGGCGCTGCCGCTCACGCTCCTCGTCCTCACGTCCCCCCGGACAGGCACAGTTTTTCTCTGATGGAAAAGCCTGGTCAGTGCCAGTGGGCATTTTTTTCTGGATCATTATCAAACCCACAGGGTCGATCCTCCTGCCTCAGCCTCCCGAGTGCTGGGACTACAGGCACCTGCCATCAAGCCCGGCCTCAGTATCTGGAGGTCTAATGAATTAATCTAAAAAGGCAAAATGTTACCTGAATGATCTTCAGGGACAAAAATCTCTTTGTCCCACAGATGCAATATTTAAAAAATGGAATATGGGGGAAATTCTTGGTCCCTTCCAATTTTTGTCTTCCACGAAATCTTCCTGCTTCAGCGAAGTCTGTGCACCTTTCTTCACCTGTTCGCTCGGCCTTGGCTTTTCCTTGGACCCGAGCTGCCACGCTCTCCGGGCTCCTGGGACCCCCAGCTGGGCCGGACCAGGCTGGGCCTCTCCCCGCCAGGCCCCGCGCTGACCCTTGCTCCTCGCACTCGTCCCGCAGAGGCCAAGTTCGTCTGCCAGACGCCCGCGATCGCCGACATCGTCATCCTGGTGGACGGGTCCTGGAGCATCGGGCGCTTTAACTTCCGGCTGGTGCGGCTCTTCCTGGAGAACCTGGTCACGGCCTTCAACGTGGGCTCTGGGGACACGCGAGTCGGTGGGTGCCTCTCTCGTCCCCGACAGTGGGGCTGTGGGCCGGACCCGACCCCACCCGACCACGGGGAGACCAGGGCCTCCCAGAGGCACAGAGACCCAGGGCTCTAGGGCCAGCTGCACGCTTGCTCCTAGAAGCCCGCTCTGAATGAATAAGCGTTGCTCTTACTAATTTGGCCAGGCCCTCAGTCTGTCGCTGAATGCATTTCAGTGTTCTCAAAAGTCAGAATATTCCCTGCTAATGAACAGCAACTATAAGAAGCCTTTAAAGTTACGGCCTCTTCAAGAATTTATCTTATAGAGTTTTAAAAGAAACAGCTGCACCCAGGCAAATGTGGAACTTAAAAAAAAAAAAAAAGGAAATAGTTTCGAAGTATAATATAACCTTTGCCAAGAAATGTAGACAAGATAAAAAGCCAAAAAAGAGTGGTACATCTTTGAGCAGTATTGTAAATAGTGGAATAACATGTCATCGTTAGAGAAAGCCTCAGGGTTTAAGTTTTGAAAGCCATGAAGGAATATCATTCCTTTGAAAATAAACAGCAGCCAAAGATGTTTACATCTTTTATTTATATATATGAACAGAGTTCTTTTTTCCTTTCAGACGCCAAACGTCTAATTAAGTGCTAACTTCTAAATGGCTAGAAAATATGCACACACCCTCCCCTCCCAGACAGATCCAACTTGAGTCCTTTAACTGATGTCAGGAATTCTTTGAAAATACCTATATAGACAGATAAAGAAAAAAACAATGCTACAAAGATGCAGCCTTTAAGTGCTGGAATTTCTAGAGCGGCCCCTGGGATCATTTCTCCGGCCTTTCTCCTCTCTTGACCCAGGTCTTGCCCAGTACAGTGGTGACCCCAGGATAGAGTGGCACCTGAATGCCTTCAGCACAAAAGATGAAGTCATTGAAGCCGTGCGAAATCTTCCCTACAAAGGAGGAAACACGCTGACCGGTACGTTTGCTCAGTCCACGGCCTTGGCAACCTTCCTTGCTGAGAACAGTGCCTTACTTTATTTCACTACTTTTTGAACATCAACAAAGTATTTCTTAACCAAAGCACCAGGGATTCTTATCCTTTTCTCTTTGAATTGTTTTGGAATTTTCATTAGTACATGTTAGGACATAATGATTACATTCATTGTGGGAAGTTGGTCCCTGTGGGAAACCCTGCTTACTTCTTACATCCCTTCCCCCATCTCTTGGTCCCCTTGCCTTTTGCCAAAAGCCAATCTCCCTGCTTCCTATGATCTATCTTTTATTTTTCTCTTTATTTATATTTTGGATTTCTCATATAAGAGAAACGATGTGATACTGAAGCTTGTGTGTCTGATTTATTTCACTGAACATGATGGTCTCAAGGTGCATTCGTTTTCCTACAAGTGACTCAGATTTATCCTTCTTTATGGGAGAGTAGTACTCCATGGTGTGTAATACCATGTTCCTTCATCCATTCCTCTGTTGATGGAACACAGGCTGCTTCTGAGATTTATCTGTTATGACTTGTTAACACCAAGAATTCTTAGGCAACTCTTTCCCCAAGCCCAGCATGAAAAGTTAAAACTCAAATATCCTATTTCTTTTATTATATGAAAATAATGTCCCAGGAGGGGTTGGTTGAGCTAGAAGGAATAGCGCAATCCCTGGAAATAAGGCAACCGCCTCTGCTGCTTCGCTTTGCCTCTCCTCCTCTAGACGTCTCGACATTTGTAAGCAAAGTGTTTCCTCAGTGCTTACTCTGCCATCAGTAGTTATCGCAAAGATATTTGGGGATCTTTGGCTTGGCGATATTTTAAATGTTGACATTGTAATTACCACAAGAAACATGTAGAGTTGTAGGGTTTTTTCCGGTATTGGAGGAGGAATCCAGGGCTCCAGGCATGTGGGCTAAGCCACACCCTGGTCCTGTTGTACAGATTTTACCCTTAGCGCCAGCTCCTGCCTTCTCAGCCATGTGACATGGAGACATTACTTAGCTTCCCCAGTGAGGATGAGGTCACTGGCTTTTAGGTAAACCATTGAAATCTTGATCCTTGCTTTGCCAGCTTGAAGCATATCTAGTGGAACTTTTGTTAAGAGCAACAAAGATTTATTAAAAACAATTTCTATAATCATATTGCAGCATGTCTTATTTCTGGATGGGAATTGTCTTAAGAGCCAGAAATGTAATTATCACTGTAAATCTGAGACACACACAGAGAGAGAGAGAGAGAGAGAGAGGGATTTGGGTTCTTTGGAACATCATGAACAAGATTAAAAGTATAGTAGCATGTTGGGACAGTCAGTAATGTGTAGGTATTATTTTGCCATCATAAATTACAAAGCTTTAGATTATCTGAACCCAGGTTATTAACATTCATTGTGCGTGAGTCAGTGTTCTTTTAAAGTAGCAGTTAGAAAGTAAAATGTTGTCGGTCAAGAATCTTCATCTTTGATTCCCATCCCTGAACCCACCGTGTGGTATTTAACTAGTGTCCAGTAGATGGTCCTTGAATTATTTGGTGGTCAGAAGCCTTTCTAAGATAACAATACTATTACCCTTAGTCTTAAAATCAGAATACTCAGGAAAGGTACACACACCATGGGATACTACTTTGCCATAAAGAAGGATAAACTGGAATCTTCTGTAGGAAAATGGATGCATCTTGAGACAGCTATGTTAAATGAAATAAATCAGACACACAGCTCACATAGCACATGGTTCCTCTTTTATACAAAACTCAAAATACAAATAAAGAGCCAAATCAAAGAGAGATGGTAGGAAACAGGAAGATAGCTCTTCCGTGCGAATGGGAAGGACAGTAAGAGATCGAGGGAGGCCGAGGGGAGAGGGCGAAGAAAGACTGAAGGTGTGACATCCGCACATACCAGCTTCCCTCGAGGGACGTCACCGTTACAGACTACAAACACGGACTGATAAAAATGAAAAGAATTTAAAGCATGGTGTTCTTATTTAAATAAGGGAAATGTATTACCCTGCAGTAATCAACCATTTTTCATGCATAGAGCAAAAGACATCGAGGGAAAGCATTAAGAGTGTATTTTCCCATGAAACGGTGCCACATTTAGTTGTTTTTACTACCTTTCTTCTGCTGGGTTTTAGTTTTTCCATCTGCTCTGCCAAGAGCTAGGTCACTGTGAACCGCGCGGCCCTATCTGAGGAATTCCTCGGCGCAGCAAGCGCGCGGCGCAGTGCAGGAAGGCTTTTTGGTAGAGGTGCTTGGTTTGTGTTTATTCTGTCCTCGCTTTCTTCTAGGTCTTGCTCTGAACTACATATTTGAAAATAGCTTTAAGCCCGAAGCAGGATCAAGGACTGGAGTCGCCAAAATTGGTATTTTGATCACGGACGGGAAGTCTCAGGATGACATTGTCCCGCCGTCCAGGAGGCTGCGTGAATCTGGAGTGGAGCTCTTCGCCATAGGTACGCCCGCCTCGGCCTCCGGCTGCTCTCCCTGCAGTATGCACAGCACCGGGGCTTCCTGCGAGCCTGGGCACGAGCCCTCCTAGTCCTGGTTCTTAGCTCCCAGGCCCGGGATCAGAACCCAGCATCCGGGTCATCAAAATGCGCACGATGCTACCTATGATGGCCCCCGCGGGGTCAGGACCTTCCGGTGGGATCCGGAGCCGAAACTATGGCTAGTTCTTTTGTGATCCTAGAGGCAGAGATCAATTTATTCTTTTCAAGGAATTAAAATCATTTACTTATTTGCTGTTTTTTTTTTTTTTTTTTGAGACAGTGTCTTGCTGTGTAATTCAGGATGGCTTTGAACTCAAGGTGGTCTTCCTGCTTCAGCCTCCTGAATTGCTGGGATTATAGGTGTGCACCACCAAACCAGGGTGCTGTACTATTTAAAGAAATCAGAGGTCTAGATATGCACTATTACTGGTTTGAAACTAACCCTGGTGGGAAGGATAGATTTGACATACATTTATAATCCCTACAAAATATTTACATGATGTAGCTCTGTTCATAAATTGTTTATATTTTTTTTTGGCACAGGGAGATAGTTTGATACCAACAAACTTTCTCAGCAGGAAAAAAAAAAGCCTGATTCCCAAGTGAGTTTGAAATACAAATCAAAATGCCACTGCACGTTCCTCAAGTGGGCTCCAAAATTAGTTGTTACGAACAATCCATTCGGTTAGGGTTTACATTTGTAGTTATTTTGCTTGGTATCAATTGTCAGTCCAATTAAATGTATTTATTGCTCTGCATTTATCAAGAATACGATGTAATCTCTTGCTCATAAACTTCCTCTGAGAAGTTTCTTCTGTCAGAAGGAAATACTCTCCACTTAGAGTTATATAGCAGTTAGGAGAGGCATATTGGGTTTAAAAATACAGGCATTCAGAATGCAGGCCCCTGGGTCTTGTGGCAGTTTTGCTAGTCAGAATATCCAGCGAGAGAGGCCTGGGAATCTGTACTGTAAACTATGCCCCCATATCTGCACCTGCAAACCTGCTCCCGCGCTGAGAACCGCTGGTCCCTGGATGAAGCACTTCCTCCCGCTGGTCCCTGGATGAAGCACTTTCTCCTGCTGGTCCCTGGATGAAGCACTTTCTCCCGCTGGTCCCTGGATGAAGCACTTTCTCCTATGTGCTGCTAAGTTTCTCGGAGAAATACGCTCCACACGCCTCTGTTTATGCATTTTATCTCACTAGAGCAGTTTCCAATTAGCCATTTTTTCAGAGTTTCTTTTTTTTTATTTTAAAGAAAGATAAAAAAAGAAATAAAAACAATGATAGAGTTTCAAAATAGGATAATAAGAAGTTAACAATGACTAATGCATTACATATTGTTGTCTTCAGAGTAGTTGCTCAGATTACAAGGTACAGGCGTGCAAAATTATTTTCTAGGATGCAGTCAGGCGCTGCCTGGGAACAGCGGGCCGCTGTGGAAATGGTTTTCTCCTCATTCCCACAGCGTCTCGGAGCAGGAGCCCCAGAGTAGGATGACGTCATCACCTTCCATTCCTGTCACCCCCAAGCTGGTGCTTCACATGCAACAAAGATCCAGTAAATGCTTGTGGAATGATTGGTGGCTCAAAAGCTTCTCAGATGCCAGTATTACCTGCGTGTTAAGTCAAAATGCCAATGAAGGATATGGCTTTTGTTCAAATAAGTGAGAGGGGTCAGCCTGTGGCAACATGGCTGTGACTTACACATTTCCCTTGCACAAAGAGAAAGCAAAAGAAATCCAGGGACAAAACTGAGCATGCATCACGCCCACACTTTGCGGCCTCAATCAGGAGCCGTGGCTCGAGGGTCTGAGCTCGTGGATGGCAGGCGGGCGGCATCTCAGGCCAGCGGCCCGCGCCAGGGCTCTCCCACTTCTGCGTCCTGCGACCTCACACTGACTGTTTGAAACCAGCCCTAGTTAGGCTTTTACAGAGCCTGGCAAGGGCTGCAAACCTGGGCCAAAAGCGGCCTGTTAAATTTTGACCAGGTTTACCAGTCCTCCCGGAATTCCTGCAGGCATAAACTCAGTGACTTTAACCGTGTAGTAACTCCAGTCTGGAGATAAATCCGAAACCCGGTCCTGGGCATGGTTCAAGTTTGTTTGCCCTGACGTTCTCCGCCCTGAAGTTCCCCGAAATTCTCTCGCCCTGTGTGAGAGTCACCGCTCCAAGTGTGGGTCATGGCAGGCTTTCCTCAGGCGGTGGTTGCCTATTCATTGCGCGCTAGGCATGGTGTTGGGTGCTGGGCACAAAAGCAAAGCAAAATCCTTGCACAACACGTTTCTCTCTTTCCCGTGCAGTTGCAACTGTTAAACTATTTTATTCAAACAGGAGAGAGAGAGAGAGTTAGTCATCTTTTCTAGGATATTCTTTTGTTTTAAATTTTAAAATAATTTTATTTTTTGTCACCTAGGTAATTAAATATATATTTATAGTATTCATAAGAATCTTTTGTTTATCCTTATGAGTCCGAACTTGTCCATTTCAACTGCATGACAAGAGAAAGCGTCACTGTCGCTCGGCTTCAAGCCTGCCCGTACACTCAGTGTTACATTCATTCAAGCGTTCATTTTGGAAGCTACTTTAGAGGTCCTTTGGGCAAAAACATCACAAGAAGTTCTCTTCATCCTTTCATCCTACACAGGAAATCTCTGCGGAAGATGTAAACCAGGCAGGGATTAGTTTATGTGTTTACCCTGTGTTCTGTGCTCTTGTGAACAATGCATGGATGAGTTTTTCAACAAAGCTTGAAGTGAAGTCATGCAGATGTGCTGTGGGCTTTTTCTTTGGAATTTACCTGGAAGTCAGTAGCATTCATTATCTGAGAACCCAAGGCTTTGTTACTCAGTGTGTTGAGGCTGAAAGACAGCTTAGAAGTAGCTTGAGCCTCGCTGGTCTCTCTTCTGTGCTCCAGGAGTCCCTCTCTCCGTACACTCCTGGGATTAAATGGCAGGGCTGCTACAGAAGTCCTCTTTGTTTGCTGGCGCTTGGAGAAGGGAAATTTACCTTCGCACCCATGAAATCTCACCCGATCCCATCTCAGTTTTCCCTGGGGAGAGTACTCATGTTAACGTACAGTCCCCAAGAAGTCGTATGGTGTAGTGGAACCCCATTACCAGCTCTGTCCCCCTGAGCCAACTGGCTCTCTGCATTTATTAATCTGTAAGTGGCAAGAAAAACCAGTGCTAAACCCACAGCATTGGTGGTGAGGATTAAGTGCAGTAAAATACATAAAACAGGGGGCTGGGGATATAGCTCAGTGGCACAAGCGCCTGCTTGGCAAGCACAAGGTCCTGAGTTTGATTCCCGGTACAAAAAAGAAATACACAGAACACCTCCTAGAGTGCTTGGGGCAGAGCAAGCCATCTTCCAGTCAGAATCTGCTAGATTTCGGGCACTCAGCATCATGCATGGCCTGTGGCTCTGGCCTCCAGGGACCCCATGAGGGGACCACTGCTCTCCTGTTGTTACCCCTGAATCCCAGTGGTGAGGAGACAGCAAACTGTGTTGGAATACAAGTTTCCCCAAACTGTACTGAAATACAAGTGCTACAAAATAATTATTTTAAATACATATGATTGTCACTGGAAGGGCAGCTCTCAGTGTAACTACACTTATCTTAAGGAAATCTAGAGCTCAGAGGTTGATAGTTTCAGGTGTGGAATTCATTAGTCTTGCTTTGGCAATATTCACACAAGATGGAAGCTAGTTTTTTTCAAATCCCCTTCCTGTTAGGATGTACTGAGTGAAGTTAGTATCTAGTCATTTAAAAATGTTTCTCAAACTGATTTACAAAAATAACAGCACAAAACATGTTACTTTAAAGTAGCCGATGCAAACCACTGAATCCTAGACCTAAGGTCTGTCGGCAGGTAGGGGTGTTAGGCACCCTCAGGGTGATGTCCCAGCTGCCATTTATCAGGACATAATTGCTTTCATTTTATCAAAAATAGACATTCTTATTGTTAGCTTCTTTATTTATTTTCTTTCAACCTGAATCATTTGGGAAAATCAGATTTATTGCTTTCTGTCATGTACTAAGACTTAGCTATACATTTTCATTTCATCCATTTATTTTGCATACATATTGATTCCTTTGAAGTGAGGTCTCCTTAAGATGTACAGTCTGGTCTTGAACTTCTGGGCTCAGGCAGTCTTCCTGCCTCAGCCTCCCAAGTGCTAGGACCACAGGCCGGTGCCACCGACCCCAGCATTTCTGTATGTGTGTGTTTGCGATGGAAACATTGCATTATTTCTAAAAGCAAAGAGCCAAGCGGCAGGTGCTTGCTGGTTGTGCAGACAAGGGGAGGCCTGAGTGTCTTGTGCCCCCTGTTCCCTCCTGCCAGGTGTGAAGAACGCGGACCTGAGTGAGCTGCAGGAGATCGCCTCGGAGCCCGACAGCAGCCACGTGTACAACGTGGCCGAGTTCGACCTGATGCACACGGTGGTGGATAGCCTGACAAGGACGGTGTGCTCCGGCGTGGAGGAGCAGGACAGGGAGATCAGAGGTACTGAGGGGCCAGGCACAGTCCTCCGGGACCAGAGCCTCACTGTTCTCCACGTGGGCGCCTCACTCCCCTCCCCTCCCCTCTCCTCCTCCTTCTTTCCTCCTTTCCTCTCTCTCCTCGAGGCAGGGTCTTGATGTGTAGCCCACGCTGGCCTTGAACTCCAGATCCTCCTGCCTCGGCCTTCGGGGTGCTGGGTTTACAGGCATGCAGCATTTCTTAACGCTCTTTTTGTCCCGAGACCTGAACCCTCAGAGTAGAGAGGAAGCTGCCGGCCAGCTCTGTGGGGTGAGCGACGGCGGCTCCAGCAGCTGGGTGACTCGCTCCAGCGTGGTACCTGTGGGCCATTTTTAAGATCAAGCTTTTAATTTCGAGATCACTGCACATCGACTTAGGGTTCTAAGCAGTCACACGTAGAGGCTACACCCTGTGGAGCCACGGTGCTGTTGCTTGCGAGCAGGGTGCTGAAACTGATGCAGTCACCAGCTGGGGCCCCTCTGTCCCCACAAGAATGGCGCGAGTTGCCCATTTAGAACCACCCTGCCCCAGTCCTTCCACCACCCTCTCCCTGCTCTGACAGCCACGAACCTCTTCTCCATCCCTAATTTGCTTTACCTTCAAAAGTGTTATACAAATGGGGTCCCACAGCCTGTAACTGTCTCATGCAGATGCCGTGAAGATTTGTTTATTTCGTTGCTTGTGTTGGTGTCAGAGCCCACAGTGTGGATGCGCACAGCTTGGGTATTTTTGTCTTTTTGAGACAGGGTCTCGCTGTGCAGCTCAGACTGGCCTTGAGCTCACTTTGTAGCCCAGGCTGGTCTCAAACTCGCAATGATCCTCCTGCCTCAGCCTCCAAGTGCTGGGATTATAGGCATGTGCCACCACACCCGGCAACGTGTGCAGCTTGTTTAAGCGCTCCCACAGTGAACAACCAGTTTCTGGCTCCTGTGTATAAGCTGCTGTGAACCTTCATGTATTGATTCTCGTGTGCACAGAAGTTTTCAGCTCTCTGAGATATTGCCCAGCAATGCAATTGCTGGTTCATATCCTGGCTGTATGTTTAGTTTACTTCATTACAAAACTGCCAGACTCTTTCCAGGGTAGCTGTAGTATTTTACACTCCCACTCGCAATGAACAAGTGGCCCATCCTGAGACTGTTAATTCTTGAAGTCAACATTCTCTCTCTTTTCTGGATCAATTTCTGCTGTTCTGCCCGTGAAGTTCACTGATTCTTTCCTCTGTTGACTTGGTTCTGCTGTTCAGCTCATGAAGTTGAAATATTTCTTTTTGATTATTATACTTTTAGGTCTAAAATTTCCACTTAGTTCCTTTCTGTATTGTTCAATTCTCTGTGAGAGCTTTCTATTTCTTTATTGAGAGTTTTAATTCTTTATTTAATTCTTTATTTCCATCATGGTTGTAATTGTAATGGGAGTGTTTTGGGATGGCTGCACCTTCTGATTTTCTGGGTTCCTCTAACATCTCTCCGTCAGAGGAAGAGGGAGGGGAGCTGTTTTATTTTTGCTGGACTGTAGAAATCCAGGTTACTCACTTGGTTTCCTTTAACATCTTGGGAAGTGAGGGCCTTTTAGGAACCTTCTACTGATACCATTCCGCGAAGAAGTGAGACCCCCTCATTTCTAATCCCGGACGGCACCCACCAAGTCTGCTGTGAGTGCGGCCTCCCTGCTGCTGGACAGTGGGAAAGGCCTTGAGTCACTGCAAAGTGTCCCCTGACACCACGCCAGAGTCTGGGGAGGTGGCGCCCTCTTCCTCCCAGGTGGGGCTGGGAGTCCGGCAGGCCCTCCCCGTGCTTTCCCTGACATCACAGACGGGTGCTGGGGAGAAGGGTCCTTACTTCCTGTACTGCCCTGGCTGGCGTGAGAGATAGGGTGGATGTCACAACCCACTGTCACAGCCAAGAAGGGCACACGTGTGGGCTCCCACTGAGGCTTGGCCATCATGGTGGAGTGAACCACGTCACTGTCGGTGGTGTTTGTGTGGAGTAGAGCAGTTGACGCCGAAACATCTGTTTTGGTGGGTGGGCTTGTCCCTGGTCTGTAGGCTAGAGAGAGCAGGCTGTATTGGGGTGTCTTTTGTCTCTATTGGTGGGTGTTTCTAGGTTGCCAGATACTTTATCTCCATGTCTGGAAAAGATGAATAAAAAAAGAGAAAAAGAAACTCACTGCTTTGGTATTACTTGAGTCCTCCCTCTCCACTACCTATCTTTCTCTTCTAGTTTCAGTGTCTCTTTGTGCTTGTCTTGCATGCAATATCTGGAAGGTTTTATGCTTAGAAGGAGGAATGGACCTATCTTCCTGGGGGCAAATTCCTCATGGAAATGTTTTTCAACCTTGCTTCTCATCCTACCATTGGTCTGCAGGTTACACCTGGCCGATTAGGGTGTGAGAGAATTTAAGAGTGCGGGCTTTTGTCTTTTACTTTGAGTGCGTCTGGGAGTGTGACATGACACTTCTTGTCTCCTGTTGTCTATTTGCATTTTTCCTCTTCCCTGGACCAGGACTCTCGGCACTGGGTTGGGTGTCCAAGCAGTAGAATCTTGAACAAATTTCTCTGAGCTTCAGAGTGAGACTGCTTTAGATCCCAGCCCCCTCGCCTTCCCACAAGGTTGATGACAGCGTGTGATTCACTGCCTGACAATGTTAACTTCAAAACCATGTTTTTTTTTATTACTGTGTTTATTAAAGTCCTCTCAGGTAAGTGCTCCTAGTGGCCGAGAACTCCTACAAGTCCAGATCTTCATTCGCGTTTTTGCATTGTGTTTCCTTTTCAGCCAGACTGTCCATCTCCCACATCTTTACAGAACCATTTCCTTCAACATACGTGTAATGCACCATAAATGCTTAACTAGCACTTGGGCTCAGCATGACACTTGGTATCTGTTAGTTGATTCTTTAAAATCTCTTTTTATTTTTTGATACTCAGTATCAGTTGAAGTCTTTGATGTAGAGACTGTTCTCTGATGCTAGAAACTATCACTCTCAGCTCTGGGTCTTACTACTTGTGAGACCTTGGTCTAGTTAATTAGCTTTACTGTGCTTTGTTTTTCTTGTGCACAAATCATGGCCAGTAGTAACTACTGAGAATTAATATTTCTAAAGAACACAGAAGTACCTTGAGATGCTCACATGCTCAGTGAGTGCTTGTTTTTAGTACCTACTAACAAATCCTTTAAGAGAGCTCCTAGGAGTCAGGGCGATGCCTTATTTAAGTTTGTATCCTCGGACCCTAGTGCAGAGCATAGTATCTAATGGACACGAAATGTTTGAACAAATGCAGGAATTAAAAACCACATCAACTTGTCAAGAGATGAAAGCCTTGGAGGCAGCATCAAATCAATGGCCATTTCTGACAGGTGGGACTTCTTAGGTGCATGTGAATAACGGTGGGAAAGAGGTTTATTTGCTCAATTTCTTTGATTCAGCCTCAGCCCTTACCACCACCGGGCCACCGACAGAGCTGATTACATCGGCAGTCACTGCCAGGAGCTTCATGGTGAACTGGACTCACGCCCCAGGCAACGTGCAGAAATACAGGGTCGTGTATTACCCTACCAGAGGTGGAAAACCGGAAGAGGTAATAGGAGACAATATTTCCAAACTCGACTTTTTATTCTCTGATATCTTCTGCAGTAGTGACAACAAGACAGGAATGTGCATACAGGAGACGATTCTGTCATAAATACTTTAAATAATTTGACCAAAATCCATTTCAACACTTCCATATTGCTTTTCCATCTCTCTGAGCTATGGTATTAATAATCTTCTTTCATCTCTCCACCAAATAACCATCAGAACTAGTCAGGTCTGCATTTCTAACTTATATTTCTTCTTAAACTTAGGGAGCTATAAAGAAAAGGTTATCAGTGGTTAATTACCTGGCAGAAGCTATTTTAGGTAATCATACTTGTCTTTTTTTTTTAAACTTGGAGTAGCCTGAGACCTCTGCCTTAGTGAAGCCTGATAACTGCAAATACTACGGTGATATAATGGACCGGGGCCGCAGGATTTGAAGTTTGCTGAGCATTTGTAGAGATTGATGCTGGTGACAAGCCACAGGGAAGCTGCCAGCATTTTCCATTGTTTGAAGAGAACACCCATCGCCAGAGAGTTGGCTTCGTTCCCCTCCTACCTTCAGTTCAGCTATTCACAGATAATAAATTAAACGTAGTGAAATCCCCACTTCCCTCTGTGGTTCTAACCTCGCATTGACCTCTATCTGCTTCACAATTTTCTTTTGTATTATGACAGGATTCTTGAGCTTTTTGAAATGCTAGAGAAGGAGATCATGAAGTTTTGTATGTCTTCACATGTCTCTTTTTTAAATAACTAATGCAACTTTTCAGTGTTTCCCCGCGTACCATGGAAACAAACATGCGTCTAGTGTTGATTAAGTGCAGAGGATAGATAATGATTAACCCAGCGAGGGCACAATTTTAAATAAGTGTGAATTAATAGACGACTTTAGACACAGCCCATAGAAGATGCATTCCTAGGACTATTAGCTGCTGTGGTAGAAAGGAAGATATGAGGCCAAGGATAATATATGTAGGGGATACTTGTGCCTTTGCTTTAACTCTGAGTGTGTGAAATCTCTACTCCTCACACTCTCTCTGCAGGTGGTGGTGGACAGAAGTGTGACTTCTCTCGTGCTGAAAAACTTAATGTCTTTAACTGAGTACCAGGTAGCCGTCTTTGCGGTCTATGCTCACACTGCCAGCGAAGGCCTGCGGGGAACAGAAACTACACGTATGTATTTCACTCTAACACGTTCCTCCCGTGGCCGGGACCCTGTGCCTTGGGGGACACCGGCCTCGGCTTCTCGAGCTGACAGCCGTTCTCTGTACAGTGCTGGGTGTGCGGCTGGCAGCAGCCTGCCACGTGGATGTTAACGCTCCTACTTGGCAGAAGTATTTGAACGACCGCCCTAACTCTCAAGGAGCTTTTGGTCTAGTAAGGGAAGACCAAAGCCACGTGACCCGCTAGTGCCGTGAAGTGCTGTACAAATGTGTGCAAAGAGCCACAAGGGCAAGCAAAGCTCAGAACTTGACAACGGGATTAGAAGAGTGAGCAGGGTCACATTATGAAGGATCTAACGTTGTACCTGAAAACATCTCATGCTTTCACCAGCATTTTACATGCCAGGAACTTGACATTTATCCTATATGGTTAATCTTAGTCTCTACTGCACTTCTGCAAGGACATTTCTCAGTGGCTGAACACAGAAACAAATCTCTTGCAGTTGCTCTGCCCATGGCTTCCGACCTGGAACTGTACGATGTGACCGAGAGCAGCCTGCGTGTCAAGTGGGACCCGGTGCCAGGGGCCACGGGGTACCTGGTCCTCTATGCACCTCTCACAGAGGCGCTGGCTGGGGATGAGAAGGAGGTGAGCCGTGTGCCTGCTGCAGTCCTAGGGGTCCAGATCTTAAGACCATGTTTTCAGTGCAAATGTCTAATGTGTAAAATTTAGAAAATTCAGATTGGCAGAAAAAAAAAAAAGCCAACCAATCAGCAGTAGTCTTACTAGCTGGAGATAACCACTGTTAACATTTAGCTAATAGACTTGTTCGGTACAACACAGGAAAATAGTTTCCCTTTCGTTTATTGTGCAAGCCTTTCCACTTCCACTGAAGAATTCTTGCACACTCGTTTCCTCTAGCCACAGTGTATCACTGTTGGTCTGTACAGACTGTGTTTAATTTCGTGTTGTTGCCATGGAGATAGCTTGTTGTATAAATAATGCTTAACATTCTTCACGTTCTTCCCATAGATCATTGCGTGACTGCTCAGTTATTTCCTTAGGATAAATTCCCAGAAATGAACTTTCAAAGGGTATATGAATTATTAAGCCTTGTATTAGTTATTACCAGATGGCTCTAGACAAAGGTTATATAATTTATTTTACCATATGCAGTTCAATAATAACCATTTTCTGCATATAACCTAAATTAATTTTGTCTTATTGAGAGATAGAAAAATATATCTCATTAACATTAATTTTGCCTTTCTATTTTAAATTATAAGTACTTTCAATTGATTTATTTTTAGATTTTTTTTTTTTTTTTTGGTTTATGAGGTGGGGTCTTATTGTGTAGTTCAAGGTGTTATTGAACGCAGTATGTAGCCCAAACTGGTCTGGAACTCATGGCAATCCTCCTGCCTCAGCCTCTCGAGTGCTGGGATTAAAGATGTGTACCATCACACTTGGCTTTAGATCTTGCTTTTAATTTACAAGGGGAACTTGCTATAAACTAGACACAGGGGAAATTCTCTGCGCCTCCCAGGAGCCTTGAGTGGGCAGGTAGAATGGATAAAAGGCAGTTTGGAACTTGATTCTTAGACCTGGTCTAAAATCTGCCACTGATGCCTGAAATTTTTAGAGTTAAAAAGAGTGAATCTGAGTATCAAGAGCAGAGTGTTGATGACAGTTGCTCTCTTATTTCCAAGGTTTAGAAAACTTGTTCTTTCATTTGGATGGAAAGTTGATCTGAATGACTTTGGCAGAAGAAATACTAAAAAAGGTTTTGGAATTATGCTCAGTCTCACTGGAAAAGAGAAAAATAAAAACGAAAAGAATACTAGCTCACAACCAACAGATTGGGAAAACCTTTCTGAAGTCTGGTCGATACCGTGTGGCAGTGAGATGGGAGAAAAACCATCATTCCCCTGTCGCTATAGGCATTTAAGTTGGTTCAGCTCCTTGGAGACTGTTTTGAAATATTTCATCATGTTTAGATGTATAGCAGAGGGCAGTGTCTTGCAAGGATTTTCAGTGCACATGGTTGGAACACAATAGTGCAAGCAACGAATGTGCTCCTCGGAGGGGGAATGGAAAATGGTGGTGTATTTATACAAAAGCGTACACGAAGGGATTAACGTCAGTTCTGTCTCTGTGCATCAACATGATAAGTCCTGGGAGATAAGACTGACAGAGGAAAACAACAGTAAGCTGTGGCAAGATTCTGTTGCTATGACATCATCTGTGTATACAGTTAAACACTGAGGACCACAGATGAGTAACATATGTATACATACGTGTACAGAGACTTTTTAAAATAGAGTGAGACAGACATCAATATCAAGGTAGCGGTGGTGACCAGATTGAATGAGAAAGAACTTTAGCCTTGTCTAAATACATCTGTTCTTTCTAAAATAAGATCTGAAGCCCGTTTGACCAAATTTTAATCTTCATTAAATCTGAGTCATTGTCACATCAGGAGGCACTGCATTATTTCCTGTGTGCTTAGGTGATGTTTGTGGAGATGGTTAGGTTTAAAGGTTTGATTTGACGATGGCACTTGTAGCTGTGTGACTGGAGGCTTGTTTAGGGCGAGCCTATGCTTCTAAGGTGTAAAACTTTCTTGTCACATAACTGAAGTTAGTGGCTCACCTGACCAACTCCAAAGGTTAGAAAAGTTAGCCCGGAACTGAAAAGAAAATCACCAAGTTGGGTGTCAAGGCGGATGTCACTCTTCTGAATAACGGAAGTGATTGCAGTCCAACTAGACTGGCCCCTCTGTGGACCATGGTGGCAAAACCGGCCAACTCAATGGCGCTTGAAGCAAAACTTGGGCATCCAGCCACGACTGGTTAGAATTAGCAAGCAGTGACAGATGCCCACTTGGACAGATGCCCACTTGGCCTGGAGATCACACTCAAGAGGGCACTTCTGATTCATTTCCACCCACCCGCTCTGGGTACCGTACCCTCGACCTCATTATTCTGGCTGCGGTTGCCATTTGTCCAGATGTAACGGTTATGCCAGCCCAGCAGGCATGGGTATGTTCCCGTTTCCATGATTGAATATCATCTCTCCCTAATAGGAAGCAGCACATGACAATTTTATGACTGCAGGCCGTTTGACAGAGCGATTGTGAGGAGACACAAAGTCTTATTCCAGTCTCACCTTTATTCAGTTTCACATCAAGCAGCAGGAATAACACAGCCTGGCAAAATGATCTCATTACATGTGTTCTTCTCAGATGAAGATCGGAGAAACCCACACAGACATCGAGCTGACCGGGCTGGTCCCCAACACGGAATACACGGTCACGGTGTACGCGATGTTTGGGGAAGAGGCCAGCGATCCTGTTACGGGACAGGAAACGACATGTGAGTGGGAGAGTCTTCCAGCAGAGGTGCTGTGATAAAATCCGCTAAATGTGGGACTTTGCAATTGGAAATACCAGATTAGGTTGAAATGCCCTAAGAGCTTGTTGTGACATAGGACGATGTGTATTTCTCTGGGGGCAAATGTATGTGTATCTTCTGTCTTGCATTATTGTGAGTGACGCAGACATTAGAATGGCACTTTAGCGTTCTCCGGACAGTTCCACCGGTGTGTTTGTCTAAATCCAAATGTTAGGTCAGGACAGAGGGGAGAGCTCTGGGAGAGCTTTGGAATCGTAGCGGTGGAGAGCTAGGAATCTCAGGTCAAGCCATATTTTAGCTGGGTGATGACAGGTTAGTGCTGTAACATCTTTGAGTCTGTAAATGAGGAACAAATCTTACAGCGTGTGGTCAGTGTGGCATTAAACACAGACCACACGTGACAGCGCTTAGCATAAGACTTCTCAGCGATTTCCTCGTCAAAATTAGTACATTTTTTCTAAAAATCTCTGCTCTCTTTATCTGAGCCTATTCGTGCTGCATTTTCTGAGTAAATTTTCTATTGGTGAGGCTAATTTTGGCTTATTTTTTCTTGTGGTGATGCTGGGATTTGGATCCCGGACTCTGCATGCTGGCCGGTGCTCTACCTAAGGCTAATTCTGAACTAAATATAAGGAACTTGTATTTTTAGGAAATGTCTATATTTAATCTATTTTTAAAAAAATGATAACAGACAAAGATACTACCATAGCATACTAAAAAGGCTTACCATACGCTGTTAAAAATATGGCTGTATTCATAATCTTTTACAACGGAAGAAAGCGAAGGGTTAGCTGCCACTTCGAGTCTTGGGACAAGATGAACACCACAGTTTTTGCCTGGCCTTTGGCTTTTGAGAGTCTACTTGGGAAAACACAGGAGTTGAGTGACAAGGAAATAGGTTTCCCCACATCCTTTTTGGTTTTTGTAGTCAAAGATGTGTTGTTCTCCTTCTTTAGAGAAAGGCCGATGTAATTAAAGCAGCAAACAAACAAAACTGGGACAGAAGAAAAAAAGAATTGAATCATGCCAGAAAGTATCTAATATATCATTTGCTGAGTGAATTTTCCAACGCTGTCTGTTTGGAAGAAAAACTCTCCCTACTCCCTATATGTCACACGCAAAGCTCACTTATTTATAGGTTTGAAGAATATGGACAACTCTTCCCCATGATTAACAGTTGATTTAAACAAAACAAATGAACAAAAAAAAAAGAGGCTGCTGAAAAGATGACGTTCTAGGTAGCTGCTCCTGGGACTGGCAGTCTTACGCATTAAGAAAATGACTTAATTTTGCTGTACTGCCAAATGTAGCTGAATTCTAGAAAAACCGTAGAGCTAAGCATGTACAGTACCTGCTTATGTCACTTTTGCCTTTCCTACACTTTCTCTCCAGCCTCTTCAATATTCATAGGGTCCCTAACTCTGATAAGCCCTTTATTGTCCAAGAATCAGTGGGTACTGAATTAATGCACGAGCTGTCCCTTTGGATTAGGAAGCTGTGTGCCTCATGGCTAAGGCTGATTGTTTTCACAGTTTGTCTCCATGGTCTTTGCTCTGCTGGCTGTACCACCACTGTTTGAGATTGTGTTGCGCTGTGTTGTGTTGTGGGGTGTGTGTGAGGGGTGTTTAGCACACTGGTTAACCAATTCTAGAACCACGTAATCAATTGGCTGGGTTAAATTCTTACTCCTCTTCTGTTCCCAGTGACTGTGACCTAATTGCCTTCATCGTCATCAATACAATGAGGGTGTAGCAGTCTAAAGTCGGGATTTATGGGATACACCATGCTATGTGTCAGACTCATGGAAATCACTCAATAAATGTCAACAATTATTGGGCTAAACTCTTATGGCTCTACTGCCATTGTCATCAATACTTCAATTGTCATCAGTACAATGGGGATCATTACAACTCGATCTTTGCAGTCGAAAGTCAGGATTTAATGGGCTAACATGTGTTATGTGTCAGACTCAGGGAAAACACTGTCAGTGTCAACAATTATTGTTCCTATAAATCTGTAAAAGCTCATAAAACTCTCAAGAATGAAAAGCTATGGAACTGATCGTCAAGAAGCTGCAGGAAAGCCGGTACCTCTCTAACTAATTTTAAAGCAACAGTGAAGCGCTTGTTTTTATTTAGGCCCACAAAACCACTCTCATTTACTAAGGGCAGGTAATTCCTCATGGATGCCTTGAATATATCTTGGAATATTGGGGATATAGCTGGGAGCAAAATTAAACCAAATTATCTAATCCCCTGAGGTTACAAAACAAAGCATTGAGAGAGCACGTAAACCAAAAATATGCAGTGCAGAAAAGGAAGGTGGGTGGTGTTCAGGTAGAATTGTTTTCCATGATATGACCATGGAAAGTCTCCCCAGGAAGAAGTCTGTATTCAGAAACCTGACAGGCAGGGAGACCAGCCGTGCAGATATCTAAGGGAAACACCCAGAAGGCAAAAGTGACAGCAAGTGCTGTCTTGTGAGTGACCATAGCTGCAGCGTCCTGCACCAGGAAGAATGACAGTGAGTGACGTAAGCCAAGGAGAGAATCATGGGAGATGGGGCAGCAAGATGGCGGAGGCCAGTCACTAGTGTCACCATGGCTACGGTAATAACGGAGGGAGTCAGGAGCCCTGAGCATGGTTTTGCGCAGAGGAACAAACTCTGTCATAGGAACACTTTTTTCTTTATTAGTGAGACAACATTTTTAATTTTTTATGAGCTAGTTTGCTGGTTATTTCAGGATTATAAATTATCGTCTGGGTGACATTTTTCATATGAAACGGTTCAGAAGTCAAAGATGCTGTTTCTTCTCTTTTTTACATATCTGTTGTTTAAAATTTTAATTATTTTCTGTTCTGTTCCCTGAAAAGTACCTTTAACTCCACCGACAAACCTGAGAATCTCCAATATCGGCTCCAACAGTGCTCGGTTATCCTGGGACCCAACCTCCAGAAAGATCAGTGGTTACCGAATTGTCTATACCAGCGCAGATGGGACTGAAATCAATGAGGTGAGCTCCAGAACAGGACCTATCTGTTTTGAGGTTGTTGTGTATTAGTTATTAGGGGCTTCCTGGTCAAAGCCTGATGGCTTAAAACACTATTTTCTTTTATGGTGTCTATGGATCAGGGATTGGGGATTGCACGTGCTGTTCGGGGTGGGAGGCCGCACGTGAAGCGGGGGCCCTGGGTGGCAGGACCTGGAGCAGACCCTTCTGTCTCCCCAGCATGCAGCTCCAGGGGAGTTGGCTTAGGAGGCCGAGGACACATGCCCATGGTGAGACTGCGTCACCCTAAATGACCTAGGCTTAGAAGTCATGTGATGTCACCTCCACCATATTCCATTGGCAGGAGCTGCCACAAGCCACTGTCAGGCTTCCAGGTGGGAGCAGCCGAGTTCCCACCTGTCATGGGAGGCTGCCAGTCACACAAACAGAGCCTGTAGGATGGGCAGTGTACATTGATGTGGTCTCCTCGTAGAACACAATCTGTTATGGCGGATGGACGTGGGGAGTACACATCTTCGTTGAGTCTGCAAACTAGAAATATACTCTCTGCTTACCCAGTTTATCTCTCTGCTTTGAAGCAAATTGACATCAGAAGAGCCTCATTAGATGAGCCTAAATTAAAAAAATAAAAATAAATAAATTAAAAAATAAACAGTTCAACTTTTGTTTAAGACAAGACTTTCAAATAATGGGACTTACAAAACTCAGGAAGATATAGTATCTTACATGCGGTGACTAATGTTTACAGAAATTCTTTCCTTGGAAATATGTTTTAGCAAGATAGCAAGGTTATTTTTGTTTTATTTTTCCTTATCTTGGTCCAGGAAGCTAAGACAAATGGGAAATATGTTGGATTACATCAGTTCTATTTTCTGACCAAATAAAGTATTTTCATATGCTGAGACAAATTTTTTCCAACAGTCAAATCCAAGTAATACTTTACAAAATGCACTTTCATAAGAAATATGGTGAAGTGAATGGTTAGTAAGTACACACTTTCTAACCTGTACAAGTACTAGCCACCACCTCCCTAAACCCTCGTAGGTCCTGAGGGCACATAATTCTGGTGAGTCTGAGGCCTTTGGGACTAGTTGTTTTGCTTTTGAAGACAGGAGCCTGGAGCAGTAAGAAAGATTAAAATAAAATCCACTGAGCTACAAGTGCCTCTTTATCCCCAGTAATAGGCAAACAACTTTCCCAGGAGTTGAGGACCTAGCTACATGGGAGGGTCCATGGATGTGTACACAAGAGAAGCAGCATGCCACTAACTGCAGAGACAGACACTGCAGCAAAGAAATACCCTCACCAAGATTTCCTTGAAACATGAGCTCAGCCTCTATTTTGCATCCTCATCTGGGGGACGTGGGTGTGGAAGAAATCCTTGACTTAAAGAAACGGACAACACACATCAGTGACAGGGACATAGGGTGAGGAGGGGACTGGTGTGACAGGAAGTGTGCACCCATCCAGCTCCTGCTCCATAAAAATTCAGGCAGACGGCCAGGTCCTGGAGCCTTGGCAAGATACAAAGCTTTTTATTTTTATGTGAAAATTACCAATTTAAAGTTGGAACAGCCAAAGTAGCACAGCGACTACATTCACTAATTTTTCTTTCATTGTGGGGCATCCTCCTTTGGTAATAGCTTTTTCATAGGCAAAAATACACTTTCATATACATAAATCATTATAGTTGTAAGCATAATCACGTAATAATGAAGAGTAACTGTTCTCTTTGTGCATAGCCCATTACCTGGCTGACTCACACACCACAGAAACACAGCACTCACAGCCCTGGAGGCTGGGACCTCCCAGAGCCGGTACCAGCAGATTCAGTGTCCTGTGAGGGTCCATCCCTCCTAGGTGACACCTTCGGCTGTGTCCTCCCGTGAAGGATAAGCACACAGGCTCCCATGGCCTCTCTTATCAGGGCCCTTGCCCAAGGCCATGAGAATCGGAGGGCACAAGCATTCAGACCACAGTAACTGTCGGGGTGTCTTCTGACAGCTTGTGCTGTTTCTCGTTGTCAGGAATGGTCCCAAACTCCTATAACTGCTGAGGATGTATTTGTGCTTTTTTGCAGGGCTGTTTAATCTTAAGGATGCCTTTGGGCATTTGCTGTTTCTAATTTGTTGTGGGAAATTAGAACACTACATTTGGTGAAGCTGAATTTAAAACATCAGTAAATGGAGTTTGAATGAGGACCCGAAGACATTTTATGGAATACAAGGCACAAACCGTGCATGTATTTTATTTATTTATTTATTTTTATTTTAAAGAGAGTAGTTAATGAGAGACAAACAAACAAAATAGGACAGCAGCAGCATACCAGTGTCACAGACATAAACAAATCAGAGCAAGAACATTCAAAGTGATAGAGAGTCTAAAGACAAAATAATATGAATCAATAGTGGTTGTTACATTACATATCGCTATCCTCAGCCAAATTGCTCAGATTACCAGATGTAAGAGTGAAAGATTGCTCGAACCATTAAAGAGCATAAGAAGATAATTCTTCGATGAAACATTAGAGATAATACAGAGTGTCACTACACAAGGTGGTAGGAGCTCAGCACTGCAATCCCAGTGCATGTTGTTACCGTCAAACCAGTCCGTGCGTGGGTTTTTAAACATCTGTTTTGAATGGTGTGTGTTTTCTTGTTCTTACCTCTTAACCATGCAGTTGAGATTCACAGCTCTGGATAAGCATCTTTTAATTAGGTGAAGTATTATCTCATGTTATTTTGAAATGTTTGATTTTTAACGGTGAATGGTCCTACCAGAGTTTGCTTTAATGTCTACGAATTTAAACTTCTATTTATAGGTAAGGCACCAATGGGCTTTTAAGAAATCCTGAAGTATTTTGAAATGTTTATGAACTGCCAACTAAGATGGACTTTGTAGGTAACATGTAACTGACTATAAGAACTTTTACTTTACAGGCAATTAATATTCTCTGCTTACTTCCTCTTCCTGTAGATTTCCTCTTCTGCATCTTTCCTCCCTCACTTCCGGTTTCTGTTCACTTCCTCATTCTCTACGTCCTGTCTGCACTACCCCTCCCCCCAGCTTTTCGGAGGGCTAGGAAACAAAGGGAAAGGGTATGAAGCGGGTGTCAGCGATGATGGTGGGACAGAGGTGACGGTCGTGGCGGCTCGCACCTGTTCAGTGTTGCTGAGTGACCCCCGGGAGCCAGGCACTGTTCTGAGTACCCTGCAGAGAAGCCCTGTTCAGATCCAAGTGCTGGTAAAGCACCAGTCCACCTGCCTCTCAGCTGGCTTTCATTGTACGAGGATTTGGGAAGTGTACAAGATGACGGAGAATTAAGTGCTGCCATTTGAGATTTAGAAACGCAAAAGCCACTGGTTTTAGCCTTGGAGAGGCCAGTTTCCAACAGGGATGCCTCTTAGTGAGCCAAGGGCCCAAAGTGAGCCGGAATCCCAGCCTGAAGCCTGCATTTCTGATCGCATCTCCTTGTGAATCTTTTGTAAAGTTAGACTGAAGTTAAGTTTTAGCTGGAAACGTGAGGAACCATTCTTAAAAATAGTTGCAAACAATGAGCTCGTGGTTATTTATTATCATTTTTTCAAATTCCTCCACATTTTAAAAGTACTACCAACAAAAATCTGTTCTCGAACTAATAGTTTAAAGCATAATATTATAACTAATAAAAATAAATGATACCTGAAGGTCTTTACTTGATGAAATAAAATAACTAATGGTGAAATTATATAAAATATGGTCTCAAATAAAATGGTTTAGGAAATAACCTAGATCTTTTTTTTTGATGGGTATACATTCACACATTATATGTACATATATGTATCTACTGATCTATCTATCTGTCTATCTAGTAGAGGGGGAATGTGTGGGTGCTTATATACATTTTTCCCTTTAGTCTCCTAGTGTACCTAAAAATTTGGGGTTTGAACTGCTTTTTTGTCTATTTGATATTTTTGCAACATTCCTGTTTTTCACAGATTTGCAACTTAGAAATAAAGTCGAGACCGAGCATACCTTCTAGTTAATAGTTTTATGGCTCAGGGGAAATTTGCTAAGATCTTTGGACTTCAGGTTCTTCTTTAGAAAATTACTGTCATAAGCACCCAGAGTTTGGAGGGGGCAAAAGCTATGCCTGAAATAATGTGTGTCGAGTCCCTGACACCCTCTCGGTGTTCAGTGCGTCTTCAGATGACAATCTAAAACACCAGAAAGCAATATGTAAATATAGTTTTGCACAATATGTTTTAAACTCATAGTTTAAGTACGGGTCTGTGTTTTCTGTGAGTTTAAATAATGAAACCACATTGTGAAAAGTGTCTAAGAGAATAGGACTTAAAGTCTGAAACACCCAGGCTGGGGATTTAGCTCAGCGGCACAGCACCTGCCTGGGAAGTGCAAGGTTGTGAGTTCGATTCCTGATACAAGAAAAAAACAAACAAACAAACAAAAAATTTAGAAGTCTGAAACACCTGGGTTTAAGTCTGGGGTCCCAGTTGGTTTCCTCTGGGCTGAGAGCCTACCTCGTTTGTCTCTGAACCAGGGGCAGCAACTGGCTGCCCTGCCGTGGTGTGGCGAGGACTGAGTGGATGGCTATGAAACGTGCAGCGATACCCAGGTCGAGGCCAGTGCATGCTAGGAAGGACCTGCAGACTCACCAGTGTCTCCTTCAGAGGAACACACACTCCCAGGGGGCTTGCTGTGTCACTGACAGGGCTGGAAGTATGGCCTGCAGTTTGGGCCCAGCGCTGAGGGAGCACAGCCCTGCAAGTGCTGTCTGCTGGGTGTCATTCGTACCTCTTAGGAGTGTGAGTGGGGAGCTCCCAGGGTGCCTTCCTTCCCGTCGGCGTCTCAGCTGGTGACTGAGAGCACTGGAGTCGCTGGCTTCTCCAGCACTGGCTACAAAATTGTCCTGAGGAAGAACTGGTCCACATCGGCTTGTGCTGCCCCTCCTCAGCTGAGAGCAGTGCTAGGTCACTCAAAGGCTGTCTTCGGGGCTGGAGATATAGCTCAGTGGCATAAGCGCCTGCCTGGCAAGCGCAAGGTCGTGAGTTCCATCCCCAGTACCGGAAAAAAAAAAAAAAAAAAAAAGCTGTCTTCACCTCATCCATTTCCACCATTTCAGGGTAGAAAATCAAACATGTCTATACACAAGCCGTTTTGATAATTCACTAGTTTGTGGTGCAGCATTCCCAGCTCTCCTCTCCGCCAAGGGAGCTACAGACAACAGTGACCCTGGTGTGTTTGTGGCGTACCGCATGCTGCTAACCACAGCTGCTCTGTTTTGCAGGTTGAGGTCGACCCCATCACCACGTTCCCTCTGAAAGGCCTGACCCCGCTCACTGAGTACTCCGTTGCTGTTTTCTCCATCTATGAGGAAGGGCAGTCTTTGCCTCTGGTTGGAACTTTCACCACAGGTAAGCGTCAGTATTCCTCCAAAGGCTTTCAGCAGTAACTATGCAGGAGCCCAAACCGGCAGCACCTTCTTCAGTGGTGATTTTTGAAGTGATCGCACTTTAATTTTTAAAATATGAAGAAGCCAGGCGTGGTAGCGCATGCCTACCATCCCAGAACTCTGGGACGCTGAGGCAGGAAGATCGCAAATTTGAGCCCAGCCTGGGAAGTTCACCGACTTAGCAAGACTCTGTCTCAAAATAAAGAAAACAAAGAGAAGACTGAGGGGTGCAGCTCAGGGCAAAGGCACTAAGTTTAATTCCCAGTACTATCAACAAAAAAATAAAAAAATAAAATCATAAAAAACCATTAGATAACTAGCATGTATCCTGGCTAAATAGGCCATCTATATTTAAAAAGTCAAAGTTTTTAAAAACTACATGATTCTCTTCATAATCTGAGACCTTTTCTTTTATGTAAAGATTTTGTAAAATTTTTATGACCTTCTTCCATTCATGCGTTTGTGTATGAAGTTGAACTTCAAAAACTGCTGATATCCAGCAGTTTTGACCACAAAAAGACACTTTCATACCCTTTAATCTAGTATGTCATTCTACAGCTAATACTATCTTCTCATGCAGCTGGAAGTCTTAATGCAATCAGGAATGTTTTAAATACTAACATGAACCGGAAGGTGTGAATGCATGGGCCCAGTAAATACCAACTCTTTTGTCCCTTGGTGGCCACAGTTCCGTGGTTTGTTTTCTGAGCTTATCGACTGCAGTGGGCTGCAAACCCAGTTCTCCGCTGTGGAGGAAAGTCATTAGAGAGAAAGGAGGGGTCTAGATTGAGAAGTAATGTGTACAGAAAAATCCAACAATTTCTCAAAATCTCCTGAGGGTGGCATGCTCAGGGTGTCCTACCAGAGTTTTAAAACCTCTGATCTCAGATAGTGAAAACAAACACCAGAAACATCCGTTTGGGCGCAGTTGGAGTTGTGCTTTCTGTCGTACATCTCGAAAGCGTGTGCACTGTGAACAGCCAAGGGGCTCACAAATTACGCTGCACTTCTGACGACACCATGGGACGTGGGACGAGAAAACAGTGAGACCTTCCCCAGGCAGGACTTAACTTACCACCGGGGAGGGATTAACCACTAAGCCGACAAGCGCTAAAAGGGACTGTGTCTCAACTCTCTATTTGTTAATTTCCTCAAAATAGTCGGAATCTGATATCTTGATAAAATAACGAATGTGGCATTTTTATTTACTTAATGAAAAGATCCAGGTAAACAAGCTAAGGAATCTATAAGTACTGGAAAGCCTTAAAAATCTGATTTCCGTGGGTTTCCTGATTTATGCTGTCAGCCTAGCCCGGACTGGCTGGCGCGCCGTGGCCGTCTTCTGTGGTTTTCTAAAAGTGAAGGACCCTCGCAGAGTCTTCTCCTGCGCCGGCCCTGGCTCGCGTTTTGGCTTCCGTAGCTTCCCATTTCCTAACACAGTCTCCTTCCTGGGCTGACAGAGGAAATCCCAGCCCAGCAGTACTTGGAAATTGACGAGGTGAAGACAGACGGCTTCCGAGTGACCTGGCACCCGCTCTCGGCCGAGGAGGGGCAGCACAAGCTGATGTGGATTCCCGTCTATGGTGGGAAGACCGAAGAGGTGGGTGCCCCCGAGGTAACCCAGATGCAGCTCGCTAGCTGGAAGTTGTTCATTTCAGACAGGCTGGAATTCCGGAAGTAATGAACATTTACTGGAGTTTCATAGATGTCAAATCTCTTTTTTAAGATTAAAAAGTATTGTTAGGGGCCGGGGATATAGCTCAGTGGCACAGCGCTGGCCTGGCAAGCGCAAGGTCCTGAGTTCAATTCCTGACACCAAAAAAATAAAACAATTGCATTGTTCCCAGGGCTTTTATTATTTATCTCATATATTTTCAGGTTCTTTGACTTTCTTGAATACCATTTGACAACACCTCAGAATGCCACTTTTGCAATATTAATAACCTGTCTGCTGAGGGAATGGAAAGGGATGTGTTCTCTAGCCTGAGTTTACGACTGATGTCTGGGGAAGAGTTTGTTATGTTCAGTTATTACTTGCTTCTGCTCAGAAGAACATTTTCCTTTTTATTTACGTATCTTTCAGCTTCCATCCCCCCTTTTTATTCAAGAGAACCTAATCGCTAAGCAGAAATACTTTTCAGGTGGTGCTACAAGAAGAGCAGGACTCCTACGTCATCGAAGGCCTGGATCCCGGCACTGAGTATGAAGTTTCGCTCCTGGCTGTGCTCGATGACGGCAGTGAGAGTGAGGTGGTGACCGCCGTGGGGACCACGCGTAAGTCTCTCTGGCCAGCTTGGACTTCAGCAGCTCCCACGCTCCACGGGGATGGTGGCTTCCTTCATGAGGGTCTCTCTGTACCAGCTTTAGCGGAGGCCATGGAGCTTCTGTTTTACTTTGTCCCCCAGAATTCTTTAGATGTCTGTACCTCCCGTGAAACCACTAGGCAAAGCATCTTAGTCTAGACTCTTGTCACCATGAAGGCTTGGGCCAACCCATCTTGTTCATTATTACAGTCTCAGTATTTGGCACACTTTAACTGTGCAGCGTTCCTTAGAAGGATGGGTGGATGCATGCATGAATGGACAGATGGACAGATGGATGGATGGATGGAATAATTTATGCATGAATAAGCTGGCAAACAAAGAAGTCTAGGGCTAAGATGTTCAAGAGTTACTGGAATTTTCCAAGTTGATCTTGGTTCCAAGAATTTTGCACAAAATGCACCCACTGATTGATTTAGCCCTTCATTCTTTTCTTAAAAAATGAGGTATTAAGCACGTATTAAATTGTTAGATTGGGTTGCAGATTTGGAGATAGAAAATTGCACCCAGGAGGTCTATTGGGAGGTAATTGTGTGAGACACTAAAGACAGAGGCACAGGGCCTGGGAAAAGTGGAGCTAAGTTCTCCGTGCATCCGCTTCAGAATTAACCTCTGAATTGTCAAAAATCGAGACAAATCGAGGCGGGGACTTAGAGCACCCTTAGATGACCCTCTGATTGCCCAAACTGAGGTGGTGGGGACTTAGAGCCCCTGCATCCCCGGTGGTTGGAGCTGGACTGTCCCTGGGGAGGCGGGGCGGGCAGGGTGGACGTGCTGGTGGGTGTGGCGTGGTTTGCACATGCTGAGGAGCCCGTGCAGTGCCGTGTTCACAGCAGACCTAGAGCGCATGAGAGAGGCACAGGATGCTCTTCCGGCCCGAGCGCATCGCCTGCCCTAGTGGTCTTGTGGGCAGGCCATGCACGACTTAGTCTACATGTCATTTAATTTCCTTTAATTATCATGGTTGTGTCCCAGCTTCAAAATAATTGGAAAGCTCCATAATTTGGTAGACGGAATCCAAATATTTATGTGAAGTCTAGTATCTGTGATGAGAAACTTCCACTTCTTTTGGTTTCTGTTTTCTAATCTTGGAGCAGACTTGTCTGCCTTACTTAACAACTCATTTTTCAGTCTTCCAATGACTGACGAATTTGCTTGGGAAAGAAGCAGGACAAGACATGTGAAATGTTCTTCACAGGCTGTCAAATGATTTATGCAAATGTATGGGGCTGTTGGTTTTACGAATCTCAAAGTAGTGAATACTTTTTGCTTTGTTTTCAGTTGACAGTTTTTGGACAGAACCAGCCACAACCATAGCACCAACCAGTCCAGTAACAACAGGTAAGGACACATAGAAGCTCATTTACATCTATTTGATTTAGACAGAGAAGCTATATTCTTCCAGTTTCGTTTCTTTTATATTATTAACTAGAGAAGAGCTGCTCCTCCCTTTTTCCATGGGCAGACTAGATCACAGTTTACTCCTCTAGAGCCCTTTGACCTCTTTTCCACCTCTACATGCAGTGATTGTCCTGTCTGCCCTTCTCTCTGTGACATCTGTCTACTGGGTCTATCTGTGTCCTGGACTCTCACTTGCTTCTCCAAGCATGATGACATAGCATCCTCCCCAGGGCTCTTTGCCTTTCTCTTCTCTCAGTGACTTGTGCTATTGGCATCATGGTCTGTGCAAATATTTCTGTGGGGAACAACTTTGGCTGTTTCTTCTCTCAGCTGAGCTCTCTCTGCCTCTGCAGTACACCTCTGAACTATATGCACAATCAACTAGTGACACAAAAGTTAATATCATTTATTGCTTTGTCTGAAACACTTCAGTGGCTCTGAGTTTCCCATTCATTTGCTCTTCAATTAATCTGTACTGGGCACTCAGCTCTATTGTAACATCAAGATCTTTCCAGATAGTTTCTACTTCTCTTTCTGGACTCAACCGTATTTTCTATTTCTCCTCCATTTGCTCCTTCCATCTAGAACTCCTGTCCCTCGAATTCCCTTCCATTCCCTCTGCCAGGTAAATGTCAGTATCCTACCCCACTGTGATGCTTCTGCTGTGTTTGTCAAAAGCTAATCACTGTTTGTCTCCAAGTCCTGACCTCGTGTGACATACAGGAAGAGCTCAGTGATTGTTTCTGAATGAACCAATGAATGAGTGAAGAGAAAGGAGATGTAGTGGAGGCAGCAGAGCTCGACAGGGGGAAAAGGACAATGGGGCAGAAAAGAGAAGCAAAAATGGAACAAAGGAAGGAGCGTTGGAAGAGAAGAATGGATATGTCAACATGTAGGAAGGGAGTTGGGGCAAATGTCAGGGGAGAGACGGCACCTATGTGGAGGGCGGGTGAAGGCCTGGCGAGAGCTGTGTGGAGTGATGAGTGCTAACGCAGACATGGGGATGAGGATGGGATGCGAGGGGGATGCTGGGCTGCACAGGAGGGGAGGCGGGGCCCGCTGCACCATGCCCATTTCTCCAGCAGGGCAGTATGTGGGGTTCTCATGACCACACTCCTCTTTGGGCTCCTGGTAAAGGTACAGGGCTAATAACTTGGAGTGCCCCGTGGCCTTGTCCTGTGAACATCGTTTTTTTTTTTTTTACTATTTTCTTTTTTGGTACCAGGAATTGAGTTCAGGGCCTTGCGCTTGCCAGGCATGGGCTGTGCCACTGAGCTACATCCCCAGCCCCCTGTGAGCATCTCTCAAGCCCATTTTGTTTTTGTTTGGCTGCTGGGCAGCATCTCGGCTCCCAGTGGATCAGTAAAGTGGAGCTGCTCTTGCTTTGTGTGCTTTTGCCTCCCCGAACCGCATTAAATGATGCTCTTGTCACCCCTAAGCAGTTCCTGTGCAATGCGAGGAGTTCAGCGTTCTCCACTCCTTTTGCTGTTTGTTCCAGTTTTCCCGACAGGAATCAGAAACTTGGTTGTAGACGAGGAAACGCCCTCCAGCCTGCGGGTGTCGTGGGACATTTCCGACAGCAATGTGGAGCAGTTTAGGGTGACCTACCTGACAGCTCCAGGGGACCCCGCGGAGGAAGTGGTAGGAACGGTCTGTATAGCAGCGGAAGACTCCCCTAACACCACTAACGAGGCCCCCGGGGAGACCACGCGAGCTTTCCTGCTCCGCGCTTGCTGCCTGCCGTCTCCACCAACTAATGCTCTTTCTTAATCTGAACTTCGGGGCTTGCTTCCTGATGGCCTTTGGTCTCTGGCTTGTGCTCCGTGGTGCTTGCTCCAAGCTGAGAAAGTCTGTTTCCTGGCATCATTGCTGCTGCCCTGACCACTTGTTAGAGCATCACCTTGGGCCATGGAAGGGCCAGAATGTATTATATACACCTACGTGCAGGTTCATAGAGAGAGCTTTAGGACAGCAACTCCACGCCCCTGGGAGTCTGAGGAAAGCCTTTCAAGTGAAGAACACGTGAAAGGTCTTCTTGGTTTGCGGGGAGTGATCCCGACACATTATTGTCTGTTAACAGCTACATTTTTCACGCATAGCAACTCATTTTGAGCAGTTTTATAGTTATTCCTCTTCCATTCTCCATCATGGATGTCTCTCCTCAAAGATTTGTTCTTTTGTTTTTTTATGTTTTTTTCCAGTACCAGGAATCGAACTCACAACCTTGTGCTTGCCAGGCAGGTGCTATGCCACTGAGCTAAATCCCCAGCTCTTCTCCTCAGAGATTTAGACTTTTGTGTGCTGAGTTTTTTTTTTTTTTTTAGTACCAGGAATTGAACCCAGGGCCTCACACTTGCCAGGCAGGCGCTGTGCCACTGAGCTATGTTCTGGCCCCTGTTTTTGGGGGGCTATTGGGAATCAAACTCAGGACCTCATGCTTCCAGGCAGGCACTGTGTCACTGAGCTAAATCCCTGCACCACCACCCCCCCCCCCGCCGGTTTTCTTTAACGTGTTTTATTTATTTACTTTTTGTTAGTACACATTTGCAGGGCATGCAGTTTCAGCTGGGTAATTTTTCCATATAGTAACACTGGCTCCTCCAGGGTTTTTAAATGTATCTCACATCGTCCCTTTTAGTCTGGAACCCAAACTTGTTCCCTAAAGACGTGTCCAGTTAGACCAGATGGCTCCGCTCTTCAGCCGGAAGAGATTTGTCTTTTTCATCGTGAAATACGCCTTCCTTAGCTCGCTAGTGGCATCCTTTGTCCCCTGCCATATTATTTTTGGTGCTCTAGGAATCTCCCAAATTCGCCACTGCTCAGGGACAGCATCCGCTTCCTGTCTCTTCCTTGCTTGCAGAGCCTTTGAAGGAAGAAAATGATGTGCTACACAGACAACTGTGGCTGAAACAAAAGCCACATCCACTGTGAAAAGCCAGGAGGTCCCTGTGCTTGTTTGGGGAGAATTTGAGGGAATGAGTGGATGCTCACTTCAACAAATTAGGTTCAATTTCCAGTTCACTCTGACCATACATTACAAATAATTCATGGCTGGTGAACTGAAAAATACTGATACGGTGCATAAGCATGCCAGTTCATTAATTTGGGGTGTTTAATTTTTGCTATCACTGTCCTCCTGTTGTAATTTAGTCCCTAAAAGTGAGACTCAGAAACTTCCCAGTGTGAGAAGTTTATTTGCTTTCTGGGTTTTTTTCCCTTGTTCCAAGAAACACATTAAGCTCCTTGGCGGATTCTTCCTGCTGAGTTGGAAAGGGTAACAGTTTAATCTCACACATGCACTTGTGAGTTATGCAAGGTAAAATTATAATAATATTTACTTTGGGTTGTTTCTAGATAATTTTTGCTGTGCCAGTTTCTTTCATTAAGTACTGCTTGTTTTTGAAATGCTTGGATGCCAAGATGAAGGGGAGAAATGAAAAGACTTAGCTGGCCTCAGTGAAACAAACCTTTAATAAAAGTGAAAAATATTGATAAATTTCATGGTGATAACTTACAGCGAAGAAGTGTTTGTTTCTGTTTCAGTTATATAAAAGGAAGTACTGTAGAATTCTTTCAATATTCAGCTCTTTTAGTGAATGTTAATTAAACTGGATTTTTGTTTATTTGTTTTTGTTTTTTTGGTCCTGGGAATCGAACTCAGGACCTTGTGTTTACCAGGCAGGTGCTTGTGGCGCTGAGCTATATCCCCAGCCCTAAACTGGATTTTTGTGCACTATTTGTGTGCACTTTCTTAATTTATGGGGACTTACCTGCATATTAATTGAGAATTTATATCTGTTTTATTAAGTGTTACTGCTGCTATATAAATGTAATGGATTGATATCGTTGGAGGTAGAAAGTGGGTTACTTCTAAGCTGAGGTTATAAAACGAAGGTGGGACAGTCAGCTGCCAACTTAGGCCAAAGTCTTGAAGTTGAACAGATAACAAATTATATCTTAAAATAATGATGCACAGCAGCAAAAGACAGATGGATAAAATGTTGCAAAAGCAAAAAAAGAGATGGCCCAGGAAAGAGGGACACCTCCTGCCATCTCCCCAAATTCCCCTTAACCGGAAGAGCTGCTCGGGTTACATGAGGAACGGGTCAGCCAGAGGTATGGAAGTCGGCGAAAAGTGTATAGATAGACTGTTGCAAATCAAACCGTAAAAGCGCAATGCGTTTACTTATCAGTCAAGTTACGTGAAATATTCATCTGTGTTCTAGGTGCAATCAAATCGGCCAAATATTCCCAAGGAAAGATTTTTGAATGCTTGTAAGCACAACTACCCACCAAATACCTGATAAAGATGGACTTTGGCTCTGCCCGGAGCATGGCAGGGTGACAGTGACATCGCCCTGGTTTTGCCGGCAGAGCGTCATGGCCCCTTCTTCATTGGTAAAACACAGGCTGGGAGTCCAGATTTCTAGAGTCTCATGTCAAAATCTCTGCCACAGCCTCCCACCGGGCAGTGTGCTCTGCCTCCCTCTGCTGTGAGTCTTTTTTTGGCAGCTTTTACAGACAGGAAGGTGCTTTCTGAGCTGCGGGGAGTTTTCCAGGGTAGGGCTGCTCCATGGGCAGCCCGGGCTCCTCTACAGCCAGCTCAGATCCTAAGATTCCGCTTCAGAAGCAGTGGCCACCTTTGACTTCACTGAAACAGTACAAGGACTTAGTCACTTTTCTAGCGATTTGCTTTTACTGTATTTTATACAAGTATTGGTCTGCAATGATGGAGTTAAAACACCACCACCACCTCCTTCATCTTGTCACCCACTGCAGGTGGTCTGAAACTATTGTCTGGAAATAGAATCTCCTACGAAGGGAACTTAGGAGGTGCAGGGAACCTTCTACTGCAGGAGACCGCTTGCCACAGGTGGTTGGGCTGCTCTGAAGACCTCTGGGTAACGGTAGAGCCAGACCCGAAGTTTCATTTCTGAAAACATCAGACTGAGTTTACATCCCAGTTAACCATGAGCATCCTTCACAGGTCTGCCACGACCTGCAGTGTCTAGTTTTCGTGAGAACACGTATTTCTCTAGCTCTGCTTGGCTCAGACAAGCACAGCTCAGGCAGGAAGAACTCTGCACAGCCCGGAAGAGATTCATGCTTTACGCTTGGGGATGAATTTCAGTAGGGTGAAAAAGTTCAAGCAATTCATTCACGTGGAATAGAGGGTAAACATTAAAAGCAAGGCCTGGACCACATTCCCAGGCTTTCAATGTGGCCCCTTTACTAAGCTGTGTGGTCCTCCGTTTCCCCACCTGTAGAATGAGTGTGGTGGCACCCTGTACCTCGAAAGATGGTGATGAAAATTACATGAATGTGTTTGAATACTTAGAGTAGCATCTTCACATAGTATTTGATAACTGAGGGCCACTATTATGGACCACAGCAGTTACTTCCTAGTGACCTAAATGAGTCCTCCAAAATGGTCACACTGCTGTCAGGTATTCTGTGGGCTAACTTCGACTGGTTACAGCATGTGCTTCTCAGTAGGAGAGATGCCCTTATTTAAGGAATAGCAGCACGGGTGGTTTGCTAGACAGACAGCTGGTCCCTGGCCCCAGAAGGCTCTAGTTCAGAGGAACACCCAGAAGGAACCGCCCTAGAGCATGAACAAGTTGGGGCAGCCACCGCTGTCCATACCCAGGCTCGATGCCAGGAAGGGTAGCCCACCTGGATCCCAGCAGGGCTCTAGTTTGTCCGGGAGTTCCCTCCGGGGACCCTGTGCCCACACATCACATAGCTCTGAGCCTTTCGCTGCCACTCCTGTGAGTCCAAAGAGATCACTTAATTCTGGCTTCTTTCTTCATATTAAAGAGCAGTGCTTTTGAGAGCTTAGCGATATCTGAGCAACAGCTGCTCGGGGTTCAACTTGAGGCTTTCTAGGGCTTTCTCCCTGATTTATGGGTTCCTCCCGTCATCCAGAAGGAGACGGCACCGCCCTCGGCCTGCTGGCATTTCACCCGGCCCTTGCATGGAAAGCTTTTCCAGCTGTCCCGGTCTTGTGACTCCCCGAAGCCGCTTGGGTCTCCTCTTAGTCCTCACATTCCTCCCTCCGTGAGGCAGCTCTTTACATGGTCAAGCGGTGCGCAGCAGCTGGCGGTGAGCACGGGCAGAGTTTTGCTACTTCAGCGTGGCTTCTCAGGTCCTCAGTGTCCCCTCAGGGCACCCAGGTTGGCATCTTGAGCCATGTGGCGTGTCGCCCTCACGCCTGGGCAGTGTGCCCTGCCCCCTTCTGCCGTGAGTCTTTTTTTGGAAGCTTCCACAGACAGGGACAGTGCTTTCAGACTGCAGAAGACATCCATTTTCAGAAATTTAAAAATGTACCAGCAGAATTTTTTTAGTGTTCCTGGTAAGTATGTTTCAGCTCGGAAAACTGGGCCCCTGCCTGCGGCTCTGTTGCTCTTGGCCGGAGACCAGCCTTTCTAATTGGAGGAATGACGTGCCAGGGTCAGGTCCTCTCCCCAGGAGGAAGCCAGGGGCCTGAGTTTGCAAGAGGACATCGAGGCTACTCCCAGCAGGCAGGTGGCAGCCTGGGGCACGGGAGGAACGCCCCCAACCCATACACAGCACCTGCTGCGCATCCCGACATTAGTCTGTCTCTGAATACTTTACACAGCCCAAAAGATGCTGAGAGAAGCTACTCCTTGGGGCCTAAGAGCTTCCAACCCCAAGCGTCTGTGTTACTGATTGTACCCCAAGGGCTGGCGTGAGGAGCATGTCAGAGAGGTGCCTTTGCCTGATGCCGCTCTTTTCTTAGCACTGTCAGGAACTTCTTGCTTCTGATGATTAAAAATGTGCACCCTATGCTCAGGTCATGGGTCAGCGGAACGGGGGACTCTTACTAGGACTTTGGTTCTTGGTTTTCCTTTGCAGGTCATGGTCCCTGGGAGCCAGAACAGCATTGTTCTGAAGCCCCTTCTCGCAGCTACAGAATACAAAGTCACCGTGACGCCCATCTACTCGGATGGAGAAGGTGTCAGCGTCTCCGCCCCTGGAAGAACCTGTAAGTGCAGCCCTCTCCCTTGGAACGCGAGCTGACTCCCAAGCGGCTTGCTCCCAAGTGCAGCCTGAGAGATAGGATGTGACCTGGGGTGTTGAAAAGAGAAGCGATCTGGAAACAGAAATCTGTGCTCGAGTCCGACGCACACACGTGGGCGGTGTGGCTCTGGGCAAGTTGCTTCCCTGCCCTGGGCTTCAGATTTCTTTTCTGTAAAAACTGAGGCCTGAGAACTGCTCTTTCTCCTCCAGCGTGGGATTCATCACAAGTCCCGCTGATTCACTGAAGTGCGTTTCATGTTTGTTCATTTTGTGTCCATCTCCACCCAGACCTTGCAGTCTCTCGCTGGACGGGAGCCAGCTGCAGTGGGGTCCCCCACCCACCGCTCGCCCTCTTCTGCCAGCGTCCCAGGAGCTTTCAGAATGTAAATGAGCTCAGGTCTTGAAACTCCCACTGCTTTCCTGGTCTGCAGGATGAATTCTTGTGTCCCCCCACTCCCCGCAGACCTGGGGGCCGTGTGACCGGGGTCCTGCCGGTCGTCCTGGTTCTCACCTCCTAACAAGTCCCGCGGCCGTGGCTCCCACCCAAGCCTCCCTGGACTCGCAGGCCTCGTGCACCGATCAAGGCCTTGTTTTGGAGGAGCCTCCAGTCCCTGATGTTTGCCTGTCTGCCTCCTCCGTCCCTCCCTTTCAAACACTCCGTGCCGCGTGGCTCACGTTCTGCAGTACCGGTCTGTTTGCTGTTTGTTTTCAATCGCGGCTCGGCACTATTCACAGTCTGGCAGGCTCTTGTTCACTTCTGTCATGTCCCATCCCCGGAAAGCAAGCGTCACGAGAGCCCAGGACTGCCCTGTGCCTGGTCAGCCAGCACGCCAGGCCACAGCTGCACAGTGCGGCCCCAGGAAGCGGCCCTCAGTGGGTTGTTCAAGACGACTTGGCCGTGATCACCGAAAGGAGAGGGCGCGTGCAAACCCTGGGATAGAGCTCCTGAAGTCTTAGTCGTTTTCATTCCTCTCAAGGTTGTCTACATTAGCATAAAGCCCACTTTAAAACTTAACAGCATTGAACTCTGGCCTTTTCATGACGTCTCAATTGCTCGGGGCAGGAAATCGGCCAGTGCTTGCTGGGAAATTTTGTCCCATGGATTGGTTAGCGTGGCCCAGTGGTCTCCCCTGGCGGCTGGGTTGCCCACATGCATGGTGACGGCTGGCCTCAGCTGAGTCTGTAAACCTCCAAGCCTCCGCATGGGGCTTTCCAGTCAGGTGGTCGGTTCTCTCCCACTGACTCAGGACTCTGACAGCAAGAGGCAGAAGGCGGGAACGGCTCGGAGGCTCTAGGGTTCCGCCTGGGATGAGCCGTGTTGCTTCTGCGGTCCTCTGTTGGTCAAGACAGCCGTCGAAGCCACCCAGATTCAAAGAGCGAGTCACGGCCTCCACTTGTCAATGGAAGAAGGGTCCGAAATATCCGTGACCACGTTGAATCCATCATAATTGCCAGTAGTTACAGGGCCTCAGGTGCAGAAGGGTGTCAGAGGTTGCTTCAGAACCTGGGCGCCCCGGAGCGGGTTTCTCAGTGAGGTCTTCACAAGTGATTAAGATCCTGCAGCCCAGAGTCCCGACTGCTGCTGCGCAAATCGGCATGAGCTCCTCCTCACGGCGCAGTTCTGGGATCTGCCCCTTCTCCCGGTACTAGCTGTGCGTCCTCTGCCCGGACTCCGGCCAAGCCTGCACCCTTGCTAAGGAGCACCCAGAGTCTCGGGAACCCTCAGAGTCGCTGTAGTGATTCTCTGGAGTCCGTGTGCAAAAGGAAGAACAGAGCCACTGGGGGGTTTCTGCGTATCATTGCACCTCTACCCGGATCCTGGCGTCGGGACTTGATCTCGTTCAGCGTAGGCACTGGATGCATCGTGTGCACCAAGGGGCCATTGTACTCGGCATCAGGATTTCATCCGTGTGTTGGGCTTTCTGCCATATTTTAGTATTTTGCTACTACGTAAACTTTTTAAAACCTGCAAACAACCACTAAAGGAGATAAATGCACCAGTGTCTATCTAACACCAAGACTATTACCGTGGAGGTGTTACTTACATCTCATTAGTGAAGTGCCATTATGTACAGCAGTCTCCGTTCAGTAAGATTATCTCAGCGGCAGTGGATGGTCTACTTATCTTTTTTTTTTTCTCTGGTACCGAGAACTGAACTCACGACTTTGCGCTTGCCAGGCAGGCGCTTTTGCCGCTGAGCTAAATCCCCAGCCCGGTCTACTTATCTTAAAAGTGGCCAGCACAAGTAATTCTCTATCAATAAAATATTATGATAATAGTGTCTGTCAGCATGCATAACAGTTTGCCAAGGACCTCCATGGGTCTTCAATGTTTTTACTTCAAAAACTGATGAAGAATGATACAAAGTTTCAAACACTATATTTGTACCATAGGAAGATGAAAAGCAAAAACCCGTCAGACTCTTACCTCCAAGAATAACCATGAATACTGTGTGAACAGCACCTTCAATTTTGTGGGATATGTGCTCTTTGATGCATGTGGAACAGAGCTTCATGTAGACAGAAATTAGTAATGAACACTATCCACTTCCACTGTTTACTTAAACTTCCTTGAAAAAAATCCTGGGAGTGGTGGCAGAAGCCTGTAATCTCAACACTTGGGAGGCTGAGGCAGGAGAATGCTAAGTTTGAGGCCAACCTGAACTACATAGTGAGGCTCTGTCTCAAAAAAAAAAAAAAAAAAAAGAAAAAAGAAAAGAAAAGAAAAAGAACCAGTGTGACACTGAATAAACTTCTGAACTTTAGATAAAACCACTCCATCACAAGAACAATTTTCCCTGTACTTAATATTTTAAAAAGCAGACAAAAGATTTCTCACTGTGTGTTCTGGTATAATTTCACCTGTAGGTATTTTTAACCCTGTGAGAAGATGTCTTAAATTCTGTTGACAGTTTGGCAGCCCGTAAAGAGGGAAACTATCCTGAATCCTTATTGTTTCCTTTCTTTCCCGTCCAGCACCATCCTCGGCGCCCCAAAATTTAAGGGTCTCGGAAGAATGGTATAACCGGCTTCGCATCTCCTGGGATCCCCCACCTGGGCCTGTAAAGGGCTACAGGATTGTCTACAAGCCTGTCAGCGGTATGTAGTTCTCAGGTCCACAAGGCCTTTTAGGAGAAACGGTTTTGTTTGAACTTTTTGTACCTTTTAAAAGACATAGCAAGTGTCTCTCATCTGTTTGGAAAAATAGTTTTTATTGTGGTCAGCATTGGGGCAGGTAGATATTATCAGAATGAGGGCCATGTAACCTCACAGAACAGTATGGGGAGCTCCTGATGAGCAGAGGACGCTGTCTATTCCACATCCACCAGACCTGGCCACACTCTGGACAGGGAGGCAGCCCAAGACAACCAGACTCTACAGGGACAGCGGGTTCTGTGGCTCAGTGGCTATGTAGCTTGTAAACATTTGGAACCTCAGGTTTCAAGTTCTTCTTAGATTTGTTGGAAAAAGGCTATTGCGCCACTCCTTGGTCTGGTCACTTTGGAAGGGATGCTGGGAGATGAACTCATCAAAGTGGCAAAATGCTTTCATGCCAGCCGCTGAGCCACCTCAGCCACCTCCCTGCCTTCCTCTGCTGTGGCCAATCTGGACCCAGGGATGAGGCACTGAGACCCTGCAGGCCCACCTCTCACATCTTGAAGGTGTGTGAGTGGCTGTACCCCAGGTGCATGGGCTGGCAGGAGGAGACCCTGCACTCTGGCACCCACTACAACATCATCGTAGCGTTCGTATGAAGTGGATAGTAGGACACCCCTTTTGAGTTTCATGACCTGGGCCCTCAGAACTCTGGTTGCTTCTCTGAGCATTTTTCCAAACTTGGCAGGAGGAACTTTAAAACATTCTTTGGGCATTAAAAAAAAACAGTTTTCTGTCCTCAATAAACGACATCAGTTTCAGTCTGTCACTGGAGAGGCTGCTCTTAGCCGTCTCAATTTTCAGCCTTTTCTGTTGTGTCAATTAGCCAGGTGCTAATGTCATCAGATTCAGACAAGTAAAATTACCCACTGGCGATCTCTCCAGACAGACAGCGTCATGAACCATGAAACTCACACAGCAAATAGGCTCTGCATGGACTGGCCCACTGTAGATTAATTGATGGGGGCCCACTGCTAATTGCTCTCCCTTTAGGCCTGAAGTCCATATCAGTTTGCAAGACATCCCTTCCCAGTTTGTTCTCTGGGTCCCTTTACAGGTATGATTAGGTTTTCTAAGTAGCTTTGTTTGAAGTGGGTGCTTCTCACTGGGAGCAGTTTGCCCTCCAGTGGAGACCTTTTGGTTGTCACCGGCTCGGGGAGCCGAGTCCTGCGGTTGGAAGCGAGCAGGTGCCACTGACCATCCCACAACTCCCTGTCTTTTCCTGCCCATAATAAAGCGTTATCCAGTTCAAAACGAGAATCATGCTGAGGCCGAGAAATCCTGTGGTAGGTCCAGTGTAGAACTACACATGGTCAGTTGTATTGCGTTGGGGGCATGGGACTCCAGCTACTGAGATAGCACACACGGGGTACGTCCGTACATTGGTGGAAGCGGGCTTTGGGGAAAGAGGTGGACAGTGAGGGACCTGTCACTAACTCACAGCTCTTAAAGAATGGGTCCACATGGGAAGAGGCAGCAGGTAAACACATCTGTGTAGGACTTGGCGAGGAAGGTTTTTAATACATAATCAAAGACCTTGCCTGAAACAGAATTGAAACAGAGCTGGAGATGTAAATGCTGAAAGCCAGTTGATCAAGAACTTGGGGATAGAAGCATCATGTCTCTCACATTAAAAATCCTGAAAGGGGTGGATAGAACTATCGTGTTCACTGGCATGCTGGTTGCCCTGTGGCTAGGAAGGGCTGTATGTCCAGGAAAAAGTGTGCTGCTCCTGCCGCACGCACACCTTGTGGGCCTGAGTTGGATGTCTGCGTAGGAGCATTTGAGAACAATTCCTCCCAGTAGCTGAATGTCTGTCACAGCAAGTAGCTCACAGTATGGCAGGCAGTGGGCTCTGAGGCGGGCCTGCTTCTCTGAATAAGCACCAGGGCAAAAACCGTACTGTGGAAAAGGACTCGGTCCCTGAAGTTACCCTCCAGCGTGGTACCATCACGGGCTGGAGATCTCAGTGAGACCAGGCTCCTGCCTCAGCCCTGGGCTCTGCTTGCTGGGGCGTCCTGGCAACTGATGGAGTACCATGTGCTCCTACATCCTTGCATCTCCCGTGTTCTGCTGTGACCGAGTTGTGCACCCTTTCTCCTTCAGTTCCAGGGCCAACCCTGGAGACGTTTGTGGGTGCTGACATCAACACCATTCTCATCACGAACCTCCTCAGCGGGATGGACTACAGCGTGAAGATCTTCGCCTCCCAGGCTGCAGGCTTCAGCGACTCCCTAACGGGCATGGTGAAAACACGTAAGTGCTTTCCCGCCTCGGTCCACGTGTGCCCTGGCCTCTTGGCTTTCCCTGTGACTTGTAACTCAAGCCTGCTTCAGCGTTGCCTGGCGTTTCTTTTTCTGGATGGTGTTTTGTGGAAAGAAAGGTGTGCTCGTTCCTCGGGGGACTTGAGAGTCCTAGTTGGCAGGTGGGGTGTCAGCGCCTGGCTTTCCAATAGGCCTGATGCCCGCAGATAGAATTTCCTTCTGGAAAATCTTGGTTGGCATTTTTCAAATTAGGTGAAATTTTCCAAACAGCCGATAGCCTGACACAATTAATGCCAGTCCACTGGGCCAAGGAGACAGCTTGCCTTTTTCAGAGCCATCGTTACCCTCTGCCACACGCACGCACACACATGCACACACGCACATGCACGCATCATTTGTTAAAGTGCATGCCACATCGCGCTAAGAACTTCCTTCTCTACTCTTTTATGGGATTTCACGCTGTCTGGGCAGCATCTGGGATGTCTCATTGGCATTCAGGGCTTTCAGACGCCCATGAAATTATGCAGTGTTTCCAAATCCCAGCTTGTATGTTCCATATTCCTGGAGATTGTTCTACCTCCACACCATCTGTTTAATATATTTCTTCAGATGGGCTTTCTATGAAACACCGTCCAGAAGGAGCGATGTGGAGGAAAAGAGAAGCCAGGCACACATTAAATCTAAATACTTTGGAAATCCCATGTAATTACCCTGCACAGAAAATCAGCGTTTTTATTACACAACGAAGATAACACGAATGATCAAAATAAAAATTGCTCCGCTGAGTGCTAATTGAAACAACCCTGAGTGTTACCAAGAGCAAGCGCCCCGCGGGAGGGAGACGGTCAGGGCACGGTCAGGAGAATAAGTCGTAAGGACGCTGCTTGCTGGCCAACCTTCCTCCACCCTGAAATGAAGATAATAACCTCCTTGAGGCTTGATTGTGAGGACTGAGGAGGCAGTGTCTGTCAACTGCCGACCCTATGGCGAGCCCTCGATGAGTAGCTGCTATTATTATTGTAACAGTTGTGCTTCATGTCCTCCGCATGTGTCTCACCCTCATTCCCAGTGAAATCCCTAATCTGATAAACAAGAGCAAGACAAGCAAGGCAAGAACAGGGGCTCTACTAAACCAGACCCTCAGCTACCCTGGGCTTCACAGGGGCCCAGCCCAGTCACAAAGGAGTCTTCTGAGATCTCTTCTGTGGAGTCTCTTGAGGTCTTCATTAAAGGCTGGCTACTGAGCACATTCAGTCTCAGGAGAAACGGTCTGTGTGTCAGCTCTGGGAAGACTCTGGCCTGCGTCTGGTCTTATACTGGGTGTTGAAGTGCCCCTGTTTTAGGCACAACATCTAAGCTTTTCTCTCTGCTGTGCGCTTACTATCCCACAGGTCCTCCTGAGCCAGCGTGCTTCCTCTGTCCCTCTCCGCTCTCCTGCTGTAGTTCGGCTTTCCTTTCCTGTCTGGATTGCTTGATGTGTCAGTGCCCCTTCGTCTGTCTCCGGGACATCCTTTCCCTACAGAATCTCTCCCTACTCTTGCTCGTCTCTCCTCTCCTCCCTCTGCCTCCCTCTTTTTCTCCCCGTCCCCTTAGTATGTTGAGGATTCCAAACCTACTGTAAAAGACTGAGAGTTTTCCATTGTTTTATAATCATGTCCTTAATGTAAAACTTACATGAGCTGATTGCTCATCATCCCCTTCCCAGGCAAAATAAAACCTCATATAATGAAAAGGAAGTTAATCTAATTTCTAAAAGCTTAGTGATAGAAACATGATTAATTTCCCTTTGTTGTGCAAAGAAAGTAGTTTAATTGGCTTTTGAAAAAAATCTTCCCTTTCTATTCTAGTGGAAAGGCATAATATAAAGATATAAATTATAATTAGATAGGAATGTTTTCCCATCTTGCAAAAATAATTAAAAGGTAATTTTATTATATGAATTAACTAAAAGAGAAGGAGAAGTAAGATCAATTATATGAATGAAGCCAGGTATCATTAGGGAGAGTAAATATGAATTTTTGGCTTTTTCCCACTTGGATCTAAAGGGGAAACACCAGATATTTGTTGTTTTTTTGTTTGTTTGTTTTTCCGGTACCGGGAATTGAACTCACGATCTTGTGCTTGCCAGGCAGGCACTGTGCTGCTGAGCTACATTCCCAGCCCGGAAACACCAGATGTTACTCCTCTGTCCTAGAGAAACAACACTTTTATATGAAAACGATTATTTGGGGAAGCAATAAAAACATTTTTTTCCCTAGCACACAGAGGAGTAATCATCTGGTATGTTATATCTGCATATTCTATCATTTTAATTTTTTCAAAACATGTTCTCATTTAATAGAATAGAAAGGGAAGACTGGCACCCACCCTACCTCTCCCCACTCCTGTGAGGTAGACTTTGTTAGCATCTGAAGTGAATGAGATCACAATGGAATACTATGCAGCCCCCAAAATGACAAAATGTTATCATATGTGGCAGTGTGAGTGGTGTGGAAGACATTAGATTGCAACAGAAAACAGAAATGCTGAAATGACACCCAGGATTTGGAGCCACATTTATTTTATGTTGAGAGGCACTGACAGGGAATCAAGTGTCCCTCAAAATGTCAGGCTCCAAAGGCTCAGGGAGGGAGGTTTTTATGGGGCTTTAAAGGGGAAGTACAGAGGTAGAGTATCTGGCTGTCTTTGATTAGTTCCTACAGTATGCAACGTAGTGACCAGCTATGTGTCACAGTGACCAACTGTTTCTAGGAAACAGAAACAACGAGAACTGTGACAGGAACTGTCACCTGGGTAACTGAAGTATTCTGACTCAGAGGGGGTGTTTTCTGCTACATTTCACCCCGCTTTTAGTTTCCTCTCTTCTAGTTTGCTGCACACGTTGCATGTGATCTTCTGAGACAAGGCCCAACTAGAAGCAGTAACATTAGGCCTGTCAGTGGTCCTAGCATGGACTCTAGACAAGGTCCCCCAGATTGGAAAGTTTTCCCTTATTATCGGGTCTCTCCCTAAATTGCTTTTAGGAAGAGACATGATTTAATCAAGGACTGGGGTAAGCAGCCTGAAAAGGCACAAAAATCAAGGGCAACAGCAATCCTGTGAACCATGTCCGCAGGCTTCAGCATGTGTGCACTGGTCAGTATCCAGAGAGACCAGAGCAGGACTTTGAGTGCATCATCTCTTCAGTGAACTTTAGAGGAGCTGTCTGGTCCAGGTAAACTCTCCACAACTCTGGAATGGGGGATCTGAGGCTGGATTTCTGAAACTTTAAGAGGTAGTTAATATGCACCTGAGTTATATGTGTGTGAGGAATGTCTATAGGTATAGCTGGTCTTTTACCTAAACCTTTACAGAGCTGGTTACAAGCTGTTTCAGCAGGGTTATGTTTTATTTTCTCAACTTTTTAGAGCTTATGGCCTGTATGTTGTATGTAGTTTTTATTTAATTATCTCTGCTACAAATGCAGACCCATTGTCTCTGCCAATGGTCAAGGGTAGGCCATATCTAGGGATAATTTCTCACAGCAGGACCCTACAAACTTTCATTGCCCTCTCAGCTCGGGTAGGGAATGCCTGAGGCCAGCCTGAGTAGGTACAGACAAGCATTAAGTCTATCTGTATATCTGGGTGGAGGTCAGGACCAGTGATACAGATACCAAAACCTGAGCTGGCTGCAGGGGTAAAGGTGCCAGTGTTTCAGCCTGAGCTTATAGAATATACAGTGGGGGCAGGTCTGGCTCTGATTAAGATGGATCTTCTGGGAGTACTGGGTAAAGTTTTTCTGGTTGGGACTGATGTTTCAGTCAATCAGATCCCTGGAGGGGGCCTCTGGACCAGATTATTTTGAGTGCAGTTTTCCAAAATAGCTTTGTCCAAAGTGACCATAGTATATCTAGCCTGTCAGATTTCATTGCTAACAGAGCTACTTCCACCTATAAACAGGGTGTACTCAGCATCTGTCAGGAGGTTCATATTTTAAAGTCTGACCAGCTCAAGAACAGTTCATCAGTCAGTGCCAGGCAGTCATGGTCTGTTGGGCCCCACTCTGTGGGCAGGTACATGGTAGGAGCGAGTGGTTTTATTGATATAAGAGTTAGGTGAGGAGTTTTGCATAAGAGTCCTTGGTACTGGGTGAGAACCAGACAGCATGTGGCACCTGGACTGTTAAGTCTCGGCCTAAGGTGAGCTCGTCAGCTCTCTTGATGAGAAGGATAGTGGCTGTTAGAACACAGAGGCAAAGGGGATAGGCAGCCCTTAGCAACCGGATCCAAGTATTTGCCCAGGGAAGTCACTGGGCACTCCCAGGGGCTGACAGTATTTCTGAACTCAAGGATCCAGATTTTATAGAAGCCAGCAGCTCCAAGAAATTTGCAGAGTTTCTTTCTTGTAACCAGTTTCTGCCAGGTATTGTTGCAGAGCTTTTGTGCCTTTCCAGCAGGCAGCTTAGGTGTCATTAATCAGGAGTGCAGTGATATCAGTGCTGGGAAACTAGACAGGTCAGCCATGAGGGTTTCTCCAAAGAGGATAAACAAGTTTTTGAACCTTTGGGAGATTGAGTCCAGGTCAGTTAACCTTTGAGTTCAGAACTGGGGTCTCTTCATTTAAAGGCGAAGAGGGGCTGGCTGACAAAAGCCAACTGAAGGCAGAAGAAGGCATTTTTTAGGTCCAGGCAGGTGAACCAGCAGGCTGGGGGTAGCAGACTGAGGCAGCATATGTAGAGGGTAATCATGGAGGCATTCACAGCTCAGCAATCCTGAACTGGCTTTACAGGCAGGAGAGGTATAGTTTAGCAGCTTAAAGTCTATAATTGCTTTCTTTCTCAGGGGACTCTGATGGCAAGCAGGAGGGGACAGAGAAACAGGCCATCTCAGAGTGGCCAAGTCTGTTGTCAGAGCTTCCCTGGAAATAGTGGGGAATTCCCAAACCCTTATGGTAATTGAGTCCAAGTGAGCTGGCCTTTTTATCTTGTCTCTGGGTCTTCCAGGTCGAAGGTACAGCCCACAAGCAGAAGATGGCATCTTTTAAATCTAGACATGTAAACCAGGGGCATCTGGGGGTTGTTTTTACCAGGAGGAGAGGAGTGTTCCGAGGTGATTAACAGTCTAGCAGGGTTTCAGACTGCTTTAGGTGGCTGAGGTGTGGCTGGATGTCTGTGAGCTTCCTGTGACACAGGATATTGTCAATGGGGGTCACAGAGTTCAGTCACCATGGGAGCATGTTGGTGGCCAGGCCCAGAGGTGAGTTTTTGGCTCATACCTCTGGGAGGAGATTTTTCAAAATTTCAGGATTGTGGTTATCTGTCTCAGGTTGATGCAGGCCTCATCTTCCTCTCAGGGAACAGTCAGAGTTGAAAGTACAGCGTTAAATGAGAGGGAGGCTGACTGGCTTGGTGCAAAGGAGACAATCACTTCTAACTTGAAGAGGAGGTCTCATCCCAGAAGCGGTGTGGGGAGATGTCTTCCCGGGGTGCAAATTTGCGTATGGCAGAAGGGGTGAGAGGCAAGAGTGCCAGTTGCCCTGGTGATGGCAACTTTCTTCTGACAGAGGGGACTTTTGAAGGCAGAGAATTGTGCTCCATCGTCTACTAGGAAGAAGGGGAGCCTGCTCTGACCTAATCTGCACCCATCAGACCAACGGAAGGGTTGTCATCTGATCCAGCTTAAAGTTTTTCAGAATTCTTACTTTTTAGTCTGAATAGGCATTTGCTTATTAGTTTCCATTGCCCATATAACTCACATGTTGATCTTTGGCCAGAGGGTATGGTCATCTACTAGACCAGATTTTCTTTTGGCTTTCAGGTGTTTTTTGTGCAATGAAGGCTGTAGATATGGGCCTTTTGCCTGCCCCTCTTTGATGTCTTTGAGGAGTGCTTGACTGGGTTGCTTTGTTTAAAACCATGGCAACCCATTTGTCAGGCTGACAGACAATTTTTCCTTAGTCAAAATGTGGAACTCAGAAGGAATTACTGACAGTCATCTTGGACGGGTGTTAGATGACAGCATCTGACCAGGATAGGCGTGCCTGGGGGGCCTCTGTAGCCTCATGCAAGTGACGGCCCACTGGAACCAGTTCAGTTGTCTTGAAGTAGCTGAGCTGAGAGCAGGGAGTGAAGCTATAGGTGTTGGCAGCAGCTGTGGTGGCCAACGAGGGTGCCGGGGTGGAATTCTCAGGAAGAATGGGTGTCGTTTTTTCCTTTTTTTTCTTTGAGTGGTATGGTTTTATTTTTAAGTCCATAAAAGCCCTTTTTCCAAAAGTCCAAAAGTCCCTTGATACAAAGGCTGATGAGCTCACCTTAGGCTGGAGGCCTAAGTCAGGAACTGTGGGTTTTTATTAGTTCCTATCTCTGACTTCCTGTGTATGTGTTCTGTACCCTTGAATGATGGTGCTACAGACAAAGGGTGGGTGCCTCTCAGAGACAGACCACTCAGATGCCTGCCTGGCTGCCCCTCATGGGGACACAGGCACAACTTAGCTAAGGAGGGTGCCAAGCCTCTGTGTGCCATATACTGATCACCATGGAACCACAGGTGAGGGCCCAGTCAGCCACCACGACCCGTGCTTCCCTGTCCGGGTGCACAGACAGAGCAGCCTGTTGCTTATGTTGCCCATTCCACTCGCTCACACATTCATTCAGCAGCACTCAGGTTAAACATTCCAACCCCCTTCCCTCAAGGGTGGTCTTAACTAGCAATAGGTGATCAATCGCTTCTTCTGCTCAAGCTGAGCAGGACTGACAGACAAACTGGGGTGCCCCTGGGGGTCTTACTGGAATCAGGCAGGCAGGCAGGCAGGCAGACAGACAGACTGAGTCCTCCTCCCTTTGGGGTCCAATGTGTGCCGCTCAAGCAGGGAGCCAAGAATCCTCTTCCAGACCTCTGAGGGAACTCAAAAAATCTCAAGAGCGCACCTTCCCATCAGGACCTGGAGAGGTCTTTGCCCTGTCCACGAAGGCCATGACTGGTGACCAAAGAGGTCAGCATGGTTGGTCTTCCCGGCCAACACACCAGATGCAACAGCAAGCAGAAATACCGAAATGGCACCCAGGATTTGGCAGATATATTTTATGTCTATAGGAACTGACAGGGAATCAATTGTCCCTCAAAATGTCAGACCCCAAAGGTTCAGGAAGGGAGGTTTTTATGGTCTGTAAAGGGGAAGTGCAGAGGTAGAGTAGAGTACTTAGCTGTCTGTGATTGGTTCCTACAATATGCATTGTAGTGACGAGCCACACATCACAGTGACCGGCTGTTTCTAAGAAACAGAGGCAACCGGAACTGGAACAGGAACGGTCACCTGGGCAACCGGAGTACATGGCTGGGGGTGCATTTTCTGCTGCAATGTTAAGTGAAATTAGTCAGGCATAGGACAACAAGTGCCACATAGTCTTAGTTGAATTTTGAAAGCCAGTCCTTGTGAATCTGCCTGTTTGTGTCTCACTTCCATTCTGCCTACTTTGTCCTTCCCTTTGCATCACGCATTTCATTGGTTGATAAATATGCACTGTCACCACTTTTTATTATAAAAGTAGTATACGTTCATAACTGACTGTATAGAAACATACTTAAACAAGGGGAAAGATAAAACCTACTCAGCACTTCATCACCCATTGCATCTGGTCTTTTTCCTGTGCATATATCTTTCCTTGTCTGTACTGTTCTTCTGCTATTTTGTAAATGGTTGTCTGTCTGTTAATGTTTTCCTCCTTTTATTTTTAAAATAAATAAATAAATAAATAAATAATGTACATGTAAAAAAATAAATCCAGACAGATGACTTCATACATACTGTTTTGCAAACTATTACCTCAAGTCATCCTTGTGAGTTGGTGGATTTCCCACTCTGAGTACAAAGATGTGAATGTTGATGTGACCATAAATTATTCTCAGGCTTAGGGACTTTTGTGGCTTTGTCTATGGTGTGACACAAGTATGCGTCTCTCTCGTTGCAGTGTTCTTGGGTGTGACCAATCTCCAAGCGCATCAGGTTGAAATGACCAGCTTGTGTGCTCGGTGGCAGGTGCATCGCCATGCCACAGCCTACAGGATCGTTGTGGAATCTGTCCAGGGTAAGCACGTCGCCTGCATTTTTGTCAAGCACTATGTGCTTGGTGCTTTCCAGTCTCAAAGGAGGACGCCCAGGCACCGGTAGACCAGAGCCCTCTTACTGAGTCAGACGGGTGAGGCGCAATGACTCAACCTCTCCAGAGCTCTGCTTTCTAGTCTGATAGTGGCTAAAACTATAGGGCAGACTTTTTTTTTTTTTTTTTGGTTTTTCTCCAGTACCGGGAACCGAACTCATGACCTTGCGCTTGCCAGGCAGGCGCTTTTGCCACTGAGCTAAATCCCCAGCCCCAGGGCAGACTTTTAGGGTTGTATGAGGATTAGGCTGAAATCATCCGTATAAAGGAGTCACATAGCCAGGACTGAAACATGAATGCCGTATGGCGCTGACGTTTGGTATTCACTCCGTGTGAGTTGAATGCTTTTCTCAGTGGTTCATGCTCTGTTGGGTGAGGCGTGAATAACAAACTCCTTCTAGAGAAGCGTTGTGCGTCCACGTTATTGTGACACAGGTCTTCAGTGTTACAGCCTCAAGTACAGCCATTCAGATCTCTCCTCACTATCAAAAATATCAAAAACAACAAAAATCTGATTTCCCCCAAATGACTAAGGCCTAATAATCTTCTCATCACAGTATGACCGCGGACAGTATTCAAAAACTGAAATAAAGTAAGGAAAGGTACTTTAAGGCCATTTGTACACACAGGGAAAGAGATACACTTGTTGCTGGGTGGGGGTCACAGGAGACAGTGCAGAATCTCAAATGCAAGATTATTTTTATGTTCAAACGTGACAGCAAAGTTGTTAAAAATGTAGCCTGTTTTTTCCTGACAAATGATTTTGATTTTCCTACTAAAAAGAAAAAAAGCGGGAGTTACGTTGTTGAGGTCTAGATGGGGCTGTTTACTAATCCATACCTTTGTCTATACCTATATTTAAAATCCATAAGTCTCATGTTTTATGCAATCCAGAAAGTGGAAAGCACGATTTAGGAGATCTTTGGGATGTATGGCCCTATAGAATATGATCTGAAGCAGGAGGAGCATTCTAGAATCTCTGCCAGACCTGCCGAGATCTTGTCTCCTGTGTCCATCTACTTGAGTGATGTCACTTCCTTGGTCCTGGGATGATAAAACCATCTCATAAGTTGGACCCATGAGGATGGTTTACTATGAAACACATAGTAAGGAAAAGAAACACGGGACATAATATGTGAATATTGTGGTTGTGTTAAACTTGATTAATGGCAAGCTTAATCAGAATTAGATGAAAGACACATTAAATGAAAGATTCATGAAACAACTACCAAATTTTGAATTATATTTTATATATTAAATTACACTTTAATATAGAAGGGTTAACATTTACTACTATTTGCTAGGTTTTTAAAAATACTAAGTATAATAATTACTCTCTGATGCTATCCCACGATATTTGCATCCATTTATATCTTTTAAGAAATTGAAAGGGGGCTGGGGATATAGCTCAGTGACCCAGTGCCTGCCTGGCAAGTGTGAGGTCATGAGTTTGATTGCCAGTACCAAAAAAACAAAACAAAACAAAACAAAACAAAAAAACCAACAAAAACAGAAAAAATTGAAATGAAGGAAGCAAGCTCCTGTGGATATTCGCTGTCTTTCATAAAAATCGTAACTGTAGAGATTGGCAAAAGTATGTATCACAAGTAGCTTTGCCAATGGAATTAGTACGATCCGTAAGTACTATTCATTCAGCAATTTGACAGTGGTGTTTATCAGAGGACATGATTAATGGGTCTGGTAACATTGATCTAATAGTCTGAAACCACAATAAGTCCTTTCTAAAGCCAAGAGCTTTGCTGGCCCCAAAATGAGGTCGTATATTGTTGCAGTCACTTCCCCATCACTAAGCCACAATGCCAGCACCCACACCTCGAGGAGCACAGGTTTACGTGGCTCACAGCTTCCAGTGGGGTCAGCCCAAGGTCAGCTGGCTCCTCAGCCGAAATGCATGGTGGGAGGGCGTGGAAGAGGAGAGCTGCACAACCACGGCAGCCAGGACGCAGAGAGACAAGGGAGGAGCAGGGACAAGAACGCCCTGTTCTAGGTCACGTCCCAGCGGCCACCTCCAAGCAGGCTCCACCTCCTCGCGGCACATTCATCCCTGAGCGCATCCATGGATGAACTCACTGGTGAGTGGGGCACCCCACGATCCAATCGCCATCCACTCACGTGAGATTGGGGGCACCGTTTCAGATCTACGTGGAATGTACACACACACACACACACACACACACACACACACACAGGTCACTGTAGCCAGGATGTAGCCTTCTAGTTAAGTTAGCTTGTACTCTGCATTTTGGTAAGCTCCCAGAAACCTTTCAGCTGAGCCCGTGTAGTCTCAATTAAATAAGAATATACAACAGTATTGTTTGATTTACTTCTTGCCAACGTGTCTAGCTGAGGGATTTGCGCCCACAGGTCCCACAGCCTGGAGTTCTGACTCTGATGCCCTCCAGGGCTGCGCATGCTCCTGCAAACACGGAGACGTTGCTGTCCTCCCCACCCGGCAGAGGGGACACCAGGGAGCAGCCAGGCACAGCTTTTCAGTGTGCTGGATAAAGGCCTTTGCCAGGCCAGTGTTTCTGGACACCTCAGTGAAGTTCCTGCGGTTTCAGGGGTGGCACTGGCCCCTCCCTGTCTGTTCCCCCGGGCCTCACCATGTGCTCAGACATCTCAGGCTGCTGGGTTGCTTTCTCCTCTGGGTCTCTGTTTCTCTAATGTCACTTCATGTGCAGTTGCTAAGGGAACTGATTACCTGCACATTTCCGAGGCTTTTGTGAATAAACTGTCCAGGCTGTGTCATTCGAATTTGTTTATTACATCTGTAGAAAACTAGACCAAGGGAATTTAAGCAAAGCGTCGGTTTATTGGCTCACAACTGAGAAGCCTCAAAGATTAGCCTTCAGGCTCAGCTGGATCTAGGAGTTCCAGTAAGGCTGAGGTAGGTCTGGCTCCATCCTCAGCTGGACCCCAGTCAGGCCCAGAATGGTGCCTCTTCTCCCCACTTTCCAACTTCCAGCCATGGCAAACAGAGAACTTTTCTTCCTCTTGTTCCCAGCAGAAGGCCAGGTAGTGACTCATGTTGGCCCAGTTTGGGTCACATGCCCCTAAATCTGTCACTGAGTTTGCAGGCATGAAGTAAGCTGCTGGTTAGACCTGGCTGCTTCCCGCTGGGCCGGCGGCCGTGGTGAGCAGAGGGGGTGGTGCGCTCTCCTCTCCAAATCATAGCAACCCAGAGTGAGGAGGACGAGGGACTGGGGGTGGGGCCGGCCAGAGCAGCAGATGTCTCCCACTTGTCTGGACATTACGATGCTTTTATGGCAGAGAGGAAAAAGAAAAAGATTACCAGAAGACAAGGTCCTCTTGGGAGAGACAGGAGTCAGATCTGCCAGGGCCCTTCTCACCAGGTTCTGTGATGGGCTGTTGGTTAATTCTAGGGTGGACCAAGGCGAGAGACTTGTGGTGGTCGCGGTAACTCGGATGGCGGGGGGGGTCACTGGTTAGTCCCAGGAGAGCTCTGGGTTTCTGCCCTTCTTCTGTCATCACTAGGTTTGCCTTCAAGTCCACGTACTTCTGAGCCACAAGAGCCCCGATGCGTGTCCCCTCTAAGCCCCATAGCTCGGTGAACTTCTCTTTGTCTCCTGCATAGAGAATTCGGGGGATATTCCAAGCATACCTCTGTTCAGGTGTTGAAATGTCATTTTGCAATAGTAGCTGTTAACCAAGACAGACAACTGCAGCGTAGTGTAGAGCCGACCATAGCAAGGAGCAGAAAAAAGATTACGAAACCTGTTCTCAAAATTAAATTTCTGAAGTAGTGACCCTATGACTGGGATTTAGCATATTGGTGAGACCTGGGGAGTAGAAGTATATCATGAAATTCAGGCCGACTCATTACCTGGACCCTGAATACCTTTGCTCCTAGCTCGTGGGAACTATCACAGCACATTTTAGGGTGGTGGGCTGGTGGCATCACCCACGTGATCATAATCCAGAGAATGTAATTTAGCTTGGCTTCCTAGAATAGAAATGAATGCACAAGTGAAGACAGAAGTTTTTCCCTTGTTCCAAAAAATAATTTTCTCTTCTTGGCATAAAAGGTTGCAGAAATTAGTCATCGTTTGATCAGTTTAAGTTTTGTTTTCTTTAAGGCAAAGCCATTGGACTTGACTGTCACATGCCAAAAGCAACACGGTACACCCCCGTCCTGTAACCCCTCTTTGTTAGTATTGGGAATCAAACCAATACCATCTGCCATTAATTTTTCAGGGCCTCTTCCCGTTTTCCAATGGCTGTAGACTTAGTAAGTTTAAAAGTAAGATCCATTAATACTCTGTCTTCAAGGGTCTTTCTTCAAACTAGATGGGTCACCACAAGAACCAGGAAGTGGCAGAGAAGTGCATTTCCAGAATGGAGTCCCTGGGGAGTCCCTGGAAAGCTTTTCGACAGAGATCAGTGTAATCTGTGCGTGGGGTTCAGGGGATGTTTGGGTAAGACAGGCTCACAGAGGCTTCCGGGAGGCAGGGCAGAGTGGCCAAGTGCCAGAGAGGAACTGTGATCCTGGGGTCCAACCCTGGGAACGCTGGACTGACTACATTTCACTTAGACTCAAGCCTCTTTCACAGTAACAAATAATCTCACAAACACTTTACCGATTTTTATTTCATGATTTTATACAATATATGAAAAATGATTGTAGAGAATACCTCGTTGTGAGCAAATATATCAATCGAGATGACATTGTGAAGTTTACTTCTGAAATTGTTTGCTGTTCACAATATGTACAAATAAATTTCAATTCAGTTTTCCACATGGCTTAATTTAGTTACATTGTTAAAGGTCAGGACTTTTCCATGACCGAATGATATACATGTTTATTCTGATAGATACATACTGAAAAATCTACTCAAATGTATATGTTTCCTAATATGTATATTAAAATATAGAATGAAGTTTACTTAAGTATTATACTTTCTAAACAGGCAAAAAGCATTGGACGTTTTTACAGCTTGCACTTTTATAGGAATTGTTCTTTTTTTTTTTTTTTTTTTTTACATTTTCTATGCATTGTTTATTTCTGAGAAACTCTTCTTTTTTTTTTTTTGTTTTTGGTTTTTCTCCGGTACTGGGAACTGAACTCATGACCTTGCACTTGCTAGGCAGGAGCTTTCTGAGAAACTTGTCTAGAAATAACATTTTTGAAGAGTGGATGGTACTTTTTAGCCATTAAATAATGTGTGTAAAGTATTTAATCAGTGGAATTCTTAATGGTAAATTTTAAATTTCTAGAAATTAAGCTTTATAGGCTGGGGATATAGCCCAGTGGTGCAATGCCTGTCTGGCAGATCGTGAGTTCAATTCTCACTACCAAAAAAAAAGAAGTTAAGCTTTATAAAGCCTTGACTTAACAGATACAATTTATAGGTGAGAAAATTAATCTACCCAGAAATTTAAGTAGTTGTTCTTTTCCTGTAGCTGTGATGCATCTGTTTGTTCAGCCACTGTGGTAAAAATAAACACTGAGCCTAGAAGAAAACACATTTGAAAGTCTTTGGTAGTTAAAATCAAAGTAGACCCTGTCCGATGGAGTTACACCCAGTGTCGTTTTGAAAACCTGCCGATTTGATTTGATTTGCATTACTGTGTGATATACCAGTGGAAATGAACGCAAACGCCTCTTAGGTCGCGTGTTACAGCTCTGCATTTAAACCTTCGTTCTGCTCTGAGTTCCGGACTGGGGAATTGCTGATTCTTCTGGTCTTGGATTTCTTATATTTAGATTGTGGAATATTACAAGGTTGCAGGGATAGCCGCAGCAGAGACAGATGAAGCCCTCAGAATATTGCCAGGACATGGCGAGCACTCTTGACGTGTGGGTCAGCGTGCTCTTTGTGGTAGTTAACTTTAAACACAAAGCACAGAACACGCAGATAGTAAACGCTCCAGAAACGGCGAGTGTGGTCCATCCGGCTTCATCGGCCTCCACCGCGGGAGCCGGCGCTGACACCTCCTGCAGGGGCCTGGCAGTTTCAGGTGGACGTGGGGATGAGGAAAGGGGCCACCGGTTCTTTGTGCCTCCAGAATTCTTGTGGCTCTGCCATTGTGGAGGAGACAGAGAAAGTGCAATGGCGGGGCAGTTGCCTGTGACGTGGCTCTTTGGTGGAACGAAACGGACCTCGAGACCAGGAGTTGGGAGACAGCTCAATAGCACGCGTGCCACTTAAGCACCATGTCTGTGTCCTCTGTTATGATTTTTGAAGAGTAGAAAAGGATTTTGAGGGCATCCTGGGAGCTCGGATGTCCTTAAGACTCCCCTGAGTTCCTAAGTCTTCTTTGTCCAATAGAGAGAAAGCTGGGTGTCAGCTAAAAGTCAAGGCTCAGAAGGAGGCAATGGGCAGTCTGGGGACCCCTGATTGTCCCGCTGCTGCCCCAAGCCCTGGCCAGTCTGGACCCAGGGGTGAGGCACCTGAAGCCCTGCAGCCCCCTCCTAGACAGAAGGCACCAGGAGGCCCAGAGCCTGCCACCCAGAGAGCCCTAACTCGATACTCGGATTTTAGACCCTGGTCAGAAGGGCACCGTGTCAGACGGTAGTAAGTTGAGTGAGATGAAAAGTATTTATCTTTTTTTGTCATTCTGTGATCATGGGACCGTGTGCTGGAGAATCACGTTGGATAAGTGGGAGTTCATTTTTTAAAAAATAAAGATACAAGCACCCCTGTGCATGGGCCAGCTTAGATGGTGCCTATATAATTGTCTACATTAACACTCCTTCCCTCAGAAATGTGACCTTGGGTTTCTTAATAGGAAGTTTTACTTTTATACATATGGAATGCGATTTTTAATAGAAAAAAACCAGTGGCTATCTTATGACTTTAGAAAAATGTACAATACTTCTAACAAGTACAATGCATTGTCTAGTTATCTGATGTAGACCATGTATATTCTGCATTTTAGAAGCAAATTACAAACCAATGATCTCTGTTATGAATTTTGTGTGTGTGTTGTGTTTTTGTGACAGATACACAAAAGCAAGAATCTACTGTGGGAGGAGGGACAAACAGACACTGCTTCTACGGACTTCAGCCAGACTCCGAGTATAAAATCAGCGTCTACACCAAGCTCCAGGAGCTGGAGGGACCGAGTGTGAGCATAACGGAGAGAACACGTGAGTCAGGCGTCTTCTCTTCTGATCCCCTGGACAGGAACCAAAAACATTCCAGGCATGTGTTTTGGATCTAAAACTTTATTCCATTTAGAAAAATATCAGCGACTGCTGCCGAGGAATAAATGGCGTGCCAGTGTTGCTCCTGGGATCTGATCCCAGCATTCTTTGCACACGGCCCCTGACTCCTCCTTCCATGCACCACAGGGACTTTGCGGTCACGTGAGGGCAGCGCCCTGGGAACAAGGCCCTACATTGTGATCTGGATCCATGGGGAAAGCGTGGAGGTGGAGGCCCGGGGCCTGACATTCAAGCAAGGTCGCACGGGGGAGGGGTGCCGAGGGGTCGCACCGACTGACCCCGGAGCTGTCGCCTCTGAAGGGGCTCTTGTGCTTTTCCAGGCTGGCTATGGACCTCCTTCCCCAGAAGGCAAAGGCGAAGGACAAAATAAACACAAAGCATGTTCCAAAGAGCAAGGAGGGCGTCTGCTTCTTGGGGTGGCTTCTGATCCAGGATCCCCGATCTGGAAGCCTTGAACGTGAAAGTGGTTTCAGTGGCAGTGAGGGGGGACGAGTGTGTGTTTAAATCCGTATCTTGAATTTAGCTTGAAACCGCTGAGGATTTATGGCTGAAGGGGTGGGGGGCTTTCCTGGTGACCCTTCTATCATGTATATGGCATCTAACTAGGCTAGGCTCATGCACAGATGTTTCAGCCTTTCTGGCTCCTGCAGAAGGTGATCATCATGAACAGAGGACAAAGCTGGGGGCGACGCCACAGGCTTATAAACCCAGCACTCTGGGAGGCTGAGACAGGAGGATCACAAGTTTCAGCCCAGCCTGGGCAATTTAGTGACTTAACAACTCCTTGTCTCAAGAAAATAAAAAGGGCTGGGGCTGTCACTCAGTGCAAAGGCTCTGGGTTCAATCCCCAGTACTGGAAAAAAATGAAAATATAATGAATGATCTAATTTTTTATAATATAAATTTTTTGATTTCCTAACACTGAAGTATTTAAAATTTTATATTGCACATACATTTTGGAGGTACAGTTTATAAGCCATAAAATGAAAGTGCCAGGTTAAGTGTGCAATTCAGTGATGTTTTTAGGACATCTAAAAGTCATATGGCCATCACCAGAACCCGATTTTAGGTTTCTGTCCACCCAAAGAAACCTCTCCTATCCCCACACTGTCCCCTTCCTCACCCTCATCCCCAGGCAGTCTATTTTATTTTATTGTGTATGTGCCTTTTCTGGCCACTTAATACAAGTACAGATACACAGGGGTAGTCTTCTGTTCCTGACTTACTTCATCTAGCACGTGCCTTTGTGGATTATCCGCGCCTGGTACCGATCAGTTTGTTTCCCTGCACTGCAGATTAGAGTCTTGCTTTACGGAGACGCATCATATGCTGTTGAAGTTAAGAAGATTTGGTAGTAAGAGTGAGGGTCAAATCTTTAGGTTTGGTGGAGACTGCTGTTGTGTCCTTTTTGAGCACTGTGGCCTTGTGTCGTTCAGCACCTCTGAGCTTCTTTCTGCTCAGCAATAAAATTAAAGGTCTGCTCTCTTCCTCCCCGGTAACAGGAAAGGTGTAGCTGTTGAGTATCCTTTGTCCTCACCATTGTTACCTTCTTGGAACGGTGGCCGGGGGGCTAGATCTCACCATCAGACATGTTTTCTCCGAGCCTTACTTTTTAAAATATTTTAAAATACTTTTGAAAATGCAGACCATCTTGCAACACAGAGCCCAGGCCTCATGGTGCCAGTCTGCTGGAACCAATTAACTGCAAGCTCTTTGGCCGGCGCGTGTGCTCTTGGGTTGTAGGCTACAGTCACTGCTTGCCTGACCGCTGCAAACATTCTGGTTTGTGACCCCTGGTCTACTTCAAGATCTCCTAACGTGAGCCCCACACATGCTGGCTCCCACCTTAGGGCTAACTCCAGCTGGGACAGCCTTGTCTGATGCAAATATTGTCCTGATGTTGGACACATCTGGCTCCTTGTAGCTTCACCCACCGGCTCTGGTCCAATCCAGGAAGCAACCCAGCCCAAGACCGTTCCTTTCTTTGTGTGACAGCACCGCACCCACTTGCAGGCGGGGACATCTGCATGCCACACAGAGAAGCTGAACATCTGCTCCCAGGGCAGTGTGCTCCTCTTACCCCGGAGAGTCTGTGGCCAGATGTTCTATCTGGCCAGTATCGCCTCTCATTGATTGGGTCCCTGATTTATTGGCTGAATGTGAGATACTCCTCCACCTTCCGTACAAGGGAAGATGACGCACTGCTTCCGCTGGTGGCTGATTATAAGATGAGCAAATCTGGTTTCGAAAGTACTGTGCAGAGCTTTCAAGAAAAATTTTGCAATCCTAGCTTTAGTACTGAGCTTTCTCAGTTGTTTTTACTCTTGGAACTTTTCAGCTTAAAACAAAAATCACCTATAAAACAGTGGTGCCTGTATCCACGATAGCGCAGCAGAAGTGTATGAAAGCGCATAGCCACCGGTCCGCTCCCCACCTTGTCCCATTCTTCCTTTCCAGAAATCCCCGTTTTGCCCCCGGGGTTTCCTTCTAGAAATTCTTTCATTGTTTTCACAAATGGGGTCGTGCCTTGGTGTCCTGTGACCTGCTTTATTTCACATAAGTAGCTTTGGAAATTTTTCCATATTAGTAACACACAGCTACCTCATTCTTTTAGTGTCGAATCACTTTATTTAAGTAATGTTACTTTCTTGGTTCTCAGAACTAGAAGAGTCCCTAGCATTGATCTCTGCTAATGGCCCTGCCCATGAGGGAATTCCCTCTCCAAAATTTCAGGCAGATGGCCTGTTCTCCTGAACATACGCCCTCTGGTTATTTGTTGCTTACTCTTTCTTGGAGCTGGACATCTCCTTTGTGAATGGCCAGGATTGGCAGAGGCCTTTCCAAATTTCAAACTGGGATGTGGAAAATTTTCTCAGCTTTCCTTACGTCTCTAGGGTCAAGGAGGCATAGAAGAGAATACATTGTAAAGTCGTATTTTATGGGTTCCCCGGTGACACCATCACTGCTGGGTACTTTGCCACATGAGCTGGCATGAGAATCGCTCCTCTGATCATTCTTCCGGCCCTTTCATCAGACAGCGCCTCGGCCCAGCGTGCAGACTTCTCTCCCACACCATCCGGGTCGGAAAGCCCCGAACACACCAAGGCTCGTTGGTGTTTCACATTTGGTCCTCAGAGGGGAAAGACATTTTGCAGGTGGGGGCTGTGCACAGCAGAGGGTGAATCACATTCCGCTGGAAACCAGCGTCCTGACGATATAGTAGGGCATGAGAGGCGAAGTACGTGGGGAGCAAGATGGATGGTCAGGCCCTAGTTGGGCAGGGTGCAGATGAAGTTGATTGTATGTGTGAAAGCAGCCAGAAACTGAACCTGAGTGGGTTGGCGGGGTTCCAGCCTTAAATCAACGCGAGAACTGCTTTGTAGTTGACAGTTTGATTGCGCAGACTGCTGCTGGGGGAGCTGCATTGTGGCAGAACTGCATTTGGAGCCTTGGGTCTGAGGATGGGGCGGATGCGGTCAGTTTTCACAGGCTGTGCTGATGTATGGGAGTCACTTGATTCTCCAAAGAAGACACTTGCTGTGGCCACTGACACCCCCAAACAGCATCCCCTCAACTCCCTTCTGTTCCCTGCAGATGAGATAATCCACTGATGTCCTCCCCCCTTTCCTTTATAGGGTCCCGTCCTACCCAGCCACCAACTTTCCCTCCAACCATTCCACCGGCCAAAGAAGGTAAGGGAGTAGCACGATGACGATGTGATCCTGGCTGCAGGATTTCTTCTGGTTTTGTTTATTTACTTAAACCCAAGGTACTGATAAAAGGTATTCATCGAGCTACCTCATTTTCTCTCTTCTATCAATGCTTTTAAAACTGTGATGTGATTTTCTTGAAAAATACCCACATATGTGCTGAGGATATAGCTCAGTGGCACACACAGAATTTCTGTATACAAATTCTATACACAAAGGGTGAGCTTTTCTAACACATTCGTTTAACATTGATTTCATTGACAATATCATAGTCAGTTTTCTCCAGGGAAGAATAGTCGCATAATTTGTAAGTGAAAATGAGTCTATGCTTCTGACATCAAGGCACTGCTTTCCCAGCTGGCCCCTGAAATACAGTGCTGCCTCAGCACGTGAACTTGATTTTTTCCTACCATTCTGGTCGCAGAATGAATCAAATTCAATGGTTGGGTTCAATGTCGACCTCACGGGGGAACTGGATGCGGGTCTCACTCAATTTCGTTTGTGACCGGAGTCGTGGTGGGAACTGAGTTCATGCACGGAGGCACCAGGGCATCTCTCCACTGTGTGCCCTCGGCCAGTTGGTTTCCCAGCACTGCTGCTCTTGAGGTCATTTTAAAGAAAGCCTTCTGCCAGGCATGGTGGCACCTGTTAAGTCAGCTACTTGGGAGGCAGAGGCAGGAGGATCATAGATTTGAAGCCAGCCTGGGCAGCCTAAAGAGACTGTATCTCAAACTTTTAAGACGCGGAGTGGAATCAGTCCTGGAGATGTGGTGCAGTGGGAGAGTGCTGGGGGTTTGATTCGCATACTGCAAAAAAAGAAAAAAAACTTTTAACAAAGTACTGATCATTGATTTATTTAATTTCACTCATGAACATTTATTAACCCAATTATTAATTCTCAAAGCTCCTCTGCTAGGCCTGGGGAATGCAGTCATAATCCATGACTGCTGCTGTCTGCTTCTTTCTCTTGCAATCAGCAGGTGAGGGTGGGAGTTAGAAAGTAGAGCTTGTACTGCGCTCTCAGGAATGAGAAGAATTGCGCCGCTGCAGAGGAAGGGAGAAAGGAGGAGAACTTGTCTACACCTGAAGAACCAGCCTGGGACTTACAAGAGGGGATGGGTCCTGCTCCGCACGGCAGACTGACACAAGGGCCCAGCGCGTTGGGCTTTACCATCGGGGCTTTAGTCGGGTGCAGAGAAGAGGGGTGGCGTGGTCTGTGTGCGGGCACGAGGAGTCTGGGCCTGTCCTGCGGGAACTAGCGTGTCGTGGGAAGGAGGCATGGAGGGCGGGCGTCCTGGCCAAACGTCTGAACAAGAACAGAGCTTCTGCGGAGTCGGGAGGCAGAGCCGGAGGGAAACGGAGAAGGGAGACATTCCTACCGCACAGGAGCCAGCGTCAGCGGGGTGCGGTGCTGCAGGAAGGAAGGGCCCAAGAATCGGAGGAAATGAGCCGCTAAGAAAGCCCAACACCAGTCGGGGAGCGGGGCCCCGACCTCTGCTGTGAACTCACTTTTCAACACTGTAATGAAATCGAACAGTTTGGAGTGCTCAACCGTGCGCTACGCTGTGCTGCAGCTTCCAAAGTTCAGCCTCCGGGAAGGCTGAGCTCCTGCTCGCGCTGTCCCACCCAGCCTGCTCCCGCCTTGGTGTCTAGGACTTCCCACGGCCGACCCGGAGAACAGAGCCCGAGGGTGGATTTGAGAATTAGGCATTTCCAACTTTGACATTTGAGAATGCTCAGAGGTGGGAATGTTTGTATGGATAGGAGAGGCTGGGTTTACTCAGTAACCCTTCCTAGATGCCCGTGGAAGATGTGATTTGGGAAGGTCTGTCGGGGAAAGAGAGATCCGGCAGGAGCACTGGGTCCTAAGTTCTCCTGGCAATGGCTTTCCTGCTAGGGCTTTTGTAGCTGGAACGCACCCGTTCAGTTTAAGCTGTTTGTCCTGCGTGTCTTTAGTATAAAAGCCCATAAAGTGTTACTATTGAAGTCAGAGTGGATACTCGTTAAACACACATTAAAAGGTAAGAGGAAGTTTAAAGCAGAAAATTAAAAACAGTTTCCTATTCCAAAGGTAACTTCCTCCTCGTGCATTGTCTCTGAGTCATTAAGTAAGTTTCACTGATAAATTTTAAAATAATTTTGCTGCCATTTGGAAAGTGAAACTTTGTTTTCATCTTTCCTTGAAAACAAAGGAGTTGTTTTAAAAATAAATACGATTAGCAGCTCTTGTGATTCTTTGCAACATTAAATTTAAACTACAAATTTGTAAAATTCTATAAATCACAGAACCTGAGACAATCTCATCAGACACTTACTGTCCCTGGAGTATTTTTCTCATTTGGAGATCTTTTATTTTACATTATAAGTAGCTTCTAGGGAATAGGGTTGCACTGAATAAAATAAAATCTGAGGCTCTTTAAAGAAAGGAGGACACATTATTTCACAAAATATTTGTGTGCAGCTGTCCTAAAATCGAAAGATTCTGATTATTGAAAACCAAGTTACTTTGCATCATCATAAAACAGAATCAACCACAATGATCACCACCAGTGGAAAGGTAGAGAGCAGAGCTAATCCCCAGCTGCCCAGGGTGCCGAAAGGGGGCTTTGAACATCAGCTTTCCCTGGAGTAGGCTTTTACGGGTATTGCGGAGGTTCCTTTTTTGCTGTTTGACTTCTTGGTTATGTCGGTCTCCATCACCCACACTGATCATGGTTTCCCTGTGCTAGCATTGTTGTATTTTCTTGTCATGTATCCATGGATGGTGCAGGGCATAAAAACATTTTTAAAATTTTTTTTTATTTTAAAAATTTAAAAAACTAACAAAACAACAATGAAGACAAAATCAAAATGACACAAAAACAGCAAAAACGATACATGACCTCAAAACAGAATGATAGGAATTAACAGTGGTTGCTACATTACATGCTGTTATCTTCAACGAAGTTGCTCAGTCCACCAGGCATAAGAATGTAAGACTGATAAATAATCAAAGACAGTACCAAGTAATAAAAAAAAAAAACAAAAAAAAAAAAACATTGGAAATGATGCAGAACTTCACCATACAAGATGGCAGGAGTTCAGCAATGGTTCTTACACTGCATATTGTTGTTTTCAGATCAGTCATTCTGGTTACCAGACTCAAGTGTGCAAGATTGGTCAAGAAGAAAGAAAATTTTAAGCACTGACTGGTCCTTTCAATAAACCACAGACATCAGCAATAGACCTATCCCAGCTATCCTTATACATATGTATAAATTTTGTTTTCCATTTTTAGAAAACCCCAAATAGCAAAAACAAATATATAAACAGCATAGAGAACAATAATACAGAGTTTCAAAACATGGTGATAGGATATTAACAATGGCTGTCATATTACCTAATGTCATCTTCAAAATGATTGCCCATACAACCAGATGTAGGCATGCAAGAGTGATCAAACAATTACACATTTACAGTTCCTTTCCATCATAAAAACATTTTTGAACAGCATTGGAAGCAAAGTTTGCTCGGGGCCTCGATTCAAATGCCGCTGAGCTGTAGCTGAGTCTCCTCTGCCATGTCCTGGGCCTCCTTTCTGACTCAGAACGCTCTGACGTTAACTGCCTGACCCTGGACTTGAAAGCTGAGTCAGACCGAGAGCCAGTGACTTCCTTCCAGTCCGGTGCACTGGAATGCGTTTGCTGATGCTTCTCTCTTGAAATCCCAAGGACATTAAAGATGGTGAGGAAGAAGCATCATGAGCAAGAGCTTGAAAGACAGACATCAGCCAGTGTCACCCTTTGGTAATGAGCGTTAGCTCCCAGAGGGTGATGGAGACGTCTCTCACTGTCTTAGCAACAACTGTGTTTTCCTTTCACCCCTGATTCGATTGTGTTCTTGGTTGTCAGTGTGTAAAGCTGCCAAGGCAGACCTGGTGTTCATGGTGGACGGGTCTTGGAGCATAGGAGACGACAACTTCAACAAGGTCATCAACTTCCTATACAGCACGGTTGGCGCCCTGGACAGGATTGGCGCAGATGGAACTCAAGTAAGGCGCCCGGGTCCATCACTGACTCGTGCATTCAGAGATGGTCTCTCCAGTTGCGATTCTGACTGCTCCTCAGGGAGAGCTTGAGTGGGAGGGTGTGAATCTTCAGAAACTTTTGAGCTCAGCAAACTAGAACAGGAAAGACAGAGCAGGTCAGGTCTTCCATAGACAAGGACAGAATATCTCCTTTAATGACAGACTATTTTCCCCGCCCGCAGGACATAAATATTTTGCCAGGTGGAGTTGATGGTCACACACGTGACTGTAGGTCAGGCACAACGTGAAACGAATTTATTCATTCAACAAATATTTATGGTTCACAGTTCTGAAAAATAAGCAAAAGGTCGTTAATTAGAAAGGGCGCCAAAGTTCCTCATGAATAATAGCAAATACTTGGAAATGAAGCCAGCAAGGCTCATACCGTGGTGGTTAAGTCCACAAATTTTGAAATAGAATATACCTGGCTTGAATTGGTATTTCTGCCACTGACAACCCTTGGGATATTGTGCAAGTTACTTATTTCCTGTGCCTTGCAATTTTTTGCTCATCTGCAAAATGGGTAGAAAAGTAAGAGTGACTTGATAAGTTGCTCCATAAGGAGATTCTTGTAAGAAATCCAAGCCTGATTCTCTGACATGTGTCCATGTAACAGGCTTTGGAAACCACTTTCCACCTGTCAGACATGGTGGTGAAAGTCCATGCTGTAGAGAGAGATTACAACAAAAGCAAAAATTAAGCCAGGTGGTGAAAAGTATTTAGAGAGAAGATACCATTTACTCTCTTCAAGTTTGTTATGTAACTTGCATGACATTTTAATCCAGAGAGCACGTGGAATGGGCTACAGAAATTAATCCTGTAGGTGACAATCACGCTGCTGGGTGTGTTCTCTGGCCCAGTGCAAGTCCACAAGTGTGTAACAGTGCACACGCCTTTTCCCTCCAGGTGGCCATGGTTCAGTTTACTGACGACCCCAGGACAGAATTCAAACTAGATGCTTACAAAACCAAGGAGACTCTTCTGGACGCCATTAAACGCATTTCGTACAAAGGGGGAAATACAAAAACAGGTGAGGCCAAGAAATGCCCAGCTTTTAGCTGTCAGAAATGACTGAGATGATGATGCTTTGGAGGCATAGTCATTTTAAAATTTGTTTTCTTTTATTTAAGCACTTTGTTCCTCCTCTGTTCCCTCCAGCGGAACAAAAAAGGGAAGGTGTGTCATTGAACGGTTGCCTGTGTTTGTTTCAGGCAAAGCAATGACACACGTCCGAGACACCCTGTTCGCGGCAGAGGCGGGGACGAGAAGGGGCGTCCCAAAGGTCATTGTGGTGATAACGGACGGGAGGTCGCAGGATGAAGTGAGCAGAATCTGCAGGGAGATGCAGGCGGACGGTAAGGGGCACAGCTCTGTCGGTAGTAACGGTGCCATGTTGTTTACTGAATACAGATTTACAATAGGCTGCGCCAGCTTTACTCACATTTCCTAAAAAAAAAAGCTTTTTTTTTAACACTGGAAATGTGATTTTAAAAATGCCTTCTGCCTTACAAAGCTGTAATTATACAGTTTTATCAGAGAGAATTTATAATTTCCTTGAATATGTTGTTATATGCCCTGTGTAAGGAACTGTGATTAAGTTTAATACAATGAAAACTTCAGGAGCAAAATAAAAGCCAGGGGATAGGAAAGGGGGAGCTAGACTGTCGGGGTGGATAGGACAGGAAGGAAAAAGGATCAGGCTGTCATACCTACAGATCTTGATAAATTTTTTAAAAAATGTAATACAATGAAAAGGACCATTATAAAGAGCCAGGGAGAGAATCTCATTTCAAAAACTTGTCAGGCTTCTAAAAACTGTAAAACAGAGATTCTCCGAGGACTGTTGTGAAGATTAAGTTACATAAAACATACCTGGAAAATAGCAGTTTCATCTTGATTTGCCAAGCTTTGAATGATGACCAGGTTGCTGGGTTTATCTTACTTTCTACTTCTGAAATGCAAAAAAGAAAAACAAACTGAAATAAATTCTTCGACTGACTGTACCTTATCCCATAAATGTTAAAATAACTATTAAAAACACGCAACCGTAAAGATGTTACTCAGACGGGAACTGTTTTGTCTCCGGAGCTAACTGGAGCATTGGGCTCGTGGAGTTTCTTTAAAATGGAAAATTTCTTTAGGCGATGATAGAATAATGATCACGAAATGAAATACAAAAGTGTACGACTCTGATGAACTGTAAAGAATTAGCCACCCCTACTTGGCTACTCTAAATAAACATGTTTTAAACATTTGCACATTCAAAAGCTTGTATTTCTGTGGTTTGTATTTTGTGCAGTTTAACAGAATCAACAATCCATTTCCTTCCTGCCACAGGCTACAACATTTTTGCCGTGGGCGTGGCTGACGCAGATTACTCCGAGTTGCTCAGCATTGGCAGCAAGCCCAGTGCCCGCCATGTTTTCTTTGTGGATGACTTTGATGCCTTTAAGAAAATTGAAGATGAATTAATCACTTTTGTCTGTGAAGCTGCGTCAGCAAGTTAGTTCTCTGGAATGAGTACTCTCTCTTGCTGTTTAAAATCTGAAATGTAGAATAGTGATTAAGTAATGAGCCCCATTTTGAACTAAGAGTCTTAACTTCCTGAGCTGTTTCGTTATGCAGACAGACATTCAATTTCACGGTTTTGAGTAGATGGAGTAACCCTGCCCTCCTCTCTGTGGAGGATTTTGGGTTGATAAAGACCTTCCATAACACATGAGAGTCCGGCTTTAAAAGCCACTGAGTTTAAATAAATGTGGGAAATAGCCTTCAGGAATGTATTGAATGCACTCATCAGGGAAATCTATTAGGAGTGAGACATTTCCCAACATACGCTCTCAAGTAGCATCCATTATTGCAGTGAGCCTAGGAGAGGAGAAGGAAGCGGTGGGCTTTTGGTTTTGAAAAGGGTCAGCAGAGTATGTCAGTCTGCACCAAATGAGAGAAAACCACAGCACCAAATGAGAGAAAACCACAGCCACTCCATGACTGACTTCCGGCAAGATGGCGTTAGTTCCTGTGCTCATAATAGGGAAAGAGGATGTCTGGAAAATAACCAAATCAGGATTTTATGCTGTTTGTTTTGCTTTGCAGCCTGTCCAATGGTGCACAAGGATGGCATTGATATTGCAGGTATGCATCATGACAGTTTTTTCCAGTGCAAATGTATTAAATAATTCCCATACGGGGTCCAGGCTTCTGCTTTTGGATTTTTTTAATCCTTTATTTAAACAGTTTGAAATTTAATGTGTCTGCTTATTTCTTCTGTCCCTTTCTCTCTCCCCGCCCCCTCTCCCATTCACTCTCCATTTCTCTCCTTCAGGATTTAAGATGATGGAAATGTTTGGTTTGGTTGAAAAGGATTTTTCATCAGTGGAAGGGGTTTCTATGGAGCCTGGTACCTTCAACGTGTATCCATGTTACCAACTGCACAAAGATGCCCTGGTCTCCCAGCCAACCAAGTATGTTCCAATTGCTAGATGCTAAGGCCAGTCCTGTGCTTATTAGGTCTCGATATTAAAATAATTTCAGCTTGAGTGGTGCTGTAACTCTACCTGGTAGTACTTTCCATGGTGTTTAGAGCAGATGATGATTATATTTCTTTGTTTTAAAAAAATCAGATGCATATATAATGCTGATTGAATTTTAGCATCTCTTCATCTGAGAAAGTAAATAAAAATAGTTAGTACTTGCATCACACTACAATATGCCAGACATTATTCTAAGTGCTAATGTGGGCTAACTCACACTTCAAACACCTCTATGAAGTAGATGACATTATTATTTTGTGTATTTTCGTTATGTCTTGTTTTTTGGGTTTTTGAGACAGGGCCTTGATATGTGGTTCAGGTTGGCCTTGAACTCACTCTGTAGTCCAGGCTGACCTTGAACTTGTGGCAACCTTCCTGCCTCTGCCTCCTGAGTGCTGGGATGACAGGTGTGCGCCACCATACCTGGCTTATTATTTCAGCTTTACAAATGATGCTACAGATCCGTGAGTCGGACCACACAGATTGTTCAGTGGTGATGCTGCAATGTGCAGCTGGCAGGCAGGCGGGAGCTCCGGCCCTGAGCTGGTTCAAGATGGTGCCGTCATTCAGGTGGTTTTTATCCTGGAGAAGTCACAGCATGTCTGGGGAGCGGTGCCAGGCCTGGGTAGAAACCATGAATGTGCCCTCTGGGTAGTCCACAGGGTGCCGGCGACGCCAGGGCCATTTCAGCCACACCAGATCACAGCAGATCGCAGGGTTCTGCACTCAGAGTGCCTAGCTGCAGAGGTGTCGGGCTCAGCCTCATCCGGTACAATGCCTTCCAAATCCACATTTGCTTTTCTGGAAATACTGTCAGCGTGTCCCGTGAAACATGTTTGCAGTGTTTGAATTTTGACATCCTGTCCACGTGGACATGGAAAAGTAAGGGAGGTCACATTAGAGTCTTCAGTGTATGTGTCCAATTTACGATTGCTTTCTTCTTTTCCTGAAATCATCTTTATTAAATCCTACCCTACTGTCCAAATTCTTTTGCTGTCCTTTATTACAGAGAATCACGTGTGAAGTCAGTAGACCTTTTCTACTAATTTAAAATATTTGTTGTTCCAGAAAAACAGTTTATTTTCAAAAATATGTTAGACATATTAATCTTCTCAAATGTAAGCTTCTTAATGACCACTCCTGATTGCTTTCATTAAAACTGTTGCATAATCCACCACCAAAAGTCCCACTTTTTATGAAGAGGTTTTGTTTGTTTTTTAGTGGAATTTTATGACCTTCTAAGATATAATTCAGCCTACTAGAATCCAAGTGTTACAAGGATATATGTCTTTGTCAGTTTTATTAACTGATGGGTCTTACGTGCCTGTTACTATAGCTGGTGTTTCATAGACATCAAATATTCACTGAGTAACAAATGAATTAAATAATACATAAATGGATTAATGAAATATTTGTCTCTATCTGTGCATGGCAACCTTCCATTCTCAAATTCATATTAAATTTCCATATATTCACAAATTCGTTTATTCAATTAACAACTATTATGGTGTTCTTACTATATGTGAAAGGCTATTTTTATTTGCATTGCTTTGCTGGCGGGGAGGTTAAAAGCAAAGAAGCACCAAAAAGATAGATAAGATTTGGGAAAGTTCTGGAAGGTTCTGGAAGGTTCCCCCCCACACCCAGGAAGCAGATTCTCAGGAGGATGCTGGTGGTCACCAAGCAGATGATGGTCTGCTCTCGTGGGAGGCAGAGTAGCAAGCGACACAGGGTAGAAGAGGAATTGTGTGGTGAAAAGTTCCAGTGAAGCCCCGAGTGACCCCTCAGAAGAGTGCTGGACACAGGAAGATCCCTCAGAGCTGTCTCCTCTTGGGACCAGAGGTTCCGGTCCTCGTACTCCCCGCAAGACAAGACATGAGAAGAGAAGCCTTGAAAGGAAATGTGGCCCTGGGTGAGGCGTTCTCCCCAGCTGAGGCAGCTCCAGGGGAGAGGTGGTGTCTGAAAGCTACCCACACACCACACTCCAGAATGGGAGAACAGAGTCTTCGTTCTTGAAGGTGGAGCTAGATGTGCTCTGAAGTCCTTTCCACAGACAGAGGCACAGCTACTACAGCAGGTGGTAGAAAGTAGCAAAATCCAAGACTCTTAAAATTCTCGATGAGAAGTGACTGGTTAGTACATAAGTTATGGACTAGCCAACAAGAGAAGACTGTGGCATCATTAAATACCATGCTTTGAAAAATACTTAAGAATAATAGGGCTAGTGATAGAATATTTACCTAGATTGTGTGAGACCCTAGGTACTAAAATACCCAGGTGCTAAAGATCCATAGTACTAAAAAAATTAAAGAAGGTGGGAAAAGTGTCTTAAAGGATGCTAAGAAAAGAATGGGACAGAGTGACATAAATTGGGCAGACATGCATTCTTTAAAAACTGGAAGGAAATTTCTGTACCACATCAAAACAGGGATCTGGTTGGGATTAACTGGCATTCTTCTTTTTTATTGTTCAAAAGTTTGTGTTAGGAAAGTATATTTACTTTATAATCAGTGGGAAAACTGTCAAAGGAAAGATATAATAAAACAGTACTTTCTCTCTGCCCTCAGGTATTTGCATCCGGAAGGATTGCCTTCTGACTACACAATCACTTTCCTTTTCCGGATCCTTCCTGACACGCCACAGGAACACTTTGCTCTTTGGGAAATTTTAAATAAAAATTCTGACCCGTTGGTCGGGATCATTTTAGATAGTAAGTGTGTCTCCATGTATAACTTTTGAGTGTGTATGTTCGAATAACGTGTGTGGTGTGCCACCTTGCCCAGTCCATGTAGATTACAGAATAACTTACTCTCGTGATGTAAAAGCACTAAGCAATGAATGATGATTGATTGGTGGTGGGTTCCTGCATGTGTCTGCTCATTCTTTGCTCAAATATTCCTCAGGTTCCCGCTTTGCGCCAGTGCCAGGCTGTGGGATACGGTAGAGAGCACGACTGAGAGTGCAGTCTGCAGGAGGACTGGGCACCTGTTGGGGGCAGGGGACCGGAACTCATGGTTGGGACGTGGGTGTGATGAATGTGAGATGCCTATTGGTTATGCTGGAGAAGTGAGAGTGGTGGCATGGTATTGGGAAAGAATTCGTGGCTAGAAACGTGAGTCTGGAAGTTGTGTGCGGATGAGATGTGAGCGATGATACTGGCCTAGGTCCTCAAGAAGATGCACCTAGAGAGAGGAGGGAGTCCAGGCAGAGGCCGACAAAGCCCCGTGTTCAGACGGGAAAGTTGAAGGGAGCAGTGAGGGCCGCTTCTGTGTGCCGTGCTCTGGGTTGTTGCGATAACCATGATTTTGAGAGGATCACTGTGGTTTGGGAAACTAGAGTTTTAGTGTCACTGAGTTTACTCAAGGTTAGATGAAGCCAGGGATCAAAATTTAGGAGGTGCTGCTGGACGCCAGTTCAAATGTGGGTAAGGAGAGCATTGTAAACATATTCACAACCATGACTTGTAAAAGGAATTTGGCAACTAAATAGAATGTGATAACACTGTTTGGCATTGCTGTTGAAACTCAGGGAAAGCTTAGACGAGAAGAGCACTGAAGTCTTAGACTAGAAGATCACTAAATCCTTATATGTCCTGGACTGCAGAAAATCTCTTCAAATCATTAAGATTAGCACGTCTGTTTTGAAAGCAGAGTGAAGAATTCAACTGTAACGTAGGCATCAGTGAAGAAAACATTACTATTTTTAATAATATGAAAGGGTCAGGATTAGGAAAGCTTTTGTTTGTTCCTAGTGAATGATTTATCCGGGCAGCGTAAGTCGCATGTCCTGGGGAAGTCCGTCCCTGCAGGGGGACACTGTCTCACAGATGTCCCTGTCACAAGGAGAAGTGTGTGTGTCTTCCCTGCACACCCCCCCCCATGGCGAAGCTGGTTAATTTGGCCAACAAAAGCCTGCGGCAACCTGAAAACCATTATTTCTTTACCTATCACTTTGTTTTAAACACAGTTTCAAGACAACAGATGCATTATTTTCAGTCTTCAGTTGAATTTTAGCAAAAATTATTCACCTATCTTAATTGTCTCTAAATTTTCTTTTCTTTGAATAGATGGTGGGAAAACTCTAACTTATTTCAACTACGACCATGCTGGGGATTTTCAAACTGTCACTTTTGAAGGCCCCGAAATTAGGAAGATTTTCTACGGGAGCTTTCACAAGGTCAGTAAGGCGGTGGATACGCGTGTATACTCTTTCTTCTCTTTCTGTTGGGGAAAGCAGCAAAGAGGTATTTTTGAAAATCCACAGAGCTTTGGAGCTCAAGTTTCACCTGGAGTGAGGATTGTGACCTTCAGAGCTTGGTGATCCAGGGTCTGCACTATGATGCAGAAAGGATTGCTGGTCTCCCTGGCCACCAGTGCATGTGACTGCACTGACTGATTGCACTGGATTATTCACATATGTACAAGGCCAACTATCGTAGGAAGTCACCCTGGAGCTAGGCATGGTGGTGCACCCTTGTAATCCCAGTACTTGGGAGGCTGAGGCAGGAGGATCACTGTGAGTTTGAGGCCAGTCTGAACTACATAGGGAGATCCTGTCCCAAAAAACAAAACAGAACAAAAGAGTTACCCTAAAAAGATTGTTTACACTCGCACTTTACCTGCTATTATTTTAAAAACTTGGCACTTGTTATAGAATTCTGCTCCTTAACATTCGGATCTCAGAAAGCATTCTGGTGACCAGCGCACTGGATGTGGTTCCCTCCCCCATCTATGGTTGCCTTTGTACTTGGTAACTGGGCCTGGTGGACTCTGGGTCCTTTAGTGGGGCAGCATCCACACTGCAGGAGGAGCAGAGAATTTATTCTAATGCTGAACAAAGCTGCATCTCCTACCCAGGCGCTGTCTTCTCTGCTAGAGGGAGCAGATCCCACACTGCAGTGTTCATCTCAGCTTTTGTCTCACGACTGAGCATGTGGTCAGCCTAATCATACAGCTTTGCTACCTCTGCTGGTTTTGAATGCCATAATTGCCCACCACATAATTACAGAAGAAATAGTGCATTGTGAAACTCATTTTTTCCTGGGATTGTACAACCAAAAGTAAAGGAATCTGCAGAGCACGTGAGAAATAGGTGAAGATTTAGTCGTTTATGGTTCAAAATGATCCTGTTAGTAGCTCTTTGGACTTAATATTATTTACTCACCAAGTTCCTTATGATTTTTCTTGATCATGTTGACTTTATTGCAAAACAATCAGGAAAAATCGCAGCGGAGATGAGCGTTTGCAATTTTGTGAGTGTTAAAGGAAACATTGTCATCTCAGCCTGTGGTTTAGGCGTGAGTCTGAAATTTTCATTCCAGAGACTCCTTCATGTGTTGTAGGCGAATGTTAACCTTTCTTTCCCTTCCCAGAACCCAGAGGCTCAGAAGTAAGATTTGTTAAATTCGTTGTAAACTTATAAACCTTCAAGCTTTTAAAAGTCATAGAAAGGAAGACTTTCTTCCATTTTAAGTGTCCATAAACCAAACAGACAACCAATCAAAAAGAAAAAAAGAGAAAGAAAACGAAAAGAAAGGGCTCATCATGTCATCATGTAACTGACTGCTTAATAATAAATTTACCAATGGAAAATCTTAACACAAATCCAACTTATAGAGGTCAACTTTGATTTGGTGATAGACTTACATTATAAGTGAATAAATACTTCACTTTCTTAATTTCTCATTGGTTTTTAATTGGCTCTATTTTTTATACTTTGAATGTTAAGTGTGGTCCCAAAGTGTCTTTCAAAAAGTTAATAATTATGTAAGTTCACCCTTAAGTGTAGCAAAAGAATCAAAATATTTTGAACATGCTGCAGTGCCTCCTTTTATAAAACAAAAGTCTTGTTACGGGGGTCTGTTTTTAACGTGTGAATAATCTCCCTGAAACCAGCAGTCTATAGAGTGAGCATAGTATGTGCCAGGTTTCCTAGCCCCTGCAGGAAAACTTGTGTCATATATAATAGAGAGTATTTCCAGGCTCAAAAATATAGACCTCATTCTACCCTTCTAAATACCATGTTCTGGGCTGGAGATTTAGCTCAGCAGCAAAAGCGCTTGCCTGGCAAGCGCAAGGTCGTGAGTTCGGTTCCTGGTACCAGAGAAAAACAAAAACAAAAACCAAAAAACAAAAATAAATTAAAAAAAAATAAATAAATACCATGTTCTTCCCATCTGAATACCATGATAAAGATGTTAATCAGAAGCAAGGGCGATGGTGGAATTTCCTCCAACAGTCTTTCCCTACTTGAGTAATGGATAACTCTTTTTCTTTTTTTTTGAGACCGGGTCTCACTATGTAGCTCAGGCTGGCCTGGTCTCACTTTAAAGCCCAGGCTGACCTCGAACTTGCAGCAATCCTCTTGCCTCAGCCTCGCAAGTGCTGGGATTATAGGCACGTGCCACCATGCCTGGTGGGCAACTCTTTTTTTGAAGGAAAAAGATTCTCAAGAACCTCACTGTTGGCTTACATTACTTTTATCTTTATGAAACATAAACAAAAAGTTTGTCTCAGTGGAGACAATGAAACAAAAAAAATTTGAACAAAACTGGTGGAATGAAAAGTAATACTATTTTAATATAAAGATGATACTATTTTACTGACAAGCAGAGTCTGCTTCCAATGTGGGTGCAGTTTAGCTGCTGTAAGTCTCAGAGCTTTAATCTGTGTTGCCCAGTACATTTTCACTGCCCTGGTGACTTCCTTTAGCTGGCTGGCAGTACCTTTCTTGTCTTTCACATGAGCTGAAAGCTTGATCTACCTACTCCTTTCACTCCTTCTGCTCAGTAGCCTGCCACAGACAAGCAATACTCATGCTACAAATGCCACTACGAATCCAAGTGTTTTCCTAAAGCACTGAGGTGTTATGGAAGAACTCAGGCAGAAGGTGTGACCTGGTTTATGCAGAACACACTTACTTTTCATCGTCACCTAAAATGGTAGCACAGGTTTTCCAAACCCTCCCAGGGGAGGTGAGGCCTCTGAAGACAGTGTCCTCCAATTGTGAGATTGTAGCTCAAGGGACGTGCACCCTACATTCCACCAGCGGGCTTTGGCTCCTCAGGGGCTGAAGTCACCAGAGCCGCCCCTCCTCCCCGCCCAGATCCTAGCGCTGCTTTTCCCATCTTGAAGGAAGGACGATCAAAGTGTGGCTTGACCATCCTCGGTGGTACCTTAGGTGACTTTTGGTGCTCAGTCACGTGCGTTTTAAAATTGTAATATTTTGCTTAGTTTAATATATATTCAGCAAAGATGTAACACATCAACTCTGATTTCCCAGATATTTTTGCTTTGGAGTAAGGCTACTAAGTCATTTGAAAGAAAAGTGTAATGAAATAAAAATTGAGATGATAAAAAGTTGATTGGGTAAAAATTGGTAAAAATTGATTGATGATAAAAATTGATTGGATTGTCAATAAAAATTGAGTGGGGGATAATCACGGAGGCAGTAGAAGTGGAAATGCTGCCGTCTTCTCCAGCACAGCGCATGGTGACACAAAGCCTTCTCTTCTCCTTCATAACTTACCGGACCGATACTTCCTCCCACCTGTCACCGCCTAACACATTTTCACTTTCCCCAGCTACATGTGGTCGTCAGCAAGACTTTGGTCCAAGTGGTTGTTGACTGCAAGCAAGTGGGCGAGAAGGCAATAAATGTATCGGCTAACGTCACGTCAGACGGAGTAGAAGTCCTAGGGAGAATGGTTAGGTCGAAGGAACCAAATGGAAATTCTGCACCAGTAAGTAGATACACAAGTAAGCCTGAATTACTGGGGCAGGGGATCCCTTGGAAGTATTTCCCAAAGGATGGATAAACAGACGCAAGATTCTTTAAATTAACTAAAACATGTACATTCAGAGCACTAGGCTTCTGCTGTCTTATAAGGAGGATACACCAGGAATTAGGGAACTTGAGTTTCTAAATACATTGTGGAATTATTAAAATGGGCAATATTGGGCTGGGGATTTAGCTCAGTGGCACAGTGCCTGCCAGGTAAGCGTGAGGTCATGAGTTCGATTCCTGGTGCTGGAAAAAAAAATAGGCAATATTCATCGCATGGTTTGTGGCCTAAGTGGTTTGTTATTGGGGATCAAAACTATAAATGAATCTCATTTATATAAGAAAATACAAATCATACCAACTTTTTGAGTCTCTAATTTGGTTTAGATTCAGGCAGTTTACACTTAAGTGCTTGCTATGACTAATGTGAAGTTCACCCTTTAATCATTAATAGTTATTTATACCACAATTCATTCCAAGATAATATAGTCTTCATCATGCAAAATGGAATTTCAACCTGGAAGACTTCCAGTTGGTGGAAAAATCACATTCCTTTCACCAGTACCCACAGAAATGAACAGTGTATGCAGGTTTTTGTTTTAACACAGTGCATTCGCAGCTAATTAGCAGCATTCTCTAATAAATTAGAGAAGAACTAGTAAGGCTTTTTTCTTACGAGCAATTCTAGTTATTCTAATATACATGTGTCTTTTATATGTAAGAAGAATTAAGATTTTGTGAATCATTATGTCTCTATTTTCATGGATCTATAGAGTTAGCCAGCTACGTGGAACTTTAGAAATATCAAAGTCCTTTTAACTTGAAGATAACCTCGTACAAATGCAGATTTACACTGTGACAAATAATTAAGATTCTGACAGACTGACTGAAGGGGAGGGGGTCATGAGGTGGCAAGTGCCCCATCTTCCAGGGGTCCTTTCAAGCGGTCCCTTCTATTGTAGTCTGCTCATTTGATGCCCCAGGAAGCAGTCCCCGGCTGGCAGAGTGATTCACATGGGGACAGTATGCTGTTTGGCGACTTTTTCTTGAGCATCTTCTGCTTCCCTTCCTATGTGAATGTAACTATGAGCTTTGTAACTTTCATGGCCTTATGCGTGTTGCCCCAGATCTCTTTTCATTGAACTACCACGACACCTTCCATTGCTTTAAGATCTTGACAGGCAGATGCACGCTAATTAGTTTAACGCCGAGCACTGAAGTGTCTTTGAACGTTTTTTGTTTTCACTGTGCTTTGGGGGTTAGATGTTTCCGGAGAATATAAAAGCAATGGGAGGCTGTCTTGTTTTCAAGCATGGTAAAGGATTTTAGGGATGATAAAATTATGGTAAGGGATTTGAGGAATGTTTACATGGCGTGGAGGAATTGTCTTCTTTTATTGTGTGGTATTTGTGCTGATTATAAACACACAACTTTTTTTGCTTAATGGAAGATGTTTGCAGGACTTTATAAGAATGCACAAAAACTAAGGACATTTTGTACAGATAAATGATGTATAGGTAGGTGGGATCTTGGAAGGATGGTGTCTAAGAAAGAAACAATTTTAGCTGTGTGAGATTTGAGCTCCAAATCACTTAATTCTGCTAGGATAATTTTCTCAATGATAATGCAAATAAATAAAGCAAATAAAGATTCAGACTCACAGGCATTTGATGACAAGCAGCTATTATTACTGAAAGAAGTCAATAATACATTTCCCATCTTCTCTTGTACCTTTTACTGACCACCAGCACGTGTATAAAACCTAAATATTACTCCTAAATATTACTCAGTGTATAAAACTGAAATAAACTCTTTTAGATATGCATGTTTCATCTCTCTAGCCAGAGTATAAATTCCCCAGAATAGACACGATGGCATAGACTTCCTTTGAAAGCACCCTTTTTTACTATGACATAGTAATATTGAATAAATGCCTATAAACACAGAGCAAGTTCTCAAGAAATGCCTGATAGAAATTAAATAGAAAGTTGCGTGCTTGAATTAGATTGTGTACTTTGTAAAAATTGTTGCTTTGTCTGTATTACCACTCTGTGTGGCATGGCCAGCACTCTGGTAACATATACTATACTCTCTTGTAATTATAATTTGTGTTCTACAAGTATAATTTTATAATAATAACATGTTTCAAATTACACTGTATGTAATAACTGTACTCCAAATATATGACCAGGAAATATCAAAGGATTAGTTTCTGAATGCAAAAGGTTTCAGGTTTACTGGTCATAAATCTTCACTTTTGAGCACAAGAGAAATGTCATTAAACAGATCACCCTCTGTGGTGACTTCTAGCCAGTAGTAGACAAAGGGGAATTTATAGATGCCCATAATTAAAGGGTTCTTTGTAAGACTAGCCGGAAAAAACTCACCAACTTTTGTTAGAATCTAGACGTTCACAAAGGATTACTAAATAGATTTTCAGTTGCCCACTTACTAAGAAATTTAATTCTGTTGAAATGAACGGCATTAGGTTAGATCTAGAGAATGTGATGGAGACTCAGACTTGCTTTGGTGGGGGTGGGGAACACTGCTTAATGATTTCAGCACAAGGTGAAAGAAGACCTGGTCTTCCATTTGGAAATTCACCAGTCTCCGTGTACGTCTGCACTTCAGTACCCAGCAGAAAGGGAAGTAGCCGCTATGTGACAGGACAGTAGTAGCTTACAGGTCAGGGTCGCCTGCCAAATCCAGCACTGATTCAGCCAGTGCCAGATGGCAGGAGACTCTAAAGATTCCATCTTTAAAGAAAGTACACTCTCTTTAAGCCATAGCTGAGTGGAGGGTAGATTAATGGATTTAGGGATATGATGATTACTGCGCATAAATTACTCCCATTCTGAATAAAAACAACCCGAGCTTGCTGGTGTGAGGTTTTACCGGCCGCGTTGGTCCGGGGACTGAACTAGTATTTGGGCTCAGTCTCGCTGTCAAAGCGCACACGGAAAGACACATAGCAGCGGGGCCGCTCCTTCCGATCTTTCTCCTCCTAAGTGGTCTCTGCTGCTTTTGCTGATACCGAGTGAGATGACTCCAGAGACCTTTCGAGCTTCTGGCATAGGGTCATGTTTCCTGAGAGCCTTCCTTCTACATTTTCAAGCCTAACACTCAGGTGATTGATTATCCAGTTGGCACTGATTCAGCCTCTGCTATTCCGGTGAAGGAGAAATGTAAGCTACCGGATGGAGCCATCTAGCGCTTCATTCACTTAGTGGGGAGGCTAAGGTGCAACTTTCTTTGGTCCTCCTGAATCTGGATTCATCCGACACCAGCCGCCCAAGTTCCACCCCAGCGAGATCCAAGTCGGTACCACATCTGCCCTGGCCCACAAGATTGGCCCCGTGGGTCTGTCTCCACACAGAGCGGGCAGTGATGTCTCCAGTGCCCGGATGGGGCTGAGGAGTGCGGTGACACCAACCATTTGGAACAGACAGGCCCAGTGGAAGGAGGTGCCTTCTGCCCCGCCCCGATCATCACAGCCTTCCAGGAGCCACTGGGCGACAGAAGCAGAAAGACATTAAACACAGTGGAAATGCCACTTTTGATGAGATTGTCAGCACTGCCCGACGGAGGCGGCACGAATCTTTAGCCAGAGAGCTTTCCAGAGCCATCAAGCAGATCCAGAGGACCGCAGGATCTGTGGGCTGCAGCGTGGATGCCGCCGGGCACCCTCACACATCACAGATGACACTGACAGCGGTGCTGTGGGGCGCCCAGCTAGCTAAGAGGCACAAGGAAACATTTCCATAGAAAGATGATCTGACACCAAAAAATTATAGGTAGAAATCAGCTGTAGGTTACTTGGGGACCCTACAGAAGCAAGTGCTCAATTAATTTTAAAAAGCAACAATGGATTTTCATATGAATTGTTTCCTGAAACCTTTAGAATGGTTGGTGATGGCTGCTACAATTTATCCTGTGCCGGATATAGGTTAGGAAGAGTGGACTTGTCTGAGGCTATCGATTTAATCTTCTAAGAACCCTAGAAAGAGACCTGACTTTGTTCCCATTCTGTAGATGCAAAGACTGGGGCCTGAAGAAGGTAGGGAGAAGAGTGCGATAAGAAACTGTAGGTGACTTCCACGGGACCTCCTGCCTGTGTTCTTTACCTTCTTCAGTGAATCAGACTCTGATACTGCAGAATTGAAGACACAGAGCGGGCCTGGTCCCTACAATGCCTCATGCTGTGCCTGCTCCCCACCATGCTCAAAGATTCTCCAGTGTTTGAGTAACAACCTGGGAAGAAGAGGTGATCAAAACCTACCCCACGGTGTGTCTCTCCTGAAGCATTTCCATCCACACCAGCAATAACCGTTATTTCCATTTCCCAACTTGGTTAGGACCTTCATGGTTTCAATACATCGAGGAGAACAGCGTGAACGCTCAGTTCAGCAGCTGACAAGTAGTGAATGCTGCGCACCTTTCAGTTTGGTGACGGAGTCAACAGAAGCTAGATATCAAGTTAAAAGCAGAAGATGGGTCAGAGCACCAGGACTTTTTCTGTAGTCATCTGTGTGCCTTGGGAAGTTCTGTTATTTGTAAAAAGTTCCAGTATGTCTTGACTTTAAATTATAACTGAGTTATGTTAGAAATCAAAGAAACAAATCTGTGTCGAGTGAAATTGGAGACAGGGCGCATTCTGATTCCCATTCATACATCAGATGACTCAACTGCTGAAAAATATTTTAATCTTATTTTCATGAGAACATTTGACCCCAAATAACTTGCCTTTTGTGCTATACCCAGCCAGAAAAGACCATCAGTGAAAAATGAGCATTTGTAACTGAATACGTATTCCCTTGAAAGGTTCCAACAAGTGAAAGTAGGAGTGTGTGTGTGTGTGTGTGTGTGTGTGTTGGGGTACAGATTTATCTTTTATAATTTTCAGGTATTTAAGAAAGAAAAAAGTCACAAAAGTAAAAAGTGCTTGACTATTTGCCTAAAGTATGAGTTATTTTAAACCACGTTATCTTATATTTTAAGGTGCTCAGATGCCAGATATTATGACAGCTCTATATTCTTTCCTATATAATTTGTACAAATATGTCCGTGTGGGGCTTTGGAATGAAAACCAGAATGATTTTTAAAACATTTTTAATCCATCCCCAGAAATGTGCCTTAAGGAATCTAAAATGTTATGAGTGAAACAATGATGAATAAATTTCTTGTACTCAAAGGAAAAGACACTGATTTCATCGAAGTTGCAAAAGAAAAGAAAACCCACGTAATAGCATTCCTCAAGTAGTAGCATTCCCCAAGCAATAGTCTTGGCTTCACCAACCACTCAGTGGGCTGTCAAGCCCTTGAATAAAGAATCCCAATGACTCCGTAGGGTGCAAGTCCAGCCGAAGGTTTGTATGGAGGCATTATGCTATTATAGGTGACTATGTGGCCAATGTTTATTTGAAAAACTTCAAGAAAGCCTGGTGCATGCTGGGGTAGTGAGAGGCCTGTGGTTGAAGTAAATCCATTCATGAAAATGTTTTCACACTGAGGGCTTTATTCAGAAGTGGAAAATTTCTTAATGGATGAATGTTTCGCAGACTTAGCTGACATTATCTAATGCTATCATAATGGGACCCATTGAGTAAAGGTCCCCAGATGAAATGGCATTGTAAAGTTAGACCAGGCTATCTGTATTTTAAACATTAGACCAAAGTTCCATTCATTTCAAAATAAACCACACGTGGTCTAAACCACAGATTCCTTGGGCTATTCAAATCACAACCAGAACAGAGCTTTAACATGTGGTTCAATTATTTAAGCTTTTTTAAAATCCCAGGTCCTATTCAATAGAACAGACTAGTAACTACCACATAATATATTTTCAACAAGTATTGGTTGCTATTGTTATTTGCTGAGAATTTTCTCAACTAAAATTTTAAATAGATAGTAACATTGTAGAAATAAACAACTGGTACTTTTGTCCGCAATGCTTTCACTTTTATTTTGATTCTACTTCTTTTGTCTCTGTTTTAGACACATACCTACACCTAAAGAAAATCAATGATGAAAAGGTTGTACGTATAATATATATATATATATTTTTTTTGGTTTTAGTTTTTCTCCGGTACCGGGAACCGAACTCACGACCTTGCGCTTGCCAGGCAGGCGCTTTGCCGCTGAGCTAAATCCCCAGCCCCACATATAATATTAAAATAATATTTTAAGAGCTCTATCTCCTTACTTCCTATTGTCTATCCTTTTTTGTTTTGCTCTTTATACTTCAGGTTTCTCATATAAGAAAAATCATCTGATACTTAAGCTTACGTGTCTGCTTTATTTCACTGACTTGATGATTTCAACGTGCATCCGTTTTCCTACACAAGACCCACCTTTATCCTTTTTTATAGCATAGTAGAACTCCATTGTGTGTAAATGCCACTTCGGAAGGTTTGTTATATGCCACATCTTAGCTAGGTGACACAAAGATGTCCCTTAAGAGTCTGAGTAGGAAGTAACACAAATAATTGTATGGTGTGTGAAGCAGGCTATTAAGGAGACACCTGGAGTGTGGCAAGACTGGAGAGGCACTTGGGAGAAGCTACGTGGGCTTCTGTAGGGCAGGCTGTGATAAGTAAGGGGGTTCGGACAGTGATTGGAGAAATCATAGACGAAATCTTAGACCGCTGCGTGTTTAAGGAACAAAATTAATTTGATGTTGTTTGATTTATTTTTCATATACTAATAAAGTTACATATTAAATGTATTGGTATTATGAAGGATCTGGTCCTGTATCATATGAAATCATTTTGACTACAAACACAAGAATATCTGACTAAATGCTAATTTTTCTCTTTAAACTCTAGTTCCAGTTACAGATGTTTGACATCCTCTGCTCTACATCGTGGGCCAGCAGAGACCAGTGCTGCGAGCTTCCAGGCCTGGTAAGAATGCTTCCTTTATCTCTTTTGAGATTTTTTTAATTTATATTTAATTTCCTCTGAAGATGGCATGACACTTCTCAGAAAATACTAATAAGAAATTACTCTTTGGATGATGATAATTAACATTAGAGAAGGGTTAAGATGGAGACAGACAAGAAATCAGCGAGACCACTCCGTGCACTCTCCCCTAGCGTGGGCTCTGGGGCGTTGATGCATGCGCAGGTTATCCATGCGTCCCTGCACCTTAGGTCACCACCTTGTGCATGGCAGTCTTAGGCCACAGAAACACCAGAAGTCCCATTTACAAAACATCTCAGGTCCTATTTATGGACATCTCAATATTTATTTCCTAACAATTCTGTATCCTTTTAAAAATGAAGTGTATCAATTAAAGAAAAAAATGAAATTTTTCTTTTACTTTACTTTTTGGTTATTTGAGACAAGGTCTCACTAGGTAGTCCAGGCTGGCCTCAGACTCACTGTGTAGACCAAGCTGGCCTCAAAATCACAGCATTCCTCCTGCCTCAGCCTCCCGAGTGCTGGGATTACAGGTGTGTACCACCATACCTGGCTTTTACTCTTACATAACGACAATGGTTTAGTAATGGGATGTGTGTGCCAGCTGAGAAATGCAATATTTTCCATGTCTTGGAATGAGATGAAGCATCTCTTTCACTTCTTCTTCCACACTGCTTTCTCCCATGGTACTTGCTTTTCATCACAGTGACTACTGAAAAACCAGATTTGCAAATATAGAACATCACAAAGAAGTGCTTCCCAGTGGGAGCCTCCTATTGCTGTACTTCCCTTGCATTTTTAAGACAGTCGTCATCATGTCCCCCTGAGGTGAATATAGTATCCAGGGCACCCTGGCACATAAGTTTGGGACTGTGGTCATAACCCGCACAACCTATGCACTGCTATTAGACAGAGCTGGGTGCTTTCAGGGTGGTATGGCTGTAGACTGCAATGCTATTAGAAAACTGAAACTTTTCTCATTATTCATATGAAAGGATTAGTCTGTATTTATAAAGAGAAAAATGGGTTCCTATCTTAGGCTTTTCAGGGAAGTTGGGCTGTGACAGGGCCCGGCTATGGCTGGATGTGCTCAGGTCTGAATGATCAAACCTGGAGGTCAGTGTGGAGCAGCCTTCGTGACGTCTGAAGCGTTTGGCTTTGTGAGATGACACAGCACATTTCACCACTCGTTGCAGACCATACACTCATGGAGCCTGTGTTGGAGGAGAAAGTTAACGTATTCTTTCTCCATCTAAATAAATTGTTAACCAATTCTGGTGAGGACTTAAATCAGGGACCTGGGTGTTATGCTTAAGTGCAGGTAGGCTAGAAGTTGGAAGGGGAAATACTCAGAACTTTATGCTGTGTCAAGAAGAAACATCCTCTCCAGTTCTCTCCAAAGACCAAAACACCCCTCCCTGCCCTCTCTTCACTTTTATTCCTGGATGTCTTAGCGGAGAGATTTTGCGGCTCACAGTCTGTAGAGGTTTCAGTGCACAGCCTACTGGCTCCAAGGCAGGGTGGCTGGTGGAGGAGAAACAGTCCATGGCAGGGCAACAGGAGGCAGCGAGGAGGGAGGCAGGCTGACCAATCCACAGATGACCATCACATGCCCATGACTGGATCATCTCCCAAAACCCGACCTAGCAGTGCGTGAGGCTTTGGCGGGGTGTCTACGATGAACCTCAGCATCTGAGATGTATTAATTCCCTAGGAGGAAGATCTAGGTGTTCCTGTACTCCAGGGACTCGTCCAGACAGATTCAGATTAGTCTGCCTTGCAGTGTCATGTGGCTACAGAATTCCCCAAGGAAAAGCATGACTACAGTGCCAGAGCTTCAGGTGGACACGGTTTTTCTTACTTTCAGCCACAGAATGTAAGCGGTCAATGGAATTGTCACGTGGAATCGATAGGTCCAAGCAGTTTTTATTTCGTTTTACTTCTTTGTTGGTTTCAGTACAGATGTGGGTGTTTTGACCGAGCATTCTGCTAACGTTTTCTTTTATTCTTTGAAACAGAAAAAAGATCAGAGCATCAAGTTTTCAAGACCATAGCTCCTAGAGCACTGGGCCTGTAAATGAATTAGAGTAGCCAGGAGTTTTCACATGCACTTCCGACTTTCTCCCCTCACTTGGGAGAGGTCGGTCTTGCCAGATCCGTCCTAGGAAAGCCTTCCACGGCGATGGTGATCAGCGAGTCATGGGGAGCCCGCGCAGCCGTTGTGATAGCGAAGCCTGAGTAATGGGGAGTGGATGCTCGCTGCCTTTCCCACCTAATGCTCGCTTAAAAGCTTTAAACACAACACGCATCGTTTTCTCTGCACCAGTGAGGCACCTGTATAGACTCTCCTGCTAGCAGTTGCACTCATTGTCTTTTCCTCCTCAGAGGGATGACCAGGCCTGCCCCGAACTCCCCCATTCTTGCGCCTGTTCTCAAACCAACGAAGTGGCCCTGGGTCCGGCTGGCCCACCGGTAAGTCCTCCTTTCTTAATCCCTAATGTTCTTTAATGATGTGAATAGCTGTGCCTGGTGGCCGTGCCTATAATCCCAGCACTCAGGAGGCTGAGGCAGAAGGATCAGGAGATTGTTGTGAGTTCAAGACCAGCCCAATCCTGGCCACTAGTGAGTTCAAGAACAGCCTGAACCACATAGTGGGACCCTGTCTCAAAAAAAAAAAAAAGAAAGGAGAATGAAAGAAAGAAAGACCAATAGCAATGCCTTGTGTATAACATGTACTGACAGGTGTACTAAATGGCTGTTACCCACTTAACCCTCTAAGAAACCCAAGGCCAGAGACCCAGAGATGTTAAGTAACTTGTTCAGGATCACAGCTTGCAGGAGCTGAGCTTCACACTCCAGTTTCTGTGTGTCCTAGAAGCGCCGCTCCCCACACTTGCCGTCCTTTTTCTCATACTGAGGTAGACTCTGGCCTGTGGCTTCTCTTCCATGGGACATTTCGATTGTCCTACCTTGACTGTACCTCTGAGGCTTGCGCACTCTGCCTCTGCAAGTGCATCATGGGAAGGCGTCGTGCAGGTCAGGGGACATCGCTGTGTGAGAATGGAGTTTCTACTGTTGAAAACTCCTCCGGAGCTTCCTACAGAGGGGTGGGGCGGGGGAGGGAGGAAGGCAGGGAGGGAAGTTAGAGTGCAAGAGAGAAAAATGCATTTTTGCAAACTGTGAAATGTAAACACACCGCCTGGGCCTTGGAATTTACTGTACCATTTCTGTACATCATCTCTGAGTGCTCACTCAGTCCTCACCCGCTAAATTGCGGTTGTTGATGTTGCTTCTTGACGAAGGGCTGAGCCTCTCTGTGGTCAGGACAGGGCAAGTACCTGAGGCCCGGATCAGAGACAGCTGGGAGAGGGCGAATAAGAAACAGCCCTGCAGGGTCTTTCCCGTGGTGCAGTCGGCTGCACCGTGAGGATGTGCATTTCCGAGTCCCCCGGGTTGTCTGGCCGTCTTGCTGTCCTGTCTGTCACCGTCTTTCCTGATCCGCACCCCAGGAGGAGCAGCTGCTGCATGTGTCTGAGGCAGCACCTCCTTCACAGCCCACCTCTGCATGGGACCCCAGGCCCTGGGAAGCAGAAACCAGACTTCCTCCAGAAGAAGCAATGTGGAGCAGTGGGAGAAGCTTTAAATTTGAGTCACAGAGCCACCCTGAGTTCCCATTTTGTCCTTGGAGAGAAGAGCCATCTCTCACTGGCATTAGGAGGGGTGGACAAGATTTATATATAGATAGATTTATATATAGAGAGAGATAGGTAGGTAGATAGATAGATTTATATATATATGTATATATATATAGCTTCAAATGATAAAATATTTGAAAATTACCAAAATTTTCAAGATACTTTAAACATGGCAGGAAGTATATAGCTAACATCTTTCCACTCCCATTGTTAACTTTGTCAAATTCTCTTTGAAATTCTGCATCACATATCCTGCAATTATGTTAAAATCCCCAGAAACTTAGAATAGTTAACGGTATAGTAACTCGTGAATCATTGGAGGGAACCATCTACCTGTCGTAATGCTTTCATCTTAATTCTAATTTGTGCACTATTAATGTAGTTTAAATATTTCTATTCTGTATTTTTTCTGGTACATATTTTCCTCATCCTCTTCATTACATTACATGTCTATATATTAGACATTTCTCCATAAATTAGATACACCTTGATTTTGCTCTTAATGTGGCCTTACAATCTTTTTAAAGTTTAGCCCATTCTACAGTTTGTGATAATTGATGTATATGATATTTTGCATATTCTTTTATCTTGTATCATTCTTTCAGACCTCACTTTCTTCTGTTACCCAGTACTTTAGTGGTGTGTTCAGCATCACACATTAGGCAGCTCAGTGATGATTATTTATTGTTACAGATTAATACTTCCTGAGCCTGGCCTACGTATTTGATATTTCCTTGCTCTTAATTTCTCCCAGTATTATTTCTGCATTTAATCATGTCCCTTGGATCTTCCCTCAAGGGGAAACTATTGCTAGTACTGTCCCTGTAGAGTGTTGTCAGTGTGTAGGTGTGATGGTGCTTACACAGATTGCTAATGGTCTCCCACACTGATTCCCACCCCTTCGTCCTCTGAGCTTTGGCTACACCCATGACCGCCCGGCAAGGGACTTGATATATCTGAGAAGGCTGTGGCGTAGGTGTGAGCTCATCCCCGTATCCCAGCCAGTGAGTTCTGCGGGATGCAGCCTGTGCTGTGGGTGTGACCCCGCGTGGAAGCTAAATGCCCTCTCCCCGGCCGCCTTCTCCTCTTCTACATCACGGAGAGGAAGCGTGCTGGGCATAAGCTGGCCTTGGTAACACTGTCCCAAGGCATTAAGTAGGACCATGAGATGCGTTTCTAATTTTAATTATTGTTTTCTGCGTATCTAGAAGCTATCTTTACTTCCTTTTCAAGTCTTCTTGGTGACTTGTATCATCGTTTTTCTTTTTTTAATACTTTCAAGATAATCTTTAAAAACTATATTAAGTACAGTGTTTGCCCTTCGTCCGATAGTTGCAGTTTTTGTGGTACATGTGGTTCCAGTTCTCCCGTTTTTCTGCTGATTTTGCTCATGGTGACTTGCTTCCGCGTGTGTTTGGAGGTGTGTGCTTCAGTTCAGGCCTCTGACACGTTCCTCTGGTAACCTTTCGAGCTCGTGTGGAACTGGGCTCCAGCAGAGAGTATCCGTGTCTACTCTGCCGAGCTCCGGGGCGGACAGCTCACTGAATCCACTTTAAGGCTTTGACTCCCAGCTCTGCTTCGATCCTCACAGGCAGTGTGAACTGTCCCAGCCAGCTGGTGTGAGGGTCAGACTCTAGGTGATGTTCTCAAGGAAGATACTGGGTACTGCTCCCCTAACTACACAGCAAGAGCACTCAAACGTCCAACTGTCAGGAGCCCGTTGTTTTTTTCCAGCTCATTCGGAGGATAGTTTTTCACAATCATGGGTTTAAGAGTCGTTTCACATTCATCCCCTCCCCGGTTGTCCTGGGCCAGAGTTTGCATTTCAGTGTCTGGTTGGGAGGGGCCGGCTCTGCGGTGTCCCACGCCAGGCTTGGTGTATGTGTCTACACACCCTGGTTCTTCTGTGTTCTTGGTACACAAGGATTCTGTTTTCAATTATAGCAATGTTTATTTTATTAATAAGCATTTGGAGCTTGAGGGTTTTCAAGTGTCTTCATCCTCCATAATGCTGGAACAAAGCATAACATTTTTATTTATGACTCATGAATCAAACCAGAAAGTAGCAGCAGAGAAGTGAAACAGAAAAGTTGGGCTCTGAATTAAAAGAAAAAAGGGGGTAAAATAAGAGCAAATCTGTCGATATTGTCAGATGTTTCAGTTAAAGAATAACGAACTGTTTAAGATACCATATCCCAAATAAAATGTAATAAATCCAGCCTGGTAACTGAACACAGTTCGATTATTTTCCATCCAAGACTCACACAGTAGTGTAATGTGCTAATAAAACCATAAAAGATCTATAGGAAGTCACAGTGAAAGAATCATTCCTTTTGCCTAGACGAGCCCTTTATTATTAAGAGGAGAGATGAATTTGGTTTTTTAAATACTTGCTTATTGATATTTTAAATAATTTTTATGTTATGAAAAATGAAACAAGATTTCAAAAGGAAATAATGAGAGAATAACAATAATTAATACACTGTGTATCATTATCCTCAACTTACTCAGTGTATAAGACATAGACCAAAAAGAGTTTTCCAGAGAAGAAACAGACAGTGAATAACACAAAATTTTCTTTTCAGTGAGCTAAGATAAATTAGTAGTACCAATGAAACAAATTAGCATATACATTGAAATATTTTTGAAACAACATAATAGGTAATTTGGGGAAGTATTTGACCTTCTTCCTCCTTCCTAGTTATCTCCCTCCTATTTTGCTCTTTCTCTCCTTCTCTCTCTCTGTGTATATATATATATATATGTAGATAGATAGATATAGATATATTTTATATATTTATTTGTGTTTCATATAAGAGAAATCATGCAATATTTAAACTTGTGTGTCTGTCTGACTTATTGCACTTAACATTCTGTTCTCATGTTGCATCCATTTACCACCCCTAAGCTTATCTTTCTTTATGGCAGTATCATACTCCATTGTATATAAATATCACATTTTCCTTGTTCACTCATTTGTTGAGGACATATATGCTGTTTCCAAGATCTAGCTATTATAAATTGTGCTGCTACAAACATGGGTCTGTATGTATTCCTGTAATATGATGCTTCTAACATCATACCTAGAAGATGGTCTGATACCTGAAAGAGGAATAGTTGGGTCAAATGGAATTTCTAGTTGCAGTTTTTTGAGGCGACTCCACACTGATGGAGTGGTTGCATAAGTTTGCACTTCTGCCAACAATGTGGAAAAGTTCCCTTTTCCCCACAGCCTCACTAGCATTTATTATTAGATTTTCTGATGACTGCCATTCTTTCTGGGGTAAAAGGGGTCTCAGTATAGTTTTAGTTTGCATTTCCCTGATGGCCTGAGATGTTGAACATTTTTTCAGGTATTTGTTCGTCATTTGTACTTCTTCTGAGAAGTGTCTATTCATTTCAGTTGCCCATGTTTTGATTGGGTCTTTTATTTGGGGAGGTCTGATGTTTTTAGTTCTTCCTATGTTTTCAGTGTTAGTGCTCTGTCCGAGCAGTAGCTGACAAAATTTTCTTTTCCCGTTGTGTGGGCTGTCTTGTCGCTCTGTTGGTTGTTTCCTTTGCCGGGCAGAAGCGTTTTAATTTGATATGATCCCATTTGCTGATTCTTGGCATTATTTCTTGTGCCACTGGGTTCTGCTCAGAAAGTCCTTCCCTGTGCCTATGTCTTCAAGAATCGTACCTATTTTATCCTCCAGCAGACTAAATGTCTTCATTTTAACATGTAGATCTTTGATCCACTTTGATTTAGTTTAGTACATGGTGAGATATGGGTCTAGACTCAGTCTTCTTCTATCTGATTTTCCCAGCACCATCTATTAAAGATCTATGTTTCCTCCAGAGTATGTTTTTAGCTCCTTTGTTTAAGATTGAATTGATGAGTGTGCCTGGGGTTGTTTCTGCTTCTTCCATTCTGTTCTGTTGATCAGATAAATTTGTGTTTGTTGAACTCTTTCATGTGCTCAGGAGGTAACTTCAGGGTGAAGGTGGAAAATGAAGTAGGAGTATGAAATGGCCACCAGTTTTAAGAACTGGTGCTTCTGACCTGAATAGCTGTGAGACAGTCTCATGTTGATAAAACCTGCTCAGCCCAGCCACTTAAGATGCACAGAACTGAATCGCTGTGACAGGTGCGCATGCTCATTGGCCTACATTCGGCTGCAAGAACCAGAAAACTTGACTGGTGTAGTGGTGTCGACTAGGAGAACAATGCGACCCACCTTGTCTGACAGGTTGAGGGGAGAAGGCAGCTCCTCAGCAGCGACCTCCAGGACCTGGGCATCTCGTGGTGTCCACCTTGGTCTGCTTAGATGGCTATTCCTTGATCACATCGACCTGAATTGGTGAACATGACCATTCCCAGTTGCAAAGAAAAGCTGGCAAAGTGGCTATCTGTGCTAGTCTCCATAGCAGTGAGCATAAAAGGGAGAAGAGGGAAAGGAAAAGCTGTTGGGTAATCAGCCAATAGCACCCTACACTGGGTACAGTATTTGTCACATTTACAACCTATAACATCTATAAATCTCATGTGTCCATCGACATACATGTACTCACGTAGGTCCATATCATATTCAATCCTTAGAGGTGTGGCATTCAGATATATGCAAAGTGTCCACATATTAAATAGAAAGTACAGGTAACCCAAGAAAACCTGGGTAAAGTGTATAAATGGGTAACCACAGCGAGAGTAAAATGAAAATAGAAAACAATTATAAAAAGAAATGCAATCATGTAGTTTTCAGAAATGTGAAAATTAAAATAAGAATAAGGTATTATTTTTTATGTTAGGCTAATAAAAATGCAAAGTTTGCTCTTACCCAGTGTTGATTAACAATTAGGGAAATAGGAGCTCTCTTAAACTACTGGCAGATGTACAAATAGACACCACTATTCCGGAGTATCTTCTAGTAATACGTCTATGTGACCTTCAGGGTTTGCTTCTAATTCTACTTCTTGGTATCTGGGAAAACTAACATTTTTGCTTACAGGATACATGAGCATATTAACTGAAACATTGTTTAATCAGCAAAATATTGTGTGATGGCAAAAAAACACCCCACCAAAACTTTAAATAATAGAAGAATGTTTAAATAAACTATCACATGTCCAGGGTTTGGCCAGTTATGCAACAGTTAATGAGTTACACTTTTATGTACCAACACGCAAGAAAAAAAATCTCTAAAATATTAAGTTAAAAAGTTCAGACTTAGGTAAAACAGTGTCACATTACATATTTAATCCCACAGCAAATGATACTAAATAATACCGTAGGCAGTTTTCTATAGATACACATACGTACGTGGATGCAACTTTGTAGGTTACGTGTATGTATGAAATTACCACCATGAGACCTTTTGCTCTGTAAAATTAATGTGTGCTAATGAAAATGTATTTAAAAGGAAATTTTAAGAAAAGAACCAAGCAGATCTGGAAGAGGAGTAATGAGGAGAGGGAGTGGATTTAAGCATTTGGAAAAGCAGAGAGGAAACTTTGAAGTCACCCGGCCAGCGCCTTCACCAGTGGCACCGTGTTGGGCTGGTGGCACCAGAGTCATGGTTGGTGATTGGGAAATGAACGGGCACAACACAGGAAGAACGGGACGCCATTTACAAGACTCTTCCAATCCTTGTGCTTAAGGGACAGAGAGTCTGTCGGAGTCCCGCGGCCTCCTGACGCTTGTCACCTCCGCTGTGCCCACAGCAAACGCTTGGCTCTCAGGCCTCAACAGGAGCAAAAGCTGGTGAACTTGAGCAGCATCATTTCACTCATGTTAACTTTTAAGGTGATCTTATTTTTTAGCAAGCTATAATTTTTTCCATTTACTGTAATGCTGTCACATTTGCTTCTGAAAATAGATTTACTTAATTGTAACAGTCAGTGGAGATACAGATACATATTTAGGCCCATAGTAAACATATACACAAAGAATATATACATGTACTTACTATTGTGTATAAAGATACATGTCTATATAAAACTGCTACTAAGCAATAACGTAGGTAGATACATATCTATATAAAACTGCTGTTAGGTAGTAATGTAGGTGGTACATTAACAGGTCAAATATCTTGAGGGGAAATGCAAACAACTGAAATTTCTGAAACACTACCCTAATTATCTGCATTTCTACACAAATAAAATTAAATTGCTGCTATTTTCATGGGCTTTAAAAAATTTAATTGAAGCATTTAGTTCTGGTATAAAACATATCATTTTAAGCCAATAATATATATCATTCATGAGTAACAGTAGTCTAATATAAGCACCAAATGAATAAATCCTCTCCTCTTTCAAAAATTTAAGAGGATTTGGCATAGGAAGTTTTCTCAAACTATGAAACCATCTCCAGGGAGTGCTAGAGCTAGGAGGCAAATTTCCAGGTAAGGATCATTATGAACGTACACAGTGCACAATGTGTGGGCTTTACCTAAAATAATATGACATAATCCCGTGTCATTAAGAAAAATGAATGATATGTACTGTTTTGAGACTTGTGTTGGAGCTAATGGTTAACATCTGTTTCCCAGGGTGGTCCAGGACTTCGTGGACCGAAGGGCCAGCAAGGTGAACAGGGTCCAAAGGTAATGTGCTCTCTTTCTGTCTCTGTCTCTCTCTTTCCATCATCATTCCATTTACCCTTGTCATCTAAAGCTCCTGCATTTGATGGCATTCGTGTCTAACGCTTTTTCCTTACTTTGAAAGATTTGTGCTTTTGAATCAAAAAGAATATTAATAACTGAGTGAAAGCAAGGTTTCCCAGTGGGGAGTGAGCGTGGATGGTGTGAGTGGTTGGATCTGCAAGGTGGTTCTGTCTCTGGTTCACCCTTCTCTTCCCCCATCTATAGTAAAAAGTCTTCAAAGGAATCACGTAGACTCACAATGTAGCATCAGTCCCTTCCAGGTAATTTCTCATATTTTGGAGGCTGCTTCCTCCTTTACCACTTCCTCCATTCTCACTGTCCAAAGCCATCAAGGATGGTGGTCCAGGTTGTACACTGCACAAGGGACCAAACCGGAGGACGAGGCCATGCCAAGCCATGTCTAGACACATGCTTTTCTGCTTTGCACAAAGGCATCCCAAGGACTGGCAGAAGCCCAGCCACTAATTGAGTTCGGGCCTCACCCTCTTCTCTCTGGCTTTTGGCACATCTTCCATGTTCTGCCTCCAGTGTCCTGACTTTCTGATCTCTCACATCTGCCCTAACGTCCCGGCTGGATCACATCATTGTCTCTGAGAACCTGCAGCCGTGCGCTGTTGTCTGGAGAACACACTGCCTCCTTGCTGGCGTGGCATTCAAGGTCCTTTAGGTTGTAATTCCCCATCCCATTTCCACGCGGATGTCACTCCACACGATCGGCTCCCAGCCCATCGGGTGCAGTTTACTGCTTCAGTGTGGTTCCTTGTCAAATTTGCATAGCGTTTATTCAAAAAAGAAGGCAGCATTATAGAACTTTTCGCTATACAATTGGAAACAGATGGCACAAGGTAGGAGGAAATTTGGGGGAGAGAAAGAATCAGCGGAGGAGGGCTGAGGAGCACGAGTCTGGTCCAAGCCAGTTCAAAGCTCAGGTCCTGAGATGTCACCTTCCTGGGCTGTGCTTGGGGTCAGACTTGGTAGATCTCCCCTGACTCCCCCTAAGAGCCGGGCTGTGCTTATGGGCTCCTCTCCTCAAACAAGGTGGCCTGGGGCTGCCTGCCATCCACGTTGGTGAGCTCCAGGATATCAGTGCTTCAGCACAGCTCCCTTATTTCCCTAGCATCCTCCTGGGTGACATCTCCAATCCCACAGATGGACTCATCTACAGGAGTTTGCTGACCTCATGCTCACCCACTCCTCTGATTGGCCACTCCTTCATATGATGACCTGGGTGAGGGAAGACAGGAGCATGAGGTGGTGCTTGGAGAATCTGGCTGGACAGAGGTCGATCTCTTGTCTGCCCCCGTAGGTACAGGTGACCTGTGCTCTGACAGGAAAGCCCCAGTACTGATTCTTTTTTATTCTTTTTGTTTGTTTGTTTTTTGTTTTTTGTTTTCTACTACCAGGAATCGAACTCACGACGTTGCGCTTGCCAGGCAGGCGCTGTGCCACTGAGCTAAATCCCCAGCCCCTCTTTTTTATTCTGTTGAGTCAAGTGACGGGGGTTGAGAAGCCCAAGACAACTGCACTGCTGGCTTCTCCTAGTCATTTTTGTCTCCTAGTCATTTTTTTTGTCTCTGATTTTATAGATAAAATGGACCACCTACTTTCTGCTCTATTCTATTTTCTGTTCCTCAACAATGTGTAACTAATAGATTATTCAGCAGTTATTAAGGTATGTCTAAGCTGCAGCCAGCCTTTTTAATCCTCTTTTTAGTGTTATAATAAAATATTTTAAAAGAATTTTGTTACTTACATTCATTAACCGTAGTATGGATTTTGAGGTGCAGTCTGGGACGGTTCCTCTTCACTCAAGGCTGTTTATAAAGGGCTTTGGGTTGGACCTGCCGTGCCTCCTGGGAGAGCTATGGGGGCTTCTCTCCTCCCACTGATTCTCCACCCACGTAGGATTCCTGACCCCCTGCCCCAGGAGCCCCTGAAAGTGCTTGCGTTAGAGTCACGAATCTCCTACTCGGTGCCAGCTCCTTGGGCTCCACTTTCATCCCTTTCGCCTTTGCACAGGCAGGGACCGGCCTGGACCCCTCTCTGCTTGCGGTATTTTCCTCCTTTGACAGGACCACCCACTTCATCTTCGGTCTCCACCCCAGCTTTAGGCTTCGCCATTTTGGATTCTTTCCCGGCTTTTACTCCCTCTCCTTTCTCCCCAATTTTTGTTTGGTTTCTGTCAATTTTCCCTTTCACTGTAACAGCACGCCCTCCCCTGTGGACATGTCTTCGGCACCCCGAAATCCGCCCCTACTCAGATCCCGCCTGAATCCGGACTGCTAGACATGCGCCCGTGGTTGACCCTAACGAAACTCAGTCCGCGCTCAGTGTGTTTATGTGCTTTGTCCCGTCGTTATTTTTCTTCCACGTTCTTTGCTCCAAGTGATGGATCCACCAGTCTCACATTTCAGATGCTGCCCACATTTTCCCTCCAAAGAGGGTGCTAAAGAGACCTCTGTACCTCTTATTCATTGCTGTTTTGTCACAGAGCCATGAAACGGGAATCCCGAAGTGTCCATTTACTGGTGAATGGACAGAGAAAGTACATGTACTCCAAGGGGTACTATGTAGCCATAAAACAGACATCACAAACCACTCTTTTCATTTGTGACACATAGATGGAGCTGAAGGCCATTATGTTAAGCGAAGTAAGTCAGACATAGAAAGACAGGTACCACGTGGTTTCATCCATAGGTGGAATCTAGAACAAAAGTTGATCTCGTAGAGGTTGAGAGGCTGCAAAGAGTAGGAGAGTATAGGAGAAGGGCTGACCAGCACACACTGAGTTCCCGTTATACTGGGACAGTGAGTCTTGGTGTTCTATCATGAAGTAGGGTGACTGTATAACAGTACCAACTGTGTATTTCAGAACAGCTAGAAGAAAAGATTTTGAATGTTTCTACCACAAAGAAATAAGTGTATGTTTGAGGAGATAGATATGCTTATCTTGATTTGAACATCACATAATCATGCATGCATTGAAACATCACACAGAACCCCATTAATACGTAGTTTTAATGTGTCAATTAAAAAAATAAAGATAGTATCCAAGTATCAGAATCCTAGCTTAATAAAAGAATGGCATTCATTAGAATCATAGAATGAGGCAGGGAAGAACAAGAGATTGACAATAAATAGATTTTTCTGGCTCTAAGATTGCAGAGGTGGTGTGGTTTAATTAAACCATGACAAGGTCTAAATGTAGAAGTCAGTTTACTGAAGTGAAAGGGATGTCTGATCTTGAAAAGAAAGGAAACCAAATAATATTGATTCCAGGGCCATTTGTAGGCATTGAAGATGCAGAGAGGGCAGGATCGAGGTGGAGGAAAATGAGCTGGACACCAAGGTGCCAGGCAGAGGGTGCTGGGGTGGGTCGGTATCAGTGATAGGGAGGAGAGAGGTGGTTGGTCTCCTTCCCCTCCATGATTGAGACATCACAGACCAGGAAGGTGTCTTCAGCACTTCCTCTTTCTTCAGAATTTCTTTGGGAGTGTGGGGATATCTAGTCACTTACATAACTGGCACAGCATTCTATCTATGGAAGCAAAAATTTAAAAGTGAATTGTAGTAATCACCTGTGTTTGTTGTCCTGACTTATTGGTGATGTCTGGCGTGCGAGGAGAATCATTTGAGGTTTGGAGTTTGGTTATCCTCTGAATGTTTTGTGTCTTAGGAAAAATTCTGTAAGTGGATAAATTCTAAGTGCTATAAGCAGAAATATCCCTTAGGGGGCAGAGGGTCTATTCCACAATGACCTTTCTTATTGGGAGCTTGGCCAGGCCCCAATATCCTAAAACAAGGGTATGGTGAAGGTTTAAATAAAATAGACAAGTAATACAGCTTTGGGGCCCAGGAAGGTCAGAGCTCTTGGGGCTGAGACAAGACTTCTCTGGATTGCCTGTATTTATTGGGTTTCAAACAGGTGCGGCGGTGGGGGGGCGGGGCATGAGGGAAAAATGAAAGCAATAGTTGATGTAAAGGTGGGAAACCGAGTAGGACCTTGAGAAGTTAGAACAAAGACTTCTGTAGCAGTAAATTTTGCCAGCAGAGAGAATTGTCTTCTCTCTTAGTTTATCATCCTGGAATCTTTGAGTGAGAGTCAGCCCTGCAGTTGCAGTGTCAACTGGCCTTCAGAGGCTGTGAATATGAGCTTTTTGAACACAGCTAGAGGGCCCTTTATGGTCAGCAACCCCACCCTCACACAGCCTGGTCCCCAACAATTTCTCTCTTGTCTTCCAGGGACCAGAGGGTCCTCGGGGGGAATCAGGCCCTGCAGGACCTCAGGGACCCCCAGGACCTCAAGGACCAAGTGGTATGTCCATTCAAGGAATGCCGGTGAGTGGTGCACAAATGTTCACATGGGTTATATTGTGATGACTCTTCCAAGAGAGTCTTCTGTGCCCTAATAACGAGCCCCCATCCCTTCGAAAGCAAGCAGTGATGGGGGTCCACTCAGTAGCTCTGCCCACAGTCCACTTTTTGCTTGAAGGTGGGGTTCTTACCACAAACAGGTACACGTGCAGCAGGTGGGTACATCCTGAAGCATTCTTTCCACAGAAGGAAAACAGGGCTTCACACATATGTATAGCTCTTTTCTTGTTTGACCAAATTCTTAATGGATGTGGTAACAACTGGAAAGTAATAAATGTTACATGAAGTTAATTATTCACTACTGATTTGTAGTAATGGTGGCTAAAGAGTAATGAAAGCCATTGCTTTATGATCCTCATTTCAGCGTGTCTCAAAGTGCAGTCCATTGTGCGAGCCTTCGATTTTACACTGTGTATGCTGCACAGCTGCATTTCTTTGAAAAGCTACTTTGCACCATTAAAAACAAACTTAATTCCATTTATTCATCTTCATTAATAGAGATCTAGAGTTAAAGTATAAAACCAATCTGTGATTAACACTTGGAGCAACCAGATCCTTGAAAGCTTACTTTTTAGTGATCTTTCTTTGGGTTTCCCTTGCTGACAAGTTTTCCTCACAAAAGTTTTTCACATTTTCAAAACCATTAACACACCAATTTGTGTAGTTACTACTATTAATAACAAATATTTGTTGCAGTCTTACTATCCACTAGGTCATGTGCTTGCATGTCTATACTTATACTCTATTGTATTTTTCTAGCTAAATCCCAAACAAAGCAAATCTATATAGATGTGAGATTTTTAGTAAAATATAAGATGGTCCCCTCTGTGCATGGACAGTGTCAGCTTGGCCACACGTGAATGTGTATTCTGTGTTGAGATTGTTTTGTGAATGTTCAGTCCCCTAGCAATGTTTATCTACATGGTATAACCTATTCTAGAAGTGAAGTATGCCTTTTAGATGTTCGTGGGAGAGCACGTTAGTGCTGAGAGTATTCTAACAGTCAGAGAAGCAAGGACCAAGCATTTACTCCTGTGAACCTGACTCTGTGCTCTCGGATATTCAGGGAATGCCGGGAGAGAAGGGAGAGAAAGGAGACACTGGCTTTCCTGGGCCACAGGTACTATTTTTATATCTTTCTTTTGGTGGTAGCTGTCGGCTTCTCGAGCTTTGCCAAGGATCCAGGACTGAGCCTCTGAAGTCAGCCATGGCCTTTGTGCTGCTTGTGTCCATCTAGCTCGTGCCTCTCCGAGAGCCACGCTGAGGGGCCGGTGGGAGATGCTGCCTGGTGGGAGATGCTCCCTGGTGGGAGATGCTGCCTGGTGGGAGATGCTCCCTGGTGGGAGATGCTCCTTCCCCGGGCGTAACTTTTGGGTCTGAATTCCATCACAGAGGGTCTCCCCTTACACCAGGAGGTTGGTGAATGTTTTTCCTGTCCTATTCTGCCTAGGGTGTCCCAGGAGGTGTGGGCTCGCCAGGACGTGATGGTTCACCCGGCCAAAGGGTAAGAACTCGCCTCAGGCTGCTTCTGGGCCAAGCATGCTTCTCTCCAGCCGCTCTGCTGCTGGCAGAGTTTATGTAAGGAGTTAGAGGCAGGGTTTGCTCTTTAACTTGCCTTGCCAATCTCCATCCTACCCATGCTGCCTCTATTTCCATTCACGAACGTCTTCCATGTCCACTGCTTCCCCCTAGCACTGGAAAAATGTGTCCACTCCTGTATCAAACATTTCCAAATCGGCAACAGCCCTTTCCGAATGCTTCTAACCTGAATATAGTTTGTGCTGAATTGCATGCACTGGTTTAATGGAGTTTTCCCCAGTTCTTTCAAATCCTGAAGGCACAAACCTAAAGGAAATCAGCAACCATATAAACTGAAATTTTAGTACACCTTATTCACCGGGGGAGCAAACAGCAGGCTGGAAAATTCACTGTGAATCAGACACTTCCCTGCATTCCACTCAGGGTGACTGAGCCACTCGGAAATATGGACCCTGTTTACCCTGTTGAAGTACAGGTGTGGGACACTGAATCCTACCTCTTCTTTGCTTAAACACCCAACTTTCATTTGCCTAAAATCTCGGCGTAGTCTCTGTTCATCCAGCAGAATTAGTCGGTAGAACATGTTTTGGTACATGTATCCAGAGGCCTTCTGTGAAAGTGAGCTGCATGCGGGGGCCCTGGTACGTGAGGCAGGGGTGTCTATAAGTATTTATGTGTTTTGGCAGAGGGCTCAGGCTAAGATCCTGTGTGGTTACACACCTAGATTCCTTCATGATTCCTGAAGCTCAGAAAAAGGCAAGTTGAAAGATTTGGTTGAGTGAGTTTATTTGATTTATCTGTGCATAAAGTCCAGTATTGGCAAAGAACTCCCAAGTGAAACATGCTGGATTAGCACTTGAATCGTTTGACTTTGGAATGCTTTCTTTTAAAGTCAATGCACCAACGTGGACTTTTTATAAATATTTTGCTGTTCTTCCAAACATGTGTTTGTGTTGTGTTCTGGAGGATCCAAAGTCTTAAATAAAGTGATAAGGTATCTACACTTGGATATCTAACAAGACATTATAAAATACCTTATGATAGCATAGAGTGTCTGTCTGGTAGTAAAACTCTGAGGGTGTGTCTGATTCCTACTTTGAGAGCTTCTTGAATAGAAAAGGAATTGCTTTTTCATCTGGTTTTCAATGGATACTCATTCATTATAGAGCCACGTTTTTTCAGAAATGATGGGAACCCCATGATAATACTTTAGAAAAGATCTTTGGGGGCAGCTCTATGCTTGTGTATAGCTCAAGGGGAGGCCATTCATAGAAATACGACAGTGGTGCCCCCTAGAAGCATGTAACAACCACACTATGTGAGGGAAGGACCACATCAATTGTTTTCAATCAACCCTATGTTAGCTGAGCACATGCTTTGCACTGTTTAGTACTCCCACCTGGAAAGAGTTGCTCATGACCATCTTCACAGGAGAATCCACAAGAGGAGATTAGTACTGTTGCTAAAGGAAGCAATTTCTAAACTACCTGCCTTGAGGGAATAAAAAGAGGGGTAGGTTCTAGAACATGACTGTCACCCTGGGCCAGGAAAACAAATGATTCTTTAGAATATAGAAGGAAGACAGGAGGAGAAGGTGGTGAAAACAGAATTATTTAGCTGGATATATTTAGTCAAATGATCTGTAGGCTTAAGGGTAGCAAAGTTATGAAACCATTAGTTACTTAGCAGGATTGCAAGGCAGGAGGCCCAGGACCTACTTGAGTCAGGGTAGACAGATCTGGGGTGAGGACTAGCCTGGAAGACTCACTCCATGGAGGGCCAGGTCTCTCCGGTTGGGCAGCAGGGGAGGAGAGATGGCTTAAAGAGTACTAAGAACAAGCACCTTGTGATAATCTCTGTTTGGCCATAGGCCTAGAGGCACAGTGACCGTTGTGTGTAACAGACTGAAAGCAGGTGGAATGATGAGACTTACTGCTAAAGACAGTGGCCGGGGACACAGTACTGAACCCCCACTACTTACAGGAGGAGAGATTCAATGTGGCTCATAATTGCAGACGATTCACTTAGTGGTTGACTGGCTTCAAGGCAGGACCATCATGCTGGAAAGACACGGCTAACAAAGCCGCTGGGTTCACGGCAGCTGGACAGAGAGCAGGGGGATGGTGCCTGAGAAGTAGGGGTCGGGGTCAGACACAGACTCCAAAGCCCAGTGTCATGAACACCCAGACACACCAGAAGTGTGCCTCCCCGCTGGGTGACATTTCAAGCCAACTGAGTTGACACAATCAAGCTTAGCCATCCTGTCCATTCCAGAACATTCCCCAGCTGGGGGGGTCTGTCCAGGAACCAGGAAAGCGAAGCTGTTTTCTTCCTTTGATCTCAGAACTTGATCACTTAATGGTGCTGTGCTCTCAACTCCCCCAACCCTAAGCGAGTGAATCCTACAGTAAGCGAAGAAGGAGGGACCTGCAGTTAAGACTTGAGTCAATGTCCAGCCCGTGTTCCTAGCTCTGTGGCACCTGAGCGCTGGTGAGGGCTGGGGCCATTCCCTACTCTGGGCTGGTGGCCAGTCCTTACTGTACAGTCTTCCTGTTTAATCTTTGCCTTTTGTTATCGACAGTAAGAGCTCACACCTGTGAGCACCACCACCTTGACCATTAGCTTAGGGAAAGGCTGACAGCTCTCTCCTGGAGCTGCTGCCAATGTCACCCCTGAATTTACCCATGAGGCAGAAGGGGTTCACAAATCAGAAAGAAGACGAAACATCTGCTCCTCTCGTGTTTCTGGCTTACTCTGACATTTCCCAAGGCGAATGTTGGACACTCAGAGGCAGCTTTTTTCCAGCACCGGGCCTGCGGCCACAGCAGCTCTCCAGCGCAAGCTGGACTTCTTCACTGAGCAAGTTTCCACCCCGGCTGGAGGCCCCAGAGCACAGCGCAGGCACTGACTTTTCAAGCCGAAGTGCGAGTTCATGTTCCATAGCTGAAGCAGTCAGGCATCCAGCTTCCACCCAGTCTTTCCAGCTGAGAACGTTCTGCGCTTGTCTTTCTTTTCCACTATACATCGTGCCTCTTTTCCTCTGCTCTTGCTGTATGAGCTCAGGGCTCACCCTGTGTTCTCTGGGCACCTCTGATGTATTGTGCATTTCTTAGCCAGAGGGCCCTAGGGAAGCCAGAAGGAGCAGATGAGACACATGTGCCTGACGGATGGATGGATGAGTGAATACATAGCTAGAGAGCTAGCTAGGTAGCTAGCTAGCTAGCTAGCTAGATAGCTAGATAATAGACAAATAATAGATCAAGGACGGATGGATGGATGGATAAATAGAGAGATAGATAGATAGATAGATAGATAGATAGATAGATAGATAGATAGATGATAGGTAGCTGATAGATAATCGATAGGCAGGCAGACAGATACAAAGTCAGACAAAGAACTGGAAGGAAAAACAGAAAGAGAAAAACCAACTTCTTTCTTAGTTCGGAGAACCAGTCACCATCAGACTGCTAGTTTTCTGGCTATCACTACAAACAGAAACTTTAAAATTATTTTGTTTTCCAGTTCTTAATACAGTTTTATAAAAAGTTAGAGGGAGAAGAAATAGCAGTGATGAGGAAATATAAATTTACAGCCCCTGGAGTGTAGTGATTCCTCCACCCTGCAGAGGGGAGGAGTCTCTCAATTCCAAATTTTAAGCTCCTTAATTTGGGGTGCTTCCTTTGAGCCCAGAGAGAGTCCCTGCACGCCCATGCCGTGAGCACAGCCTTCCTCCTTTGTGAGAGGAAACTGCAGAAGGCGCTCTGCCTCCTCATCCCAAGTGAACCCCTCTGTGAGGTTGCTGAGGAGTGTAGTGGCCGTGGGGACAGCTGGGGACTTCACGGCTGGCCACCCATGGGTTTCAACCCTGGCCATCCTGCCCTGGGCCAGTACCTGTGTGTGTGTTTCTAAGACTTGCTTCCCTCAGCTATGAAAAGCAGAAAAAAAAAAAAAATCATGTGACCCATGAGGTTGTTGTGCAGATTAATTCTTATAAAGCATTTCTATAAGGAAATGCAATTTTAGCTACTAATATTAGTATTCACCATAGGAGTCAGGATATTTCATAACTCCTACCCATGCTATATTAAGATGCCTCAGAAGATTGTAAACAAAAGAAGTCTAAAGAAAAAGCAAGTTTGGGTTTTCAAAAAATTTTTTGGATTCCACCCTGAAAGGAGACTTGAAACATGCTTGCTAATTATGTGAGTTTGAGGAACACAAAGGCCGTATTGTTTGGAAGGTCCTGTCTCAGCAAAGTGAGTGGGGCTCCCAGTGCACTTGGGAACTTGAGCTGCAGTCAGCCATTTGGCTTCCATTCCCACGGGCTGAGTTAGGCGGTGATGAGAGGCTCTCTGAAGAGTACTTTGTGAACTCCCACTGCAGGGTAATTATCCCCTCCAGCACCTTCCTCTTTCAGAAAGGGAAGCAGAGATACCATCACGAGCCAGGGCAGAGAATGGTTTGATTTTCTTCTTTGTGGTCTAGGTGGATTTTCATTAAATCCCAGGAAAACATTTGCTCAGTCAGCCACGTGATGACAGTGGTATGCAGTCAGGACTCGGCGGATTATTTTAATAAAAATAGCAGCAACCATCCCCCGTAATTACGGAGTATGTGCAGGTGCTTTACGGTCCTTGGGAGGACCATGAATGCTGGGCGTGTGATCCCGTTTTGCAGACCCAGGCTGAAGCTGAGAAAGTTGGAGGGACTGAACACCGCCCCACAGCCGGGAAGGGCTGGGCGGGGATTCCAGTCCGTCTCCACAGCTCCTGCGCCACAGTCACACTTTCTTGCCATGAAATTATGTTAATGATGATCCCTGTGGGATTTGGCGACTGTGAGAGAATCTTCCACAAAAGAGATACTTAGTAAGTAGAACTTCAACCCTGAAGTTGCCTCGCCTGCATTTTCTGGGCAGTAGGAACCCAGTTTTGGGTTCCTTTCTTGATGAAGTCAGAATTGAAACCTCATGCATGAAAATATGATGCTATGATCTCTTTCCCTCTTTACCTGCTCACAGCTAGGAATGGCCACTAGGGTGTTTTCATGTCCTTGCTGACTTTCAAGTGCCTTCCACTGGGGCACAGGCCTGGCTGAAATAGTTGTGTCTGCTTTTGACTCTGGCTTGAGTGCCAGAGGGGGCAGGGCTCGTATTTCTCTGGTTGTAAAGCTGCAGTTCTACCACTTATGTCATCAGGTTGTTGCATTTTCATTTGTTTAATAAACAGATTCCTGGACTCCACTCTCGAAGACCCAGATACCAAAGATCTTAGGTGGAACTTAGGAATGCATAATTTAAGAAAAACTTTTGGAGTCTGATAAGCAGTTCGAGTTCAGAAAAACTGGATAGTGTATTATATAAGGTCTATTGCACGTCAAAGTAATTTCTTTATCAAATATTCTGAGTATTTTTTGTTTCCATTGTGTGAAGTCATCGCTGCAGGTTACTAACATGAATAATGACTTGTATACATCCATTTAAATTGTATATAAGTAAGTACATATTAAAATAGAATGTGAGTGTTTATATCCATGCACACATACACTACATGTGCACGTCCGTGCCTAATGCATGCGTTTGTGTGTCACTGAAACTTCCCCTGTACGACCTCCCGGAGTGTCACGCATAAGGATTGACCTAGGGTTGCTAGCCCGGGCCAGTGTCTGCGGAGCCTGTGGTTTTTGCTGCCCCGTCTCTTAAGCTGGCGGTTGGCCTTATTGTTTCTAATGGCCAAGAGCCACCCTGGCAAGCTCAGAGCGGTATGGTCGTGCCACAGGGCTGACACTGCATCCGGGCTTTCTGCAGGTGTTTCTTTAGCCTGCTCTGCTCGAGTCTGGCTCCAGTGTGCCAAGGACTTAGCAGTTGGCCGTGTTCCAGAGTCTTGGGTCAGCAGTCGTGTCCTGCCATGGCCGCTCACAAGAGTCGTGGCTGGTGGCATAATCATCAGCTTTGTGCGCTACTTCTGAGAGCTCCATCACATGTGAGTGCTGGCTTCTGACTGATTTCGGCTCCAACATGAGTTGTGGGCAGGTGGACTTCATCCTTTAGATGCCATAGGAATAAAACTTGAGAAATACAAACTTTGCAAGGGGCTACAAAGAAAACCACTTCAGCTGAGTGTGGTGGTGCACGCCTGTAATCCCAGCACTCAGGAGGCTGAGGCAGGAGGATCTCCATGAGTTTGAGGCCAGCCTGGGCTACAAAGTGAGCTCAAGGCCAGCCTGAACTACATAGTGAGAGGAGACCCTGTCTCCAAACCAAACAAACAGACGAAAAACATTTCAGACATGGGGAGGGGAGAATATGCTCTACAGTATGGAAAAGAAAACTGAAAATGCAAGTAAATGTTTAATTAAATGAAACATTACTTTGCCAGTTTGAGCCATAGGTACATTTAATGTTTGCTAGAATATTAGTGATTTTGAAAGTAAATCATAGGTTAGATTTTGTTTTACAGGTAAAACCATAGCTAATCACAACTTAATCATTTGCTTAGAGCCAAATGTTTTCAAAAGCAAGCTATAAAATGCTTTCAAGTTTTTATAGCAAAAATTATTTTTAATGTGGGTTATGGGTATATATTAATATTTTGAGGTAAGAATATAAAAAAGGAAAAATGCTTGGAGCTATTTATGTTGTAAAACATCCCTGTTTGTGGGTGGCTGATTTCATGCATTTCAGAAATATATACTGTTGGCTTAAGAGATTCCCATTAAGTTTCTCCTCCTTAATATTAATTAAGGATTTCTGCTTTTTATGAGGTTGCTCAATTCATAAACACTCATCTTCAAAACAACAAAAATCAAAACAAAAACACTCATCCTCTCAGTTGGCTCCCTGATGTAAAATGGAAATTTTATAGATACAGAGAAGTTCTGGAAAGGAGAACACAAATTTAGCTGTCAATGGCTGAAAAAAATTCAATAAGCTTTGATTACAGTTAAATTGAATCACAAAGAGCTTGCCAATTATTTTTCGTTTTACAATGTGGGCACTTTGCAAAAATGTTCTTTCACCAAGATTTGTGGATGCTATATGAAAAGCTTCTGCTATTGCTGATCGTCCTGGATGTAGGGGTGAGCAGAGGGGCCAAGCCTGCCCCTGTGTAAGAGTTGCCTTGAGCTGGTTGTGGTGGTGTAGCCCTATAATCCCTCCACTGGGGAAGCTGAGGCAGGAGGATCCCAAGCTCAAAGCCAGCCTAAACTACATAATAAGAACCAAAATCACCCGATTGCCCAGGTGGGTGGTCCTGGGGGAACTATCACAGCTGAAGAAGATGGAGGAGAATGCAGTGAGCCTGTGCTTGTCCTTTCTGTGCTCCTAAAGCAGAAGATGTAAGACAGGATAATTTATGAAGAATAGAAGTGTATTGGATCATGGTTCTGGAAGCCAACAAGTCCAGGACTGAGGGCCTGTATCTGAGGAGGATGTTTTTTTCATGTCTTAATAAGACAGAAGGTGTCACATGAGGAGAGAGAGAGAGAGAGAGAGAGAGAGAGAAACACAAGCCCCTTCCCATTATAGCAGTATCAGCCCAGCAGAAGGGTTTCCACTGGCCAGACCCTGAGCTTGTGGCTCCAAGCTAACTGTGAGGAAACATGGCCAAGCCATGGGTCCAGGCTGGAGAGGAAAACTGGACTGTGGGTGACCCCAGCCTCCTCAGCTGGCTCTCTTGTTAGGAAGGCTAATATTCTGAAGCCAAGAGTGCCATGGCAGGGCCTCGCCGACACAACATGCTGTTCCCATCTGCATGACACCCATGCGCCTCCTCCCCGTGCACCTCCTCCCTGTGCGCCTCCTCCCTGTGCGCCTCCTCCCATGCACACCATTTGCTGTTGCATCTTTACTGTCTTTCATTTACATCTTGTGGGGGGAGACAGAATGAGAATGAGGATAGGATCCCGAGAAGGCAGAGTTTCACAGACAAGGTAAGGGACAGCGATGTCAGAAGGGGAGTTGGAGCAGCAGCAAGAAAGCAGGGCGAGGTAGGTTTGAGATGGGGAACATGAGTCCAGTGGAGGACAGAGCCCATGGTGGAAAGTCTGTTTGTCCCTGGAGTAGGAGGGGGTTGCTTTTAACAAAATTTTATGAAAATTTATAAAAATTGGGATTGAAGATGTGCTGTCATATTAACACCACTGGAAAGTCAGTAGCCACAATTATAATCTATGACCATTTAAGAGGAAGTCGTTCCAGCTGTTACAGATTTTTAATAATCAAATACTCACATAAAAACAACGCACACACACACACACACACACACACACACACACACACAATCAGTGTCTTAGGAAGCTGTTTTTATTTTTAAGTCATCATTTGTTTTCCGCTTTTAAGCCTTCCAGTATGGAACAGGAAGCAAGCATGTCACCATGTGTAAACTTGTGGAGGCAGATACTCAGCAAACCCACCCGGGGTCCACACGTTCCACTGCAGCTGGAAGCTGCGCTCAATAAGCTGCGCTTATTCTCCTCAAGCCTCTCCCAAAGACGTGCGGGATTTCAGATATTGCGGGGCTGCTATGGCCGCCATCGATGCCTACTGCAGGCATTCCTTGCTCACGATGCCTGGGTCAGGAAAGACACTAACTCATCTTTTTCTCTGCTCATGAAGTAGCCAGAATCAATCCTCTTTCTCCTATGCTGTGCTTGGTTCACTAGAAACACTTTCTGGAAGCAAATTCCTGTTGGAGTTTGTAAGTGGCATTTCTTACACCTAAAATTCTTGCACTGGACGATTTAATGGAGCCAACAGACACAAGAGTATTGCCAAGAACAATTTCCAGGAAGAGTCCAAAGCAGTGAATCCTTGCTAGCGCAGAGCAAACCGCAAGACTTGCCTCCCACGTAGCAAAAGGAATTTGGTGAGCCTGTTCTGAAAGCTGTGGAGAGCGACCACTTGGTTGACACACAGTGTTTTTCATCCCTAGGGTTTTCCTGGAAAAGATGGTTCCTCCGGCCCCCCAGGACCCCCAGGGCCAATTGTAAGTATTTCTGGAAGCCACTGGCGTGTGCCCTACTTTAAAACTCGTTTCTTTTGAGAAATTTTCTTCCACTAGATCTTCCAACCAGCAGCCACCTTTGCGGTGGAGTCAGCTTGTTCCTTGGCTCTGAACTCATGCTCAGACATCCTTTAAAAATAAGATGTGATGGTGGCTTGATTATTCTCTGAGCCACTTGGCCACCTGTACTGATTTTGTGCACAGTAGGGTTTGCATGTAAAAGAACCATATCTGAGTAAGAGTATGGAGACTTAAAAAAGTACCTTCTCATTCTGGGTAGTTGGGAACAAAAACAAACAAAGAATCCTGAAGTTTTGGTGATGATGAGGAGGGACACTGTCACTGTACGTATTTGTGACTCATGCTTGTGGGCTGTCCTAGATAGAGAATGTGTGATTCTCACTGCTGTTCCATTTCTCCCTCCCACTCAGGGCATTCCTGGAGCACCCGGAGTCCCCGGGATCACAGGCAGCGTGGGACCACAAGGCGCCCTGGGGCCACCTGTGAGTATCACAGGCAAGACCTGGTCGGGTTGGTGCTTTGCTGTCATGCTGTGTGTGTCTAAATTTACCAGAATCTCTGCTGGTGAGAAAGTTAATTTAGTGTTGGACTGTATGGGATTCGGTAAAGAAAACCAGAGCAGCTCTAAGATGAGGATTTCAGACTGGGTTGTACGTATGTAACGGCTAAGGTCAAACGGTCCTCGTGGAATAATCAGTCCAGGTTTTGCTTGTATATATTTTCATTGCCTGAATTCTGTATTTGCTTAGGTAAACTCACTATTATTTTTACAAGGATTAGCTATCACAGTTAGGTGTTAGTCAAACCTAACTCCCAAGGGGAAAAAAAATCTGTTTGAGAAATTCACGGTTTAATGAGTGAGAATAGATTTTTTTTCTGAATTCTACCAGAAAGCTTAAATTTTTCAATGAAAGTGATGAGTGGTATTAAATGAAACCACCACGTCTGGAACACATCACTTCCCATTTTTGTACTCTTAGTCCCTTAGGTTGGTGCCTAAAGTGATCAGTGGGCATGGGCAGGAGGAAGATGGTTAGGAAACCAGTGAACAGCCCTGGGCCCTTTTGCTTACCTATAGAAGCAGGTGATTACATGATGGCCTCTGGAGCTGCACTAGTTCCATGACTCTTCTAGCTTCTAAAGGTAGCCCCCAGTCCTTGGCTCATGGCCGCTTCCATTTCCAAGCCAGTAATGCTGCATCTCTCTGACCCTTCTGCCCTTGTCACATCTCCCTCTGGTCGTGGCTGGGAAGGATTCTTGCTTTTTAAGGATCCATGTGATTTCCTGAAGCCTACCCAGATCATCTTAAATAATCTTAGAGAGTCTTAGAGAATCCCATAGTCCTTGACTAAAGGACATTTTCAAAGGCCCTTTTGCCACTTAAAGTGATACAGTCACAGTTTCTGGGGATTAGGTATATACATTTGGGGGAAGCTTCCCCCCCACCCAGGCCTACATAGGGAATAAGACATAACAGAAATTGCTTCTTATACAGAAAGACACTTCTCCTCTTTCTACTCAGTCAGTCTGGCTGTTTATTATGCAAACACATTTCAGTAAAACTATTTTATCTTCAGAGGCCTTTTTGGACTCCAACTCACATGCCTGGACACACAAGCATGCACAGAAAAGCACCTGGATTCCAGCACACACACCCTTACTTGTAAATAAGTTCTGTCTTTAGGAATCACTTTGCAAAGCCATACACTTATTCCAACTCCATTGTTCCAAACAGTTTCACATCTCTTTTCAAACCAAAATAGTATCAGATCACAGAAGACTGGGTTGCTTTATCATCACATGTGTTTTTTAATCCGAAAAGATATGACCAAGTATAATCCTATACATAAAAACATACACTGATGCTCATGTGTGAGGACCTGCAAATATGCACATGCAATCACATATACACCCTCTCCTGTCTCTATGCTCCTTTCCATGTTAGCATATCCAGTCTTTCAATTCTAGGCTATTCTACACCAGAAAGAGACTTCAAAACATATTCTCTGCTCCAAAGCTTTAGTCTCTTTCCTAAGATGTGTCCCTGGGAACCACAGTTGGAGGATACATCCGCAAGGCTTAGGGACCAAGGGGCCAAGGTCAAAAAGTGTCAGAGGCAATGCAGGCTTCATCTAAGAAAGTCATGGAGCTGTCAGGCTATCATACTCTTTGCACACCCTGAAATGAAAAAGAAAATACTGAAATGCTAGTTTAACTTGGTTAGACAGTCAACAAACATACTTGTATATGGGGAGATACTCTTGTTCTCACTGGTGTCCCTTAAAATTAGTTTTCCTTGTCCTAAGCTAGGAAGGAGCAAGCCAGGGAGTGATTCTGGTCCAGAAGGAATGAAAACGGAAAGAGCTAAAGAGAGAAGAGCAGGCTCTGGGGCCTGAGAGTTTCAGTGGGGTGAGTTCATGGAATACGCAAGCAAGTGTGGCGCCATCTTGTCTACCCTCTTGGCCTTTTGTGGCTCAGATTAGACTCTAAATGTGGGACATAATGAAATACTCATGTGTTTTTCCCACTTGCCTGTATCAGAGGAAGAAGCCATTTGGTCTCTCTCTGCTGGGTGGGGACACCATGGCAGGCTTGGGATTTCCTGTCAGATGCAAGTTGTTCCTGAGCTGCCAGCTGGGGCTTTCCCCTGCGTCTGGGCCACCAGCTCCCACAGGCCTGCTGGCTTCCAGGCTAGCAAGACTGTTAAAGCAGACTGTGCTGCACAGAGCTGAGGCCTTGATTGATTTCCCATGGGCATCTGTCTAAGAAAGCGCAGGAAGACACCCAAGAGGGATGTCCTGTACCGCTGGCAATAGCAAAGGGCCTCCTTCAGCTGGAGTCAGCAGCACTTGCTGTCTGCCTCTAGTCTTCAATGCCACAGGGCAGAATGTGTGTTGCTGCCCCAGGGGTCCCACTTTCTACCTGAATTTAGACACCACCCCTCCCAGGCAGAGGCACTGTGAGAGCCAGGAAGGAAGGAGCTGCTTGTGGTAGGACTGTGTGGTCAGTTTGCCCCCGTCAGGGAGATAAACCCTGTCTACATTATCCACAGAGCTCTCTACAGAATTCAGGATGTCAGGGTTGCAGATAAGACTCTGGCATGACACTATCTAGCTGTGAGAGCTTCATCTCTGGTGTGATCACCCATCCAGCATTTTAGAAATCAGATTCCTAACTCTAAAATATGCAGTGAATAGGTGCAATGTGACAAGATTGCAAGAAGTGTGAAGGGCCTCAAAGAAAAGTTGAGAAAGTTGCAGAGAGAGAGAGAGAGAGGGAGGGAGGATGAGTGGGTGTATGCAGCCATTCAAGAAGGATGCCACACAGGAAAATCGTTGTGAGTTCGAGGGCAGCTGGGGCTACAAAGTGAGCTGAAGGCCTGCCTGAACTGCAAAGTGAGACCCTGCCTCAAAAACACATACACAAACACAAAAAGGAGGATGCCACATTTCAATGGGATCTTGACATAGTGGAGTTCTCACCCACAAAGTCAGAGAAAGTGGGCATATCTTGGGTGTTGTGGCTTGTATCTAGATGTCCCCCAAAGCCTCCTGTGTTCATAGGTGGAGCTTTTCAGAGCTGGCTGGATCTAGGGTGTGTGATACTAGGATTAAGAGTGTGTGGTACTAAATTAGTCCACTGATTGGAATTAGCATAGTTCTGGGTGTGAATGAATGTGTTTACTGAAGACAGAGACTCCACCCTGGGTGTGGGTGGCACCATCCAAAAGGTTGTAGCCTGTTTCAAGTAAAAGGGAAAAGCAGGCTCACTGCTGCTGCTGCTGCTGCTGTTTGCTGCTTTCTGCCTACCCTGCCATGGACTGTTTCTCCTCTGTGATGCCCCTCTGCCATGCTGCCCTGCCTTGGAGCCAGCTGACTATGGACTGAAATTTCTATAAACTGTGACCTGAAATAAAACTTTCCTCCTTTAACTTGTGGGTGTCAGTATTTTGTCCCAGTAATGAGAAAGTAACCAAGACATTGAGGGGAGGAATGTAATAAAACAGAGCAAACAAAGCCGGGCGTGGTGGCACACGCCTGTAATCCTAGCACTCAGGACGCTGAGGCAGGAGAATCGTTTGAGACTCAGTGAGTTTGAGACCAGCCTGGGCTACAAAGTGAGCTCAAGGCCAGCCTGAACTGCACAGTGAGACCCTGTCTCAAAAAAGACAAAAAACAAAACAAAACAAAACAAAACAAACCAGAGCAAACACAGGGCACCTCCTGTCTTTCATGCATTTCTCTATCATGTCTGTCTCAGCCACCAGTTTGATTTGAGGCTCCTGTCCTCTCCTCTCCTCTGCCACAGAGGGCACCACAAGAAGCCCCAGTTGGTTCCTTGACTCCCCTTCTCTGGTCCATTGTCAGGTCCCATGTGTTCAGTGTGGTGCACATGGCTTCCCCAGTGGCCTTTACTTCTCCTCCAACGTGATTTGTCATCATCCTTCTCTTGGAGTTGAGTTACACCAAATTATTTAAAGCTCTCCAAATGCACGTTGTACTGTATTGCACCCCTATAGCCTTTGGGGGTGCCCTGCTGCCTTTCTGGGTTGTTCTCTTCCCCTGTCATTGCCTGATGAACACCAGGCTGTACTTTCTTTAAGACTGTGTGAAGCCACTGTAGTAATCACTTTCCCGTCACTGAGTCACAAGACCCAACAGCCACCACTTAAAGAAGGAGAGGTGTATTTGGTTCACGGTTTCAGGCCATGGCTGATCAACTCCAGGATGGAGACAGCATGGTGGGAAAGCGTGGTGGAGGAAAGGTGATCAGCCCACGGCAGCCGGGAAACAGAGATGGAAGGGGAAACAGGGGCAAGAACACACCCTTCCAGGTCACACCCCAGCGGCCACCTCCAACCAGGCCCACCTCCTCACAGTGCACTCTGCCCTGAGCTCATCCACAGTTGAATCTGCTGATGAGTAGAGCACCCCATGATCCAATGGCCTTCCACACACCAGAGGACTGGGGGTTATTTTAGATCTAAACCATAGCAGCCACGCTCACCTGTTTAGCTCTGATAGCTGTTGATGTCTGTCTCTCCACCTGAGGACAGGAACTTTATCCTGCTTAGTGTGTGTTCCTAGAGCTCAGCTCCATATCTGATGGGCAGAGCACTTATTACATAAGATAAAGCAAGAACAAGTTCATGTTCATGTTCTAGTTAGGTGGGCTCAAGGGGGCACTAACTTTATTCTTGTGGATTAAGGGTCAGGCACTGAACTCCTTTGAAGCCAGCTGGGGTGTTCTGATTCTGTCTCACAGGCATCTTTACTATGTGGGACTTAACATGGTGAGGTCACAACTCTCCCTTCCAGCAGTAAACTGTGAATCTATGAATGCAGCTACTGTATTTTCTTTTCTTTACATTTCAAGTGTTCTGAAATTATAGGAAAATTTTCCACTTTTTCTTGTCTGCATTTACAGAGTCTATGTGTTTTCCCTCAAGGTGTACTTTTGGTAGAATTATAGGCCTTTGCTTGCTCAGGAATTTTTATTTTGTTTTTGTTTTACTTTGCAAAAATCAAAGGAAAGATGTTAGAGAAGTTGGAATAAAAAATAATTCTTTGCTGCACCAATATTTCACTAAAAAGATCTTTCATTGCGGCTGCCCAGTTGTGTTCTTTGGTCCTGAATAGCAAGCATCATGAGACTGAGTTTGAGATATTTCAGGCCCAATTAAACACATCCATCTGCACATTCCAGAGAGTGCCAAGAGCAGCTGTTGTCGATTTACTCTACCAATCAGGTTTGCACTGTAATTTCTTTCTCTAAATTTGAAACATTCCCAAACAGGCCAATATAATAAATGGTAGGAATGGAAATGTTAGAAGATGTACTGGTACATAAATAAAATAAAAACGGCCGAAGTTGAAGCCCAGTTCTGAGCTGCTAGAATTAAGTTGGCAGTGCCGTGTGTCTCTTTTAATTAGGAAGCATCGGTTGTCACAGCACTGGGAGATAGGAGCTAGCGGATGTGCAGAGCAGAGTGAGCTTGAAGGCTGCAGATTCAGGACCTGACAATCGGGGTTCATCAAGTTCCAGCTTTTCTAGGTCCTTCTTGTGTGGCCCTGGGCAGGTGACTTAACTCAGCGCATCCTTTTCCGAGCCTGTAAAATGGATACGCTGTTGCGCAGGGTTGTGATAAGGACCCACGAGTTAACCTTATGGAATTGTCACGAGGATTCAGCGAGTTATCTTACAAGGCGGTTATAAGGATGAGCTGAGCTACTGCGTTAAAGTACCCAGCACCGCGGCTGGAAGGTGGTAAAACCAGTATAGGCATTATAGGTGCTGGGACTTATGCTGTCTTAATATCTCAAAGAATGTGGACTGTTTATCTTTGTGTCTGATTTTTGTTTTGTCTTGTGTCTCCTGCCTGAAAATGATTTCCTTGCTGCTAATACAGGCGGTGATGTAAGTAGCTCTTATCTCACGTTGGAGTGAGGCACCGCTGTCTTCTCTGGGCCGTGTCCCTCTGCAAAGCCTTGAGGGGTAGGGGAGAGAGCATGGGCAGCATGTTTATTTCCAAACACAGGAGGAGCTGGTGCACAGGCAGCACTGTGCAAATCTTACTTTTCCAAAAAAGTTTTCATAATCGAAAGTAAGTTTTTTTAAACAGAATCAACATTTATTCCAATATTCTAGAAACCAGTGCAGTACGCTTTAAATATTTTTCTTCCATCTCTTTTTTCAATCAGGGCAGTTGAGCACAAATTGGCAAGTTGAGCAAATTTAAAGCAGTCCCGTGGAGGTGAAAGGAGAGCTTTAGTTCGGGAAGGCAGTTAGAAAGGCGCCGCCAGTGCCCTGGTGTGCTACGGAAAGGCCTGTGCCTGTGTGCATGCGTGTGTGCATGCGTGTGTGTGTGTGCGTGTGTGCGTGCGTGCGCGCGTGCGCACTCAGGGGTGGCGCAGGTGGAGGGCGGGACCAAGAGGAGACAGAGACTCCTCCGCAGTGGGGTGTGCTGTCATTGGTGAGGGGGACCCGCCATGTCCTCCTCTTTCTCCACTCCCACTTCCACAGCTGCATATCTATGGCTTGAAATCAGTGGTGACAGAAGCGTCTCCGCCTCCAAAATCTCCATACACAAGCCAGCGCCTATACTTTCTCTGGGCACTGTGGATCAAACTCAGAATTTTGCATTTGAGGAACTGTTAACCAAACAGAGAGTTTGGAAAGGAGGCCCAGTCGTGTTCAGAACTGGTTGAGGCTGAAGTATCAGCAGGGCCAGTGACAGCGTGGCACGTTTCATCTCTGAGCTCCAGTCACACTGCCTTTAGGGGTGTGTATGACATTGCTCCTGAGTTGAAACAAAAATGTGACGTCTTTTGGAAGACACCTGCTTTGCATTATGTGTGTAATTTTATTGCAGAAATGCCAAAAACACCACTGTTTTGCTCAGTAAAATTTTCACAATCATAGTAGTTTTTTATGGGTCCAGGATAATTAAATAATTCTGCCAAGAATCCACGCACTGATGAGTCCCTGTATTTGGGGGAGCTCTGGAGAACCGTACGGCCAGGGGAAAGAAGAGTGAGGCTGTGGGATTTCAGTAAGAGGAGTCCGTTTCCTTTAATAGTCTCTTTAAAATTGGGACAATTTAGCTATTCAGAAGACAGTCATGAAATTAGCTATGAAACATCAATAGCATTCAGTCCCTAGTGTGGCATTAGGTGTAGAGCGACGGGAGGGACTGAACCCTAGTCAGTGACACTGTGCATTACGGAACAGTATCACTGCATGATTCCAGTTTCATAGCTTAAGAATCCCACACCTCTGCACGAACAGGGTGAAGGGGTAAGATACTGAACAGAGACTGCTGTATGGTTTACTCCTGTTGTTGCGTAACTACTTTTATCAAAGTCAGAAAAAGTGTCCCGATCCCAGGAGGAAAGCAGCGGTGGTAACCAGACAATGCTTTTCATCTTTACAGGGTGTCCCTGGAGCAAAGGGAGAGCGAGGCGAACGAGTAAGTGTGCAGCTGCCCTTGGCTCCTGCAGCTGGCCGCAGAGAGCCCCGTAGCTAAGAGCTGTCACTTCCCACTGAGTGCAGCCCCCTCCCCTGCTTCCCACCTCCCCTGGAGAAGCCCCTGAGGGTGAGGCGGGGTGGGGTGGGTGGGAGAGACCTTTTCCAGTTGTGTATCTGTAACCACCCAGCTCCATGACCCTGGTTCAGTTCTTTAAGGGGAAAAAAGGGAGGATCAAACTCATCTCCCCACAAAGCGGATTTGACAGGAAATCTATGTAATGGATGTGAAAGGCTTTCAGAAACAGAACAAAGCAAAACAAAAAACAAAAACCCGCCCCCCAGCTTTACGCACATGCCAAGGAGTAGCGCAGGATTCCTACTTTTCCAGATGGCCCAGTGTTGGCACTCTGGAAGACAAGGCAGATGTGGGATCAGAGAAATGGCCCCCAACTTGAATCAGTTCATTTCAGGGGCCGCGCTCTCCTTCGGAAGTCGTGCAGCCTCGGAGTAACAGCACGATTGGCTGGAGTAGACTCAGCACTGGCTTTAGCCTCACTGCTCACTTCTGTGTAAAGTTGGGCAGTGTGTTAATCCTGATCAGCTACGAAACAGGTTTAGCATCTTTCCTCTGAATTGTGATTTGCATTAAAGGAGCCATTGCTTGAGGAAGTGACGTATTGTGTAAGCTCTAAAGAAATGTCGATAAGACTTTAAAAATATATTGATTTATTTCGAAACTTAGTATCTTTTGAATCTGAGGCCAGAAGTGTTTCCTTGCGCTTTTTACCCTCGTACGACTGTTAGGATGGTGAGCCTAAGCACAGACTGCCGCCCCTCTGCACACCGTGCTCTCTGTCCCTGCTGCTCGGGGCCTGGAGCCCTGTGGGGCATTGGGCCAAGATGGCCACACCCAGAAGCCCTAGCAGTGCCTGTGTGTGGCTGTGCTGAAGCCTTGCTTTCTCTCACCAGGGTGACCTGCAGTCTCAAGCCATGGTGAGGGCAGTGGCGCGGCAAGTGTGTGAGCAGCTCATCCAAAGTGAGTGCACAGAGGATACCACGGTCTTGTTCAATGGGGGTGGGCCTTCCCCATCGCCATAGCAACCAAGGCAGTCCCGCTTACCTTCATCTTGGTGCAGCTTTACAAATGCCAGCCCTGCTCCACCCAAGGAGCCTTGCGGATTATACATCGGCGGTGAAGCCGCCAAAGCCGTGTCCTTTGTCAAGGGCTGCCCCTGTGGATGTGACTTGCCTGTCTGCAGTCACACTGCTTCCTTCCTTTCTGTGCAAGAGGACAGGCTTTTTGCTCAAGTACTCAGGGCCAGAAGGCTGCCAGGCTGCATCCTCCGGGCCTCCGTTCAGCAGGCTGCCCCGCGCTGTTTGTTTCTAGTGGCTCAGAAGACTTAAGCTGCATCTCCCTTGAGTCCCTTCACATGGGTTGTCTTCAGTAGCCCAAGGGCCTTGCCTTGAGTCCTTAGGTTTTACACACACACACACACACACACACACACACACATACACGGAGTGACAGGGTTGGTGTGACAGTAGGTGTGCCAGAAATCACACCAGAACACGCTTGATACCATGCCTGTCCCATTTCTTCATTTTAAACTTGAAGTTTCAGCCTGTGCTGAGTGTCAGCGACTGATCTGGCCTGTTCACACTACACTCTCCTTTTGCCCATTTGCTCTGCCCAAGGACTTCTATTTGGTCTCAGTAATCTACCCCGAGGGCTCCTAGGGTGGGCCTTCTCTTTTCCAGTTCAATGGGAGTGGGCCTTCCAGCACCATAGCAACCAAGGCGATCCCTCTAGCTTCATCTCGGTGCAGTTCCCGGTTCCGGACCTGAGGCTGGATACACACAAAATCCTCATCTCCACTCCCCCAGCTCCGGCCTCCCTCCTGCCCGTCTCCCCGCCCTGCCTCCCCTCCAGCTCTGGGCTGACATTCTCAGAGTGCTCACCTCATCAGCTCAGGGGCAGGGCCGTTTAATCCAGGGAAGCTGGCCAGTTAGGCCAGAGGAGCCCCGCAGGTGTCCAGGCAGAGGCAAGTGGCCAGGTGCAGAATTCCCCCTGCTGCAAACCAGATGTCTCTGGGGAGGTGTGCACTCGGGTCCTCAGAGGCTCAGAGCTCTCATTAAGACAGAAGTGTCAGAGCAAACAGTGGACACAGCCATCTTGCTCCTTGTATTTCCCCTTTAATTTTATATTATAATGCTCTAATTAAGCATGTATAGGAAAGAACATCTGCCAATGAAATGAAACCTAATTAAATGAAAAGTTCAATGCCAAAATAAATAGGGTCTTTAGAAATCATACACTGTAAGAGGAAACCGAAGTTCAGTTGCTCTGGGTATAGAACGCGCCCAAAGCTAATTTACACCCTCAGTTAATTTGTAGGCTTCTCGGTTCAGTGTGCGGTGTGCATGGGTAGCTGCCCAATCAGCATCTTCCTACCAAGCGGTGCCTCAGTTTCCCTGGCTCTTTGTTCTATTCCTTAAGCCCCCTTGGTTTATCGCTTAGTACAGCTCCTTACAAGCCCAGTGAGCTGGTGGAATTACACTGAGTTCTGTGGGAAACCGTGCAAGGCCCGAGTGACGACAGCTGGCAGCGTGACAGAGAACAGCCCCTTGTCAGAGGAGGAAGCTGAAAAACCCTGCAGAAATGTCTCACCTGCCTGGCCATGGGCTGCCTGAGACCAGCCCTGTCATCGAAGAGGGTCCCTAGCCACGTCACGGTCCAAGGCTTGAGGAAAAAGGCTTTGTGTGTAGTCTTCAGATGTTCCTCAAAGCATGGTTACTCTCTTTTACTTAGGTTGAAATGTGAGCGAAAGGATACATAATAGTCCCCTAGAAAATTCACGTATGTAAGAAAGTCTCATCTGCACTCAAGCTGGGGAGGTGACACCTTCTGGTCCCAAGGGCTTTCTAATTCCATCCTGATGACTAAAACACACCCTCCATGATGGAACTGGGGTAAGGAGTTGAGGAAAGAGCTCCAGATTTTTCTATTTCAGAGAGTTGGCGGGAATTTCTGCAGCTGGACCCCAAGCACTGTTGGGGGCCCGGAAAGAAAAGGTCTGGCAGGAGGAAGGCGGCTGAGCAGAGGGAGGAGCGGCTTAGCAAGTCAGAACAGAGCCGGAGAACGTGGGGAGTGGCTTTGCTGGAGAGAAGGCTGAAGGCTGGGGTGAGGGGTCAGATAAATGTTGGGGTGCAGATGAAATTTATGACTTCTGCTCAGTGATGTTGATTACGACGGGACGTGAGCCATGGAATTCCAAGCCCATGCGAGGGGCCTTGAGTGTACTCCAGGGGTAATCTCATCCAAAGGGAAGTGTAAAGCCCGAACGTGGAGACCAGCCTATTTCAGAGGGGCGTGCTCTTCGCCCGCTGAACACGTGACGGAGTGGCCGGGAGCCCTAAGCAACGACACCCCCATCCTCCCGGGTCTGTGAGTGTTCACCCAATGCTACCCCTGTGCTTCTTGCCACAGGTCACATGGCCAGGTACACAGCCATCCTCAACCAGATCCCCAGCCACTCCTCATCCACCCGGACCATCCAGGGGCCCCCTGGGGAGCCCGGGAGGCCCGGCTCACCCGGAACCCCTGGCGAACAAGGACCCCCTGGTGCCCCTGGCTTCCCTGGAAACACAGGCTTGCCGGGCACCCCAGGAGATCGAGGTAAGTCAGGCGCCACTCCTCCGGTGGGTGAGAAGTGGACCGGCCCGGGGGTCCTGCTTCGAAGTGCAGGCAGCAGGAATAACGCCCCGAGTGACTCTCCCCACCAACTCCTCAGGATCTTGCTAATTACTCCCCAGACCCCAGATCCCAAAGAAGACTGAGCTAGACACAAAGTGTTTATCAAGCGCCACGTCTGCTTGGATCACAGAGGAAGTTAGGGGCTCTCCCAACTCTCCTCTATTTTTAAAAGGTGCCGCTCCGGTTTGAAGAATTAGAAAACGATGCCTCTCCCTGGGGATACCGACATCACACGTATGCCACGGCGTGCAGAGAGCTCGGTCCTTGTGTAGAGCTGGTGCTTTTTTGTGCGGTGCTCACATGGGCAACGGTCAGTGGCAATCCTCAGAACAGCCACGAGTCATAGCAACATATGATGCCCAAGATCCCCACAGGGACTACAGAGCTGCGAACTTCCCCTTAAAAGGAAGCCATCTTACTGTGGATGGCTGATCACCCTATCGTGTGGGACAACATGTATTTAACAGTGCAGTGTTTTGTCTTTGCTACTAAAGGATTGTGTAGCACAATGATAAGACCCCTTTGATTGGTTTTCACCAAGTTTCAATAGTTTCAAGATCTCTCATTCAAGAGAGAAAGGAGAGAGAGAGAGAGAGAGAGAGAGAGAGAGGGAAGGAGGGAGAGAGGGAGGGAGGGAGAGCTCTCCTTCCAGAAGCACAGAAAAGAGAAGCGGGAAGTGGAGATGGCATAGTCACCGTGAAGGAAGTGACAGGGAAAAGAGACGAGGACTGAGGGGTGATGGAAGGGTCCCTAAGACACAGTGTCTGGAACGCAGGTCTGGGACAAAGCCAACTGTCACCTGTCTGCTTTGTGATTATGCACTTTTGTGAGCTGGAGGAGACCTGATCTTGCTATAAAATTAGGAAGTAACGTGCAGATTCCCACAGCCGTATTTCATCCTCCTCCCTGACCCAAAGCAGCAGGAATCGTGCCCTCTGCCTCTGCGCTTCTCTATATGTTGTCCCTCCATTTGGAAATGAGCTTTGTTTCCCTTGTCTCATAAACAAACTATTCTTCATTGAAGGCTCTGCTTGCCCCTGTCCTGCACAGAGCTTTCACGGGTCACCTCGGATCACAGACACCCCACCCAACACCCCGTCTCCCTGGGTGCCCTCCAGGCCTCAGTAGCAGCAAGGTCAGGGAGCAGGCGGGTGGAGCTGCCTAGCCCTGCCCGGCCCTCACTGGTGGCTCTGTGATTCGATCGTCATCCAGGTGTGACTTTTCCTTCTGAAGGTTTTCCATGTGTCAGGGCACAAAATCAGCAGACCTAGAGAAGGCACTGTTCCTCAGCAACACACAGATGTCCTTCCGGCAGCCTAGAAGGAGGCCCCCTCTGTCCCCAGGGCACTGGGAGTAGAGAAATTTTGACTCAGGAAGCAGAGAGCACGGCCTGGGGCCCTCGCCACCAGACCCAGGTCATCTATGTTCTCTTTGGAAGTCCTAGCACTGATCTTGCCACACTGAGTCTTTCCTGACCCCACAAGATGAACTGAGAAACTGTGCAGGCACTGTTCGTCACCGTGGAACTCTCCCGGGGAGGCAAATGTTCTCACAGCATGGTGGCTGCTTTCCTTGGAGCCAATGCTGAGAGCGAGAGGAGGATCTCACAATTCCTTTTGGGACCTGGTGTCAGCAGTACAGGATTTTCCTTTCACTATGCTGTGTGTGTCAGAAGTGAGTCAGTAAGCAAAGCCCACATGCAAGTACAGGAGACCCGGGCTGTTTGTCTCAGGGGAAGGTTTATCAAAGAGCTTCTGAGTATTTATTTCAGGCAACGTCTCCTCTAAATCAAACCCAGGCCATCTGCAGTGCCAGCAGGATGACATTTTTGTCCATTACAATGCCCCTCTGTCCTGTGACTCTAGGACACTGAAGAATGAGGGGATTTGGGAAGGGACAGCCCACTCTGTGTCTGCCTGTTTTCATCCCTTATATGTGTTTTAAAATAAGGTAAGATGCAGGTTTAAAAACCCCCAAAGGAGTAGTACATACAGGAAAAATGTTTTTGTAGAATTTAGTGTCTTTTATGTTCCTGTTTCTGGTATTATTATACTCAGGAAGAAAGCATCCCCCAAACACCAAAAAGGATTAGCAAAGTTCATTGATAAGTTTAAATTAGGTTAAGCGACGTCTTCACTCTGTAATTAGCAGAATGTGACCTTGTTACAATAACAACAAGCTATAACTGGTATGTATAAAAACCTTTTTGACATGGAAGGTAATATGATTTCCATAGTTTAAAAAATTCAGAACCTTAGGAAAGTCTCTAGAGTAGGTCTGTATAAATATGTGATAAATTAATACATGACTAGTCTGCACTTCGTTAGTGTGTGACATATATCATTTAGTATGTTCTTGAACTGACCTCTAATGATTTCACTTCTGTTAATCCTATCTTCCTAACAAAGCTATATTCTTCCCAAAGACCACATTTACTGTAACTTTTCCTTTTATTCCTCATAATACCTGAAATACAACCATTACCTCATGCATCAGAGGAGATTTATGGTGCTGATTACCTCTTGGCCGGCTTCTTGAATTCCATTCCTCATTCCCCCATTACCAGAATAGAAACCAAAGCTCACGTGGCTACAGCACGTCCATCCTATGCCATTGTGCTAATAAGAACTGTTGCCAAGTTAACAGTGTAAGTCATCATTGTGTTATAAATCTAGCCCGAAAATCTGGGTGAGACTTTAAGTAGGGGATTTGGTTTTATTGGAAGACAGGATAGAAGGGGAGAGAGAAATAGAGACAGAAACAGACTCCTTCCTTCCTTTTTTCCTCTCTTCTTTTCTTTTCTTTCTTTTTTTCCCCTTTCTTTCTTTCTCAGTACTGGGAATCGAACCAAGGACCATTGCATTGACCTATATCCTAAATCTTTTTTATTTTGAGTTAAGGTCTCACTAAGTCAATAAATTGCTAAGTTCCAACTTGCAGTCCTTCTGCCTCAGCCACCTAGAATCTGGAATTACAGTTATGTACCACCATTCCTGCCTGAGACTTTTTTTTTTATTAAAGAAGCATAACTGGGCATGGTGGTGCATATCTGTAATCCTAGGAAGCTGAGCCAGGAACATCACAAGTTGGAGCCTGGACACTTAATAAAGTTTTGTCAAAAGAAAGAAAGCAAGAAAGAAAAGAGAGATAGACAAAGAAAGATAAAGAAAAAGAAAGAAAGAAAGAAAGAAAGAAAGAAAGAAAGAAAGAAAGAAAGAAAGGAAGAAAGAAAGAAAGAACATACTTTTCTAATTTTGGAATTTCCAGCCCTTGAACATAGACAAGTGCACTAGAAATATAACATGGACTGGTTTATGTGATAAAATTAAAGCTGTTTATATTAGCTAGGTTAAAATACTTTCAGTGAGGTTTTTTTTTGTTTTTTTGTTTTTTTTTGGTTTTTCTCCGGTACCGTGAACTCACGACCTTGCACTTGCGAGGCAGGCGCTTTGCCGCTGAGCTAAATCCCCAGCCCCTTCAGTGAGTTTTTTGACATGACTTTCAAATCAATAAATATATGATAATAAATTAACCAAAATGCATTTTTAAAGCTGGGCAAAGACATATAGATAGAAGCTACAGGTATTAATCTTTTCCATTTTCATTTGTTCTGGATTTTATTTTGGCATTAAATTATGAGATGAATATAACAAAGTAGTTTAACTTCTCTAAAGCTCTTTGAAAGTTTGGGAAAACCCAGTGGGGGGGGGACCCTTGGGGTAAGATGTGCTTCTTTATTAAAGGGTCCTGTTCACTGGGACATTTCTGCTCAGACCCTGGACCTTTTCCCTGTACCTTGACCCACCTCCCTTCCCTCCCAAAGTGGAGCACATGCTATCCTTTCCTGTTCTGTGAAGAGTGAAGACTAAGCTGTCATTTCAATATTTTTCATTGGCTGACCTGAATTTTTTTTTTAAACCATAGAAATCAGCTCATTTTCCCATTAATTTTGAATAGCATAATTTTCTTAATCAGTGTTATAGATATCTAATGGGATTTAAAGGCAGTAATATATTTATATACAAAGGAGTACTACTCTATCATAAAGAAGGAGAGACTTGAGTTATTTGTGGGAAAAATGGATGCACCTTCAGACCATCATGTTATATGAGATAAATCAGATGCACAAGCTTCTATATTGCATGGTTTCTAATAAATAAAGAGAAAAATGAAATAAAGATAGATAATAGGAAACAGAGAGAGAGAGATCTTTCGCAAATGGAAAGGGGGCCAAGAGATGGAGGGAGGGGAAGGGAAGGGGAAGTAGAAGGAATTCAGGGCGGGTGCCTGTGACCTCTGCAGCCCCTCTCCCCTCTCCTCTGTCGCCTGCTCCTCCTCCTCCCTGCCCACACATCAGCGAGTCTGTGCAGAAAACGTCTGGGCTCCTCTGCCTGCAGCCTCCGGCCAGATGGAAGCTGGTGGGAAACCGGAAGCGCAGGCCTGGCCCGGGGTCTGGGGAGCTGTTCCTCCCTGGCCCACTTCCGGCCCTGCAGCGCCCTGCTTCCGCTTTGCAGTGGAAGCCGGCCCTTCCGGCCACGCTCTAACTAACCTGCGGCTTTGTGCGCCCAGCCGAGGCAGGTCCAGCTTTTGTGGGACAGGAAGCTCAGCAGCTCGGGGTCCTCCTTGCGGAAGCCGGTGAAGTGCAAAGGGCCACGGGCGCCTCACCTTCTCCCTGGCCAGCGCCCCTCCCGGCCGCCCTCCCCAGGCCGCCCTGCTCGGTCATTTCCGCCGATGGCCCCTGGACACGTCCTGTGGTGCCAACAGCTTGGAAACCCCGCGGGGCTCCCCCGGTCGGACGCCCGATGCGGCTCCTTCTGTCCTGGCCGCCCTGCCCGCCGCAAGCACGGCTCGTTCCTGACCCTGCTCTTCCCCATCTCCTTGCGCCTGAGCAGGATCAGCCGCCCGCAGGCCTGGAGAGAGATCGAAGGGCACCAAGGAGGGAAAAGCCGGAGTACTGCTCCTCTCCATCCCGCGCCTCCTCTGCCGATCAGCGAGGGCTGCAGCCCTGGGCTCCTGCTTGGACCGAAGTGCCCTGTCCACTTCTAGGCCCTGCCAGAACTCCCTGGACTTCTAGCTGCAGTCACCCCGGTTATTCCCATTGTTCACACACTCCCTAGGTGACCTGCTTTCCTGCCCTTGCTCATTTGCAGGTTGCATTTTTATTTGGCTCCGAATTCCTCTGTCACTCTGGTGATGGAGTTGCTGTGTGAAGTCCTCCGGCTGCAGGAGCTAGAGGCTCTGTTTCCCTCCCTAAGCCCTGAACTGTAAAGCCGGGCATAGATGGCCGGTTGCTGATACAGGAAAGGCACTCGGTTTATTTACACTTAAAACAACCGCGTTCTCAGCTCTGGCCACCCAAGCACAAGCATGGGTTCCCACAGGCCAGCGCTCATCCTGCAGACGAGTGTGGGGAAACAGCAGACCTTGGCAAAGTGCATGGAATACTTGCTGAACTGAGCCCCATCCGGCTGCCTTCGGTGGCTAGGTACTAAGTGCTTCCCAGCCAGTGGGCACTGGAGTATACACTGAGTGAGGAACACTCGCCTTGCAGTTAGCTAGCTCGTCGCCAGCATATCCCAGGCAGCAGACAAATACAGCATAGCTGAACTCTTGCGCCCCAGACTCGAGTTTCAGTTGCAATGGCAGCACGATGGGCCTGGCCTGTCGCCTGGGCAGGGATCCCGGGTGCTGCTCGGAAGGCCTGGGGTCAGGGCGAAGTGACTGGCTAGGTGGAGCAGAGCTGGTGTGGCCTGGGGCCCAAGGCAGGACATAAGTCTCCCTGCTCCAAGGCCAACAGGCCAAAGAAAGCAGGAAACGAACGAGGAAAGTCCGGGCCAGGGCATACAGCTGGGGCAAGCAAGATGAGCCCTCTGCAAACGAACCCCCACTCAGGCTCAAAGCAGAGGGCGAGTGGGTCAGTGCATGAAGAAGCTGTGGAAACGTGATAAGCACAGGCAGATGCCGCGTGTGGAGGCCCAGAGGAGGAGCAGGCTGGTGTGTACAGGTGTGCGGGCAGCTCAGGAAACAAGGCCAGCCTGTGTGTGCGTGCAGTAAGGCAGTGCTGAGGCACAGCTGCGGCCGGAAGTGTGTGGTTTTGTAGCCAGGGACAGGTGGCTCGGCCTCCCTGGGTCACACCTCTCCAGCAGGGCTATAGCAGCGCCTGCCCCCTCAGTTCTTCTAGGCCTAGGGGAGGGATCTGTGGGCATACCTGATGCCCTGCAGCCCACAGCTCTGCTCTGTCAAAGTCTGTGATCCAACTTTGCCTTTCATTCATTTATCCATGTGTTTGACAGATACTTCTTTTTTCCTAAATTTTCATTTTTATTGGTCCATGATTGTGGTGCATAAAAATTATATTCCTTGTGGGAGTCGGTCCATTACAGAACACTTCTTGATTCTTTTACATCCCTTCCTTCTCATTCCCGCTCTCATCTCTTGACCCCTGCCCACTTGAGAAAGGTCTGTCTCCTAGTTCTCAACTATCTTTTTATTTACCCTTAATTTATACTCCAGGGTTATCACATAGGAAAAATGATGCCATATTTAAGCTGTGTGTCTGATTTATTTCATGTAACAGTTTGGTTTCAAGGTCATCCATTTTCCTATAAATGATTCACGTTTATCCATCTTTATGGCAGAGTAGTACTCTATCGTGTAAGTACCGCATTTTCTTTGTCTGTTCACCGGTTGATGGACAGAGGCTGCTTTCCAGACTTGGTTCTTCTGAGTTGTGTTGCTATGAATATGGATATGCCTGGGGCACTGTGATACAGTGTCTGAGACACTTAGAAGGGAGATAGCTGGGTCAAACAGAACCCCTAGTTTTAGTTTTTCAAGGAATCTCCATACTGGTCTCCATAATGGCTGTACTAGTTTACACTCCCACCGACAGTGTAGTGACTGACACTAGGGATACAAAGAACAACAGATCTTGGCTACTATGGCCCCAAACAAGGAGATATTGGAGGGTCACAATTAGATTAGTAGTGAAGAACTAGATGGTGTGAAATGGCTTTTGATGAAACTCAAGAATGGATGCATTTAATAAATACGCCTCTCTTGTGGGGAATGTTGGTGATGGAGAGTGTGTGTGTGCATGAGGTGTGCGGAAAGTGGACAGTGGAAAGGTCACTGGCACCCGTCTCTGCTAACCCAATCAATTCCAGCACCAGCAACTCCACCCTGGGACCTCAAAAACAAGATTAATGATCGCAATGACTGGGCTGAAGAAGGGCTAAATGCCCAGGCTTGTGCCCTGAGATGTCTTAGAGAGTATATGCCCACAGATACAGGGTATGCCCACAGGTCCCTCCCCTAGGTCTAGAAGAACCGAGGGGGCAGGTGCTGCTAGAGCCCTGCCGGAGAGGTGTGACCCAGGGAGGCCGAGCCACCTGTCCCTGACTACAAAACCACACACTCCCGGCAGCAGCTGTGCCTCAGCACTACCTTACTGCACGCACACACAGGCTGGCCTTGTTTCCTGAGCTGTCCGCTCACCTATACACACCAGCCTGCTCATCCTCTGGGCCTCCACACGCGGTGACACTTGGGAAGCTCTATTTCTGACTTTTAATCTGGACCTACAAAGCACATAAACATCACGCCCAGGTCTATTTTTACAGCTTGGAAGTATAAGCTTGGCTTCTCATCTCCATCCTTATAATTTCTAGCATTTTTTCAATACCCCCCCAGAAGCAGCCAATTTCAGTTATATGGACCTAAGTAGTTGTTCATTGTGAGAACCACATGTACCCGTATGGACACACATGGGCAAAGATTCATACGCTAGCCTGTCTGTAGTTTGGCATAATAACTTCAAGGACAATAAAATCCCAAGTTCCCTCTTAATTTCTAATTGCCTCTTTAGACTTCCTTTCTTCTTTTCTAGGACATTTTCAAGGGCTAAAATATTTTTGGAAGCTCTCCATTACTTACCTGGACTAATGTCACGGATTGTATCAAATTCCACTTGTTTTTCTGTATAGAGCTAGAAAATTAAGGCAGCGAGATTATCTGCTTGTGATCTTCTTTGCTTTCCTATGAAGAAACAGAGGACAGCTCAGGACACTGTGGAGCTCTTCCAAGAGCGCTTTCCTGGATGTCCCTCAGCCCGATTTTCCTGCTCTGCACAATCAAGATGACCCTGAGGAGGCCCTGAGGCCCTGAGTCACCGTGGTTAATCAGGAGCAGCTTGCTGTTAGTCATCTGTATATTTTACCGTGTTCTGATTCTTCCAAAATCAGTAACGCCAATTCTCACACAGGAAGGGCCATTTTTGCGAAATTCCCAGCTGCACATTAGGGTGCAAGCCTTGACTGACAAGTCAGGGAGCACCCAGCAGCTAAACCAAACCGGGCCGCCCCTTCCTACAGGAGCACGCAGCACACTTCCCCAGGGCGCTTCTGGTCTGAATGCCGCGCTGGGCAGTGCAGGGCTCGGTGGTTGCTCCTCAGAGGTGACTGTGAGCTGAACTCGAGGAACGTGGTACTTTTATGCTCAAGGAACAATTTTATTGAACAGAATCTTAAATCACCTCTCAGGCTGGCTGCTTTCATTTATTTACATTCTCTGCTAGGCTCTGCCCCTTGGACATAATTTCTCAGTGGGTGAAACGCAGAGAAGAGGCAGCTCTGCGTTCTGCTCTGCTCCTGAAAAGCGGAGGGCAGAGACCTTCCGGGAGGGGAGCCAGGGTGCTGGGTCCGGTCGCGCACCCTCCTGACTTCAGGGAGGCTGGGGCCCTCCTGTGCCAGGGCCTGTTTGGAAGATGAGGTGCTCTGGGCGACGTCCCTTTGCTTTTGCTTGCGAAATGTATAGCTTGTTAATGGCACCATGCATTGTTTGGAAGAAACAGTCTCCTCCGTGGAAAAGAAACTCAAATAGGTTGAGATTTTTATGGGGCAGACACAGCCAAATCAAACACAGGCTTTCCTGGCGCTTCCAAGTTTTTAATGGAAATTCATGCTCTTCAGAAGTTTGCTGCCTAATTATAATTCATGCCATGTTCAGATCCATTACAGGGTGGACCAAAGGGAAAATGTTAGACAGGTCTACTTGTGATTCCCATGGTGCTATCCGTGGAGCGCCAGCCGCGCACGTCTTGGGGCCTGGTGCCCTCGGAGCCAGGCCAGCCCCAGGCCTCAGCAGGAAGGGGAAAGAGAGCATTTGCTGTACAGTAACTGCAGGTTGCACACTCTGATGCAGAACCAGACTTCTGCAAGGATTGTGCATGAGCTACCAGCATCAGAATTTAATAACAAAGTCCTGCGGTCCCCATAACCTTAAACCAGCCCGCCTCATTGTGGTCATCAGGGGTACTTTGAAAACCTGAAAGATAGAGCTACATACCAAGATTACTTTTAAAGACAACTTACCTTTTTTCTCCTTCCTCCTCCCCTCCCTCCTGTCCTTCCTTCCTTTCTTCTTTGCTCCCTTCCTTCCTCTCTCCTCTTTCCCTCTCTCTTCTCTTTTTTCTTCCTTGCTTTTTTGGAAACAGGTCTAACTGGTCTCAAGGGAGAGAAAGGAAATCCAGGTGTTGGAACTCAAGGTCCAAGAGGCCCCCCTGGACCAGCAGGTAAATCTTTCTACCTAATGAAAAACTGCAAGATGGGAATCTTTATACTCACCGGCTGTCACAGGTGAGGAAAATGGCCCTATGACATCTTTGTACCTCATTGGATAGGCTACATATCTCATGTGCTCTGTCTGGAGGTTGATGGTGAATAACGACCCTCCGTGGGGAATAACCGGCAAAGACTACAACATAGTCTGTATTCCTTTTGAAGCTGTGACGGAGTAACAAACCCCACACACTTGGAGAATGGGCACAAAGAGGCTTCCTGTCACAGCCACAAAGTTGCACGTGGGCAAAGCAGTTCTCTCCCCTTTTGGACTCTCTGACCTCTGCCAGGGGCCAAGTAGCCTCCAAGAGAAAGAAAAAGAAGGCACCGAGGTCTCCCTTACTAAATACAGTGGCGCGCGACTCGGATTACAGTTCACCGGGCTGGAACTGTCACATGCCCCCAGGCGAGCTAGGAGGGAGACATGAAATCTAGAGAACAGGGAATTAGAGGAGCAACAGCCGCTCCTTACCCAGTGACTTTGTGGGAGTTTTGTGTGCAATGTCTGCTTCTAGAATGGTCCCCGGATGATCAGACATGTGCCACATTATAGTTTGCATTCTGTTGCATATTTACAGCCCAGTCGGAGCCAGTGAATCAAATGTTTTATGGAGTAATGATTTTGCAATCTAACTGTAAGAGATACTCCTCACGCAATAGGACCATTTCTATTCTAAAAACTTCTGTTATTGGACATGGTATGAAGAAAGGACCTTAAATTATGCACTACACCATAAGTGGTTGGTGGGTGAGGCTCGAATGGAACTAAATGTGTTCAGAGCCACCATTCTATTCAAATAGAAGGTGACACTTGGCCCTACTTCTCGCTTCAGTTCGAGTTCAGTAGGTTTATGTCTAGTTGATCAGTGCTTTTTAAACACTGTTGGAACCCTGGACTAAAAATAACAAGCATATAAAACCCAAACCCGAACCTACACACTTCTTAAATTTAAAAATATTTTAATGGTCCTCCCGTTTCCATTCAGCCTAAGATCTCGGTTGATGCAAGAGAGGCTAAAGAAACTTTAGATTAGTGTGTTGGATCCAATTTCAGACTTTGTGTTTCTCTTCCCCAGGATAATGTTTTTCAGTCTCAGACAACTTTATTTTAATCATCTGGAACCATAAGCCAATACTAATTTGCACGAGCCTTCTAACTAGGTTAGGAGGTTGAGACGAGTGTGTTCCTGTGTGTACACATATGCTTGTGCATACAGGTGTGTGCATGCCCATGCATTGAATTCACAAGGAACAGTGCTGGAAAGCCAGAGCTCTAGACAGGGAACAAGGTTTACAGAGAAAAGAATACTTTGCTTCCCAGTTTTCCAAGCTGATTGCAAGCATTGCCCTGCAGGAGAATGTGTGGTTACCGCATGATCCCATGTCCAGGGAATCTAGTTTAGCAAAAAGAACTCAGTGGAGAGAGGCGAGCCGATCACCCTAACGTTTATGTGTCAGATGGCCTCTCCTGAGAATCGGTTTGCTTTGTAGTGGTTTCAAAACTCACCTTCTTCATTTGCCTCTGCTTTCTAGGGCCTTCAGGGGAGAGTCGGCCTGGCAGCCCAGGGCCCCCCGGCTCTCCTGGACCAAGGGGTCCTCCAGGTCACCTGGGGGTACCAGGGCCACAAGGACCTACTGGCCAGCCTGGCTATTGCGACCCGTCATCATGTTCTGCCTATGGCGTGGGAGGTAAGTGCCACCCTCATATGGGCTTTGACCAGTTTTACTATTTCTACCGCAGTGTGGAGGGGATACTCTGAAAAGAGTAATTCTCAGAGGAAGTGGAGCTTGAACCGCTGAGGAAGCGGTGCTTGAACTGCTTGCTGCCTGACGCTCCCCACAGGCATGTGCCGTAAAGTGCAATTACTGTAGAGGCTGCTTCTTTAAACCCTTGCAAGGAAATTCAGGATAACAGCCCAGCTAAACCTTCTTTGCTTGCAAATGGTGATCCACAGAAACTTGGCCTCTGACCTCAGCTCTGGCCATTTAGAGCATATAGTTGGACATTTTGGGGGGCCCTTTCTGTGTTACTACTGGGCTATGGCCAAGACATGTGGAAAATTTACTGTTTAGGGAAGAAGCCTCACAACTTAGAATATTCCCCATAATTAAGCAGGTTCCCGAGGTTTTCTGGGGTGATATCTTCCCCCAAAAGCATGTTAGGTGACCAAGGATAAGCTTAGAAGAAACCGAAGGGGCCATGTTGCCTGCACCTCGTCACTAACTGCTGGTCTGAGACCCTGAAAAATGATGCTTCCTAAAACTGTCTGCTCTCTGCGTGCTCTGCGAAGGGACCCTTTCTGCTGTAGTTATTCAGGAGAGTGGTTCAGAGACGGCCACTTGGCAATGAACTTATTAGTCAATGGATTTAAATGCTCTGCTTCAGGAGAAATTTAACCTTAGTTGCCAGGGGAATTGATAGAAGTTTTGCTGATGTGTTTTTCTCTGTTCGTCTTTTTCCTCCCTGTTCTCTCACATCCCCATCCCTTGTTAAGATCTGATCCCTTACAACGATTACCAGCACTGACGTGGATGTCCTCCACTCTGGACACCTCGGCATGGGCATTTGGCTATGGATACAGAACTGTCCTGTTGACCGCCACGACTAAGCCCCTGCCCCTAACAGCAGGCACTCCTCTTTCCTGCCTCAACTGCTTCCCTGCTTTCCACTTCAGATCTTTTGCCCTTCCTGCTCCAGATGTGCTAGAGTGATGACACTGGGACACAACCAAATCGTGCAGTCAATGACAATATGAGCGACTGCACCGGATCAGCCTGGATGGAGGTGTACAGTTGTACACTGACAGTTTATCCCCAGCCCCCTGTGTGAGGGGTCTGTAATCAGCTGCACGATGCTCTCTCCTCCATCCTGTCCCCACGCAGGCACATGAGTCTTTCTCTGCCTGGTCCCTCTACTGTCCTTTCCTCACCTGGCCTTTTCCCCTATTGTCTCCCAAGGATGGACTTCTAACATGAGATTGATTTTTAAATTTTATTTTTCTTTTTGTAATTCTTCTGCATTTTCAGGGTTTCTTTTGTAAATAAAACACACACTATTTAAGCCCTTGGCTGTGATTCTAGTTTTCTAGCCATTTCTCTAACAGTTGTCCTTTCTTCCTTTTGCTAACCCTGAGACCCGGGAAAGGGGGCAGTGGCCCGGGTGTGGTGGGTCAGGCAGCTGCTGCTTTCTGTGCATGCAGGATATCTCTGTAGCTGATGACCAAAGCTGTGTCTCTGAGGACCCACTGAGGGGAGGATATCAATTCGTGGTCTCTGGGTTCTATCAAGTCCCCACCCCACTTTTCCTCTTTAGCCCCCCATCCAGATCAACCTGAATTCACCCCTGTCCAAGATGAGCAGGAAGCCTTGGAACTGTGGGGCTCTGGGATCTGACAGCCTCCGAGGACATTGGAAGACCAACGGCAAGACCTCTTAAAGAACTTTACCCAAGAAAATGTTGTCACGGGGTTTGTATGCTGGGGAACTCGTGTCTGCAGCCTAAATCTCCTCCTTGGATAGTATTACTACTACTGTGATTATTAACAAAAGTCATATTTTTAAAAATCCCTTTAATCTATGACACCATAGAAATGATTTCCATTTGCTGTTTTCTTCAGAGAAGAGTGCCCAAACAATAATTGGAAAAATAAATTAAACCCTGGAATCTTGTGTAGCAGATGATCTCAAGTTCTAAAATGAACAAGATAGGTATGGCAATGTTGGAGGGAAATGGGCCCCACCAGAAAAAGAATGAGTCAAAGAGAATCACAGATTATACCACCAATCCAACCCTATGGGAATGATTTTGCTGATAAGAAAAAGGATTCAATATCAGTGACACTACCTCTTGCATAATTGATCTGTCCAACTCTGAGATCATGTAGTGGCTGGTTTCACGGGTATCCAAAAATAAGCTCTAGTGTGTAATTTTTCTGGATTTCATAATTTAAAGAGTGGACCTAGCTTCTCAGTGGTTTTTGACTCATGTGAAGTAACGACTTTCCACCAGCTCTGATTTGTCAGGTAGTATGTCCCAGGGCTTGCCTCTCCTTGTCTGCAGGGATTACTTAGTACATGCAGAAAAGTTTTTGAGAACATGTTTCTATTTTCTTTTGTAAGCAAATAAAAATTTAAAACAAAGTATGTGGATTCTTTTTATTGCATTTATGTGGTCTTAGTTGAGTGTCTGCCAATATAACAACAGCTGCCATTCTGTAGGTAAGCGTTCAAATTTGTAGTCACTCACTCACTCACTCATTCATTCATTCATTTGTTCATTCTGAGTGCAGTAGGAAGCATAACAAAAGAAACAGTCAACCTAAGACAGAAAAACAGAATTTTATTATTCACTTATAATCTACCAGGTGGCAAATGCGGTGCAAAAGCAAGAATGCTGCTGAATACATATGTACCGATGGTTCACCAAGGAGCCTTCTGTCTTCTAGTATTAGCTTAAAAACCTCGAAAAGGCAGGGAAGAAACAAAATTGAATCTAATAGACTAGTCCCAAGTCTATACCCCTATGACTCACACAGACACACCCAAAATTGTGATCCACCAATCATCTGGGAAGATCCCACAGACAATCAAATTGACACGCCTCCTTAATTGCCACATCCTACATCTTGTCTACTTAATATCTAAACACATCTGCTTTAACCATATTAACTTCCAGATAAAATAATAGCAAGTACATAATTCTACCTAACATAGTACAAGATCCTGTGTACAACTGGAAACACAGCAATCCCTTCAACAAAGTCTCAACAGTCCCTGCATTTTTCAAAAGTCCAAGTTAAAGTCTTTTCTGAGACTCAGAACAAAGTCTTTAGTGGTGAACCTCTCTAAAAAATTTAAAAAACAAGTTACATAATCCCAAGGTACAATGGCACAGGGTAAACATTCCTATTCCAAAAGAGAAGAATGAGGGATACAAGACTCAGATCAAAGTGAGACCAAAACCCAGTCGGGCAAACATTATGTCCTGTAGCTCCATATCCAGCATCAAGGACACATGCTAGTGAGATGTGAGTTCCAGGGGTCTTGGCTAGCCTCACCCCATGCCCTTACTGGTTGCAGCCCACAGAGCCTCTCTCTTGGGCTGGATCCTCTGCTGTCTTCAGCTTTCCTTGCAAAGGAATGCTCCTGTTCCTGGTATCTTTGACTTCCTGGGTCTCCACTGTGCCTTCAGCTTCATTTCCACAGCTTCACACACTCTCCTCTCAGAGGTTCCTTGCCTGATCTCCCAGGTCTTTTTTTGAAATCTTAGTGGAAGCTTCCCTGACCCCACAACCCTTGAGTTCTGCATGCCAGTAAAACTGGCATCTTGTGGAAGATGCCAAGGTCTAATGTCAGTGGAAGCAATAGTGAAGCCCCCTTGGATCACAACAACAGTAGTGTTTGAGTGTCCAGATGACTGAGTATGTTGAAAAGAATCCTGGGGAACCAATTCCCTAGGAGGCTTAAGTAGAGGGCCCACAGACTTTCTTCTCAAATGAAAGGTTCACATTTTTGCTCCTTTGACCCTGTGATGGGTGGTCTTACTGATTCCAGAGATATCCTCAAGGCCTCTTCTTTCTTGTCCCTATAGAGTAGTTCATTTCTTTTTTAATGACACTAATCTTTTTGGCAACCTCACTTTCTTTGGTCCCACCTTTACATGGCTTCTTTGGCCAAAATTTAAGTTTTTCCAATTTTCTTGTTCTTTTTGTCTCCAACTCACACCATAAATCTAACTAAAAGCATCCAGCAGTACTCAGGCAGCAGCCTGAATTTTAAGCTGCCTTGAAATTCCTCCATCAGATTAATTAGTCCACTGTCCTTAATCTTAGCATCTGACAAAGTCTGAAAACAGGGCAAAATGTAGACAATTTTTTTTTTGCCAGAGGATAACACACATGCTTTGAGCCCAATTACTAGTGGAGCTCTTGTTCCCAGCCAAAACTTCTTTAGCCTGGTCTTTACTTTCTGCATTCCTATTAGCCTTCTGATCACCCATCAGACTCTGCTTATAGCATTCTATGTCTTCTCTAGACCCCCTATCCAAAAATTTCCACACTTCTCCTGCAAATCAGTTCTAAAGTCTTCTAAACCACATGGTTAGGTACAGTCACAACAATGATTCTACTTCTGACATTAATTTTCTGTATTTGTCATCTTTTCTGTCTCTGGGCCACAATAATTAACATCCACAATTTAAAGAAGAGAAAGAAGAAGAAAAGAAGAAAGAAGAAAGAA